ATTTTGTAAACACTTGATCTACACATCCCCTACCCACTCTGAAACCTCCTTGCTCATCCACAATCCTACATTGTCTTGCCTCTAATTCTTTCAATTATAACCCTACCATACACTTTTCCTGGTATACTCAAACTTATTCCTCTATAATTTTTAAAATCTATTTTATCCCCTTTCCCTTTATATAAAGGGACTATACATGCTCTCCGCCAATCCCTAGGTACCTTCCCTCTTTCATACATTTATTAAACAAAAGTACCAACCACTCCAACACTATATCCCCTCCTGCTTTTAACATTTCTGTCATGATCCCATCAGTTCCAGCTGCTTTACCCCCTTTCTTTCTACGTAATGCCTCACGTACCTCCCCCACACTTACATTCTGCTCTTCTTCGCTCCTAAAAGATGGTATACCTCCCTGACCAGTGCATGAAATTACCACCTTCCCATTTCTTCCTCAACATTTAAAAGTTCCTCAAAATATTCTCGCCATCTACCTAATACCTCCCTCTCCCCATCTAACAAAACTCCCCTACTCTGTTTTTAAACTGACAAATCCATACTTTCCCTAGGCTTTCTTAACTGTTTAACTCACTCCAAAATGTTTTCTTATTTTCATTAAAATTTCTTTACAGTGCCTCTCCCACTCTATCATCTGCTCTCCTTTTGCACTCTCTCACCACTCTCTTCACCTTTCTTTTACTGTCCATATACAGTGGACCCCCGGTTAACGATATTTTTTCACTCCATAAGTATGTTCAGGTGCCAGTACTGACCGAATTTATTCCCATAAGGAATATTGTGAAGTAGATTAGTCCATTTCAGACCCCCAAACATACACGTACAAACGCACTTACATAAATACACTAACATAATTGGTCGCATTCGGAGGTAATCGTTATGCGGGGGTCCACTGTACTCTGCTTTTCTTAAGAGTTTAACCAGGCTTAGGGAGGTCCTAAGAGTTCAGAGAATTATTAATAATATTACAGGCAGGCCCCATTCCACAGCATTTTGCTAATGCAGCAGTTAAATTATACCTATTCATTTATTGATTTGCTATAATAAATATATTTACCACTATTAGATAAGGACAAAAATATTTTAATGTGAGTAATGTGTGTACTGTATATGCATTTTTTATGCCTAGCTCCATTGTTCACTTTATTTTTTTTTTTTTTTTCCCAACAAGTCGGTCGTCTCCCACCGAGGCAGGGTGACCCAAAAAAAGAAAGAAAATCCCCAAAAAGAAAATACTTTCATCATCATTCAACACTTTCACCACTCGCACTTTATATATGATAGTATAAACATGTTATCAGGCCTTTATATGCATTTGAAAGTGAAAAAAGGCGGCTATTTTTTCACTTTACAGTGATTTTCGCTTTATAGCAGTAGTCCAGAACCTAACCTGCTGTATAAGCAGGGCTCTCCTGTATTACAGTTTTGTTCCTGCAGTTCACAAAAGAGGGAACAAAGATGCAGAGCCATACCTTGGTCTCATTCTCCTTCTCCTTGTCTTGTATCTGAGTCTTCTTATCCTCATGAAGGCCAACCATCAGAGCATCATTAGTTTCTCGCAATCTGGCCAGTAAAGATGTTTGCTCCTTTTGCTGTAAAGACCAAAACTGTGCATGTATTAAAGCAATTTTCCTCTTCATAATGCATGTACATAATTTAGCAAAACCTCTTAAATATATATCAGATAATAACATTAGAGGAGCACAAAGGCATACTGGCCCATGTTAAGTAGGTCCCACTCACACCCCAAGGAACTGGAGCTATCCGGTAGCCCTTGTGGTTTAGCGCTTCTTTTTTATTATAATAATAATGGAGCTATCCGGCTTCCTTGGATTGAACACTAATGCCTTACAATCCCGAGGCACATTGACCTACAGGTTTGGCTCTTCCCCATTAATGTAGTAAAAATAATAGTACTATAATGCTGAAATACAGGCCAAGCCCAAATCTGAAGCAAAATTTATTATAATAAAGTAAATTCGAGCTTCTCCATAGGAACCAAAGAAACACATTTACCATCATTTGTTTAACAACAATCTTGCTCGAAGTGTGTGGATATTACAGTTCATATTATAATTATTACTTTATTATTACAAACACTGGGAAGTGCTAAACCTGTAGACTTCATACAGCACTTAGGAAATGGGTGATTATCAAGTTGGATCAGAGGGAGGGGAAGGGGGTTCTCCAATACCTTGGATCAAGACCCCATTACCACCATCAAGTGTATTAAAACATATTTTAATGAAATACAAGAATGATGGGCTTTCAAAAAGTTGTATTATTATTATAATCAAGGGGGAAGCGCTAAACCCGGAGGATTATACAGCGCCTGGGGGGGGGGGGATGTGGAAGGCATTCAGGCTTAATTCGGGGAACTGGAGCACAGATCCAATTCCCTAAATCAAGAGCCCCTCACCAACATCAAGGAACCTTCCTTGAGGGGTCAAAAAGTTATAACAATTAGTAATATATAAGAACTGGAATTAGTGCCTTCACTCTCAAGAAAGGTAATGATGTTGCAGTTCAGGTTATATGAATTGTGGGTGGGGATGTTGCAGTTCAGAGGGCCATTCAAATTGTGAAGTAAACACACTGCTGGCAGGACAGCTATCAGACAAGCAATGGTGAATGTTTTCTTCGAGTTACCCTACTTTTGTGCGGAAATGGCTAATGAAATTAAAAAGCAAAAAGAATTGGATCACGCTAGTTGAGGAGACCTCTCTTGCAACAATGACAGAGGTACAGTAACAAACGTACCGCTCGAATTCGCTTCAGGCAGTTGTCCAGCCAATTCCGAATTGTCTGCTTTGCAACTTCCTCTTCAATGATATATTCTAGTTCCTCTCGTGCCATCAATTCTTCAAGTTGCAGCGACTTGCGGATATCCACACTTCGATAAGAAAGCATGCTGGAAAATATCCACACCTGAATAAGAAAGCATACTGGGAAATATCCACACTTTGATGAAGCATACTGCAAAATAAATTTTGAGTGAAACTATTATATTTCAACAATATTTGTCAAATTCTAGTAATAGTGCTGTACTACATCCTAATATCTCTAAGTAAATTACGTATTGTATCTTACTTGAGAACATCATGGAAGGTAACATCATCACCATTGTGAAGACGCTCTAGTTCATAACACATATGTTTGAACAACAATCTATCTTTCTCTGGGTCCACTTCTAATCTTCCTTTTAAAAGTCGCAAAATGAATTTTACCTGTAAACAAAAGATGTCAGAATTTACTTAATGTTCAAAATTATATTAAAAATTATTTACATAGGATTCCATAAAAGATTTATATAAAGATAGAAAGATATATTTTTTGGCACACTGGTCTTCTCCAACCAAGGTAGGGTGACCCGAAAAAGAAACACTTTCACCATCATTCACCCAATCACTGTCTTCCCAGAGGCATGCAGATACAACAGTTCAGATGCCCCTCCAAACTGCAAATAACTCCACCCCTCCTTCAGAGTGCAGGCACTACTTTCTGCCTCCAGGACTCGAGTCTGGTTAACCGGTTTCCCTGAATACCTTCACAAAATGTTACCTTGCTAACACTCCAACAGCTCATAAAGTCCCTAAAACCATTTGCCTCCACTCACTCCTATCTGACACACCTGCTGGATAGACTATTAGGTTAGTCCCCCCACATGCTCTTTTATAGGATAAAAGACTTTTTATAGAATCTAAACAAGACAGGTTAAGATTGAAGAATTAATGACTTTTACAATCACAGAAAAGTGCGCTGTATAATCCTACGTGTTTAGTGCTTCCCCCTTGATTATTATTATTATAATAATAATAATAATAATAATAATTGTAACTTTACTGGTGGTACTGACTTTGGACCTGCTGTAGCAGTCAGTGTATGCAGTGTGGCAGTTCCTTCTCATTATCTGCCCCTTGTGCATGGATCATTAAAAAGAGATGTATTGAAGCCTTAGGTGGCAGAATGTTGAATAATAAACTTTATATACAATTTTTTCTGGGGTTAAACTTATTTATTTTAATAATGGAGAAGCACTAAACCCATTCTAGTCATCTAGTATCTAGGGAATAAGAGGCATTTTAATTAAATCCAAAGAGCCCCAGCAGCAGCATCAAGACATCTTTCTTGATGAATCCTGGGAACCAGTGCTGAGCCAGATGTCTGGAGCATAGCTTTATAACCCTCGTATATTATTCACCCTATTTAATGACACTCTCAATGGAGAATTGGAGGAGAATCCTTCCTCCGTAAGATATGCATGTTGCACGATGTGACTAAAATGTCGGGATGCAAGGGGTTAGTAATATCTTCTCCTGTATACATTACTAAATGTAAAAAGAAAAAAACTGTTTCTTCTTTTTTGTGTCGCCCTGCCTTGGTGGGAGATGGCAGCTGTTAAAAATTTAAATTTAATGCCAATTTCTATTACACTCCAATTTTCAGGAAAGTAACTCCCAAACTTTATAAGGTTCTACTGCATTCTCTTTTCTAATTAATATGTATGTTTTCTATGTATTATCTAATGAGGCAGAACTAGAATCACAACTGTAAAAGGGCAACACACTTTCAATGTTATGATAAAAAGAATGATAATATTTTAAGCATTATAACAATCAAAAATGTTTATGCTCACCTTCCTGACTGGGATGACACCCCGCTGATTTACATCTACCACATTCCAGGTGTTTTGAAAGTTGCGTATATCAGCGTAAGACAGCAAAGCATCCTCTTCATTTGAGTAAAACAAGGAGAAGTTCTCCATGATGATAGCTGGAGAAAAGTCCAGTAAACTTCTGTTAGTGGCTGATAAGTAAGACACACATACAATGTTTCATCTGCACAGTAGGCTTCCTCAGTCAAATATACAGGAGCCAGCAGAAGCAGTGGAGATGCAAAGACAATGTAATCAGTCTGTCACACTCAAAGATATAGTTTTGAGATAGTCCCTCAGCCTGAAGAAGAGTTCTGATCCACTGCTGAGAACATTATTCCAGGCAGTGGAGCAGAACTCTTATCCAGGCTAAGGGACTGACCACCTCAAAACCATGTCTGAGTGTGAAGGACTAATTACATTATCCTTACATCTCTACTGTTTCTGATACCTCTTCTGTATTTAACTGAAGAAGCCTACTGTGTAACCAAAATGTTTCAGAATAAAGACACCTAACTGTTGCACATGTCCCCTCAAGGAAGGTTCCTTGATGTTGGTGAGGGGCTCTTGATTTAGGGAATTGGATCTGTGCTCCAGTTCCCCGAATTAAGCCTGAATGCCTTCCACATCCCCCCCCCAGGCGCTGTATAATCCTCCGGGTTTAGCGCTTCCCCCTTGATTATAATAATAATAATGTTGCACATGTCTTACTTATCAACATGTCATATTTACATCTGTTGGTGGCTCTGGGGATCATTGCCCCCACAACTTGGTCTAAAATCAGGGTTCTTAAATTGAAATGGAAATATTATAGGAACAAACTAGAAACAATATATTGCAAAAATAGTAACCCATTCCCTAAGTCATAATATTTTTTTCAAGTTATAACAGTAATCTTGTAAATATGTATTACTTAGCTCCCAAACCAATCCTCTCATAGATGTTACCTTGCTCTTCAAAATTTAGACAAAAGTAAACTTCTTATACTTACCAACAAGTAAGTTCAGTACAATATATGTTATAATAACATAAAAAGAACAGAAGAAGATGAGGGAACCAGTGAAGTTTCCACAGTCAGTTTCCCAGTAGTTATTGCCAGGAGTGCAGAACGGTGGTGCCACCATACAGTCGTGCATGATTTTGTTCCAGTCTTCTCCAGTCACAATGCGGAACAGCAGTGCAATGCCATTGGTGGCAGTCTGAAAGTTTGCTTGCCTGTTGATAATTTTTTAATTAGTTTTACTGATGACTTCAATGAAAATTATTTTCAATACATCAGCCATTTCCTACCAAAGTGGGAAAAAGTGAAGACAGTTGTAAGTCAGGTTGGGTGAGGAGAGGTAAGAATACAGCCAAGACCAGGTCAAGTCAAAATAGGAAAAGACAAAGCTAAGACTAGGTCAGGTCAAAAAAGGTAGACAGCCAAAACCAGACCAGGTAAAGAGGGGTAAAATGATAGCCAAGACCAGATCAGGTCAAAGAGGTAAACAGACAGCCAAAACCAGGTCTGGTTAAGGAGACAGCTAATGTCAGGTCAAATCAGGTGCATTTTTAATATTGGCATTTTCAAAAATGTAACAGGAATGGTAAGCACCAACAAAAACAAAAACAAGACTAATAATCACATTATGGATGTTATATTAACTCTCCAATTCAACAGCAGCACATTAGCAGAGGACCAGCTTATGGGGTGATATCTATCATAAGAGAAAAAATCATTGTTAGTGCTGACACTACCAATGCTGTTTTCTGTTCAATATATGTGAAACTTAACTTTTGAAGCACTCTTAAGTTGATAAAACAATATACTATATACTGAGAGGAATGAATTAGCAAGATATAATTATCACAGCTTCTTGTTATACAAACACTATAGTCCTCTAAGGCAAGACATGTAAACCATGGAAAGGGTGCAGTTTCAACCCATGGTGAGACGTAAAACTCCAGGCCAGTGTGCCAGCCACTCGGCCAGCTGGCTACAACACAGTGATTTGTTTGTAATCGTGTTATATTGATTTCGTGAGTCAAGACATGTAAATTTAAATTCAAAATTAATTTTTTCATTTTAAGTTAATGTATAAAATATGCAATAATTAGGACGTGCATAGGATACACAGTATTCTATTTTACTGAAAATAATTGGAGAAGGTGATTTCCTGTGTTTTGTAAGCAGAGTCAATCAAATTGTAATGATATGCTGGGTATAAGGACACGTGCAACTAATGCGATATTTTACTGTGACAACATTTCACTCTCCAGGAGCTTTTTCAAGTCTTTACAGCTTGACAAAGCTCCTGAACAGAGAAAGATTGCCACAATAAAATGTTGCATTAGTTTCACATGTCCTTACACCTAACAAGAGTCATTCAAAGAGAATCTAACGATCACGTTACAAATAAATCACATTCAAACTTACCTTCCAATGCTTTCTCCATATTTGACTGTACCAAAGAGGATACACCCTGCTAAGGCATATGACAGGATGAGAAGAAACATTCCCATGATGATAAAGAAGCTTTTATACACAGATACACCCACAGTAAGCATCAACATTTTCAAGGTAGCGTGTTTCCCAGTAATAGTGAAGAACCTCAAGATGATCACCATGAAGCCAAACATATGAGATTCCTCAGTCTGTAAAAGACATTTCATCTTAATTAAGATGGATTTTAACATGAATTTTCTGAAACAAAATAATCAATTCTGAATACAGTATCTAATGGGCAACACTTGGGTATCTTTATCAGAGACTCTGCCACACAGTAGCTTCCTCAGTACAATAAAGAGAAGAATGGTTGAAGATCAGAAGGAGTTTGAGGTAATCAGTCCCTCAGCCTGGAGTCGATGTAATCAGTCCATCAATTTTGTCTGTTCTCTGAACATTTATCTACAAAGTATCTAATAAATAACTAAAAAAAGTATAATGAACAACTGATCTGTATACTTCAGCCCCAGAAGGGGGTCGAAATATACAGATCAATTAATTTTCTGAGTTTGTGTCTCCATGTGGGTTATTACTGAGCACAATATCTAGTATTTTGAGTGAAACAAAATCCTGCCTACAAAATATTCTTTTAATTTCTTTATTTTTAACAGGCTGACCATCTCCCATAGAGGCAGGATAACCCAAAAAAAGAAACTTTTTCACCATCATTCACAATATCACTGCCTTGCCAGAGGCATGCATATATAAATAACAAAAAAAGGCATAATAATAATAATAAAGCAGCAGCAGCAGCATAAGCAGCAGCAGCAGCAGCAGCATAAGCAGCAGCATAAGCAGCAGCAGCAGCAGCATAAGCAGCAGCATAAGCAGCAGCAGCAGCATAAGCATAAGCAGCAGCATAAGCAGCCTCAGCCTCAGCCTCAGCCTCCTCCTCCTCCTCAGCCTCCTCCTCCTCCTCAGCCTCCTCCTCCTCAGCCTCCTCCTCCTCAGCCTCCTCCTCCTCAACCTCCTCCTCCTCAGCCTCCTCCTCCTCCTCAGCCTCCTCCTCCTCAGCCTCCTCCTCCTCCTCCTCAGCCTCCTCCTCCTCCTCCTCAGCCTCCTCCTCCTCCTCCTCAGCCTCCTCCTCCTCCTCCTCAGCCTCCTCCTCCTCCTCCTCAGCCTCCTCCTCCTCCTCAGCCTCCTCCTCCTCCTCCTCCTCCTCCTCAGCCTCCTCCTCCTCCTCCTCCTCCTCCTTATATATATATTATACCCACCCTGTTCTACTTCTCTTTAGTGTGACTTTTTAAAGGGTCCAAGTTGGACCGAAACATCATCGTAAGCGCCTCTCTTCTATGTGCGGGTTATCTGTGCATGCACATATGACAGTTTAGACATCCCTCTAAACAGCAAATATCCCTAACACCTCAGAGTGTAGGCATCGTACTTCCCACTTCCAGGACTCGAGTCTGGCTAACCGGCACTTTTCATATTATCTACAGCGTATCTATAGCTGTGAAGAATATGTCATATCAGGATGGATCAATTGACAGCCAGCCAAATTCCCACCACAGGATGTGTGAAATCCATCACCTACCAACAGTGTGCTCTGCACCACTTTTCTATTGGAGCAGAACTTTAAATATCACAGAAATTATACCGGAGAAAATGATCTACAAATATATGAGGGAAAACAATTATTTATTACAGTAATAATGAAAGCAAGGAGAAAATACAATTATAGGCACTCGCTTTTATTCTTGAAATTAATCATGCACATATATTGCTTGAGACAGGTAGACTGGAACTTCAGATATTTTAACATAACATTCTCTGTATAGCCCTTGTGGCTTAGCGCTTCCTTTGGATTATAATAATAATAATTAACATAACATTTAACTTATAATCTATTTATATAGTGACACTTTTTCCTGCCCATTATATACTCACCTGTATGGTATAGTTGAGAATGATCCATATAACACCGAGAACAGTGACAAAAAGGTCGTAGCGATTACGTCTACTTTGCCAGTATCCTCGTGGAGTAAATGCAATTAGTTTCATGACCACTTCCATGACAAACACCAGATCTAACAGAGATGAGACAATTGCTAAGGATTTTGTTAGCTCCTCCTCTTTGTTCCACTGAAATGGAAAAATAATGAAAATTATGAGGAGAGAAAGGAGAGAAAAGTTTTCACCCATAATACTGTGCAATAATTATTATTTTAATAAAATAGTAACAATAATAATAATAATAATAATAATAATAATAAGGGATTCAGGGAAACCGGTTATTTTCATATAGTCGGACTTGAGTCCTGGAAATGGGAAGTACAATGCCTGCGCTTTAAAGGAGGGGTTTGGGATATTGGCAGTTTGGAGGGGTATGTTGTGTATCTTTATACGTATATGCTTCTAAACTGTTGTATTCTGAGCACCTCTGCAAAAGCAGTGATAATGTGTGAGTGTGGTGAAAGTGTTGAATGATGATGAAAGTATTTTCTTTTTGGGGATTTTCTTTCTTTTTTGGGTCACCCTGCCTCGGTGGGAGACGGCCGACTTGTTGAAAAAAAAAAAATAATAATAATAATAATAATAGAAGATACAATGAATGGGTATTCAGTTGGTGGTAGTCACGCACAACATCTTGGGCAGACTGAAACTAGGGCTAAGCAAGAAAAGTATTACAAGACTGCAGTCTTAATCTAACGGCTAAATACACCAAAATAAATTTAGAAAGTACTGTATGGTGTTTTTTTGGAGAAATTATATAAGGCAGATATAATAGACTAAAAAATATTAATGAAATAAGATCATTCAAAGGGTGTCTTATGATGATGGTTAAGGAGTTCTGATCTTTCCATAGCTTTGATCAAACCTTTCAACATTTGCTGAGGAATTAGACCTTTGACTTTGTGATGCAGACTTAAGGCTCAGGTTATTGCAGTAATCTTAGAATCACCAGCCAGAAGGTTTGAGCCCTGATTACTTTTTATCAATTTTATCACATACTGCATAGTCATATAATATGCAAAAGTTACAAGTTATGACTGCTTTACAATACAGTACTCATCATGACACAAGTCTCTGCTGCTGAGGAAAATAAGTGATCTACCTACCCATATTTTTTTTTTTACCTCATAAGCCATCTCTTACGGCACAGGATGACCCCAAAGCTAGAGCTCACATTCAATCACTGTCCTGCCAGATGTGAGCTGACATCACAAATCAGATTACCCTCAGATTGCAACATACCTATCCTTTCCTGAGAGTGCAGGCACTGAACCTTCCCACCTCCAGGACTCAAGTCCGGCTAACTGGTTTCCCTGAATCCCTTCATAAATGTTAACTTTCTCACACTCCATCAGTATGTTCATGAAAAACCACTTGTCCCTATTCACTCCTATGTAACACTCTCTCACAAGCTTGCTGGATGTTCAAGCCACAAACTCAAAGCCTCCTTTACCCCCTCCCTCCAACCATTCCTGGGATGACCCCTATCCTTTCTAAACTTCCATCTCAGATTTATACACCCTTTTCATCATCCTCTCTCTCTCTCTAGATGCCCAAACCACCTCAACACTCCTTTAGCCCACTGAAATATACCCTTAGCGACCCCACATCACTGTTTAATTTCTATGCTCCAAATTATCTACCCGACAGTCACACTGCACATTTACCAAATAAATGAATTCCCTGCACCTTTTATACAACAATCAGTACTTGACTTTCAGTTGATACAATAACTGAAAAATTTAGCAAAGTGAAGTCTATTATACTTACTGCTACACATAATAAACTACTGTTAATGATGACAGAAATGGCAACAAAACGCTTGAAGTAAATATTTTGTGTGATGTCATAAATGAAGGCTCGGAATGCTCGACCATCAGGGCGAGGAGGTAGGTGAAGAGGCTGAGCAATCTTCAACCTTTTCTTGAGATCACACCTGGTGGAAGCATTTATAAATATTAATTAATGGTGTAATGGCAGTAATTTCTAATGATGTCACAAGTACTACTATGAATTTCACAAGAAGGAATATTCCTAATGGTTGACTGGTTAACTGAGTTTAACATCTACCAACTACATGAGTCATTAAGGCTGCATGACACCTGCTGACCACCAGTCAAGAATACTTTAATCCCTAAAATAGGGAGTAAAATAAATTATCAGTGTACCTGTATATACACTAAAAAAGACACACCATGTACCAGTATACATACCAAGAGACATATACTGTGTACCAGCATATATACCAAGACACACACACTTGTCAGAGTATATAAAATTAATAAATTTTGTAGATCCATATAACTGAAGAATGAAATGCTTGTGCAACATTTGGGGATCTTTACTGAAGAAATATTTTGCTAGCCAGTGTCTTCTTCAGTCCAATACAGAGAATAACAGTGGAAGATGAGGAGGAGTTTGAAGTAATCAGTCCCTCAACTTGAAACATTTCCTCAGTAAAGTTTCCCAATGTTGCACAAGTGTCTCATTCTTCAACTTGTCAGTTTTCAAAACCATTTTCATTGCTCCATATAATTATTTGAATTTACTTTTAAAATAACACTCAGAGTTGTCTTTACAAGATTATAATCATAGTAGAACTAAGACCTGCATATTATGCTCAGCTCTTGGAATTATCTATTATTAAAACTACTTAATTCTAAAGCAAAATTTACACAGATGTGGAGTTATTGTTACCTTGTGAGTTTAGTAAAAAAATACTGACAGGTAATGTAAAAAAATATAAATTCTGGTAAAAGTTAGACTAAAACAAATTAAATGAAGTCTAAGGGGTTAAATGTACAAAAGATTAAATTATTTATTTTAGTTTATATTTTCTTTAGACCCGACAGCTGGGTTGGTAGCGCACTCAGCTCACACACTGAGATCCGTGGTTCGATCCCCGGTACAGGTGGAAACTTTGAGCATATTTCCTTAAGACACCTGCTGTCCCTGTTCACCCAGCAGTAAGTATGCACCTGGGTGTTAACCAACTGGTGTGGATTGCATCCTGGGGGCAAAATTAACCTAATTTACCCAAAATGCTCTGCATAACCAGGGGCTTTGTATATAGTATGTCACTGATGCCAGCTAGATCTATATAAGTTGTATCATGTACTTGTAGAAATAAAGATTATTATTATTAAGTGAAGATCATCATAACACAGGTGTTTGTGAATCAGGGACTGCCCTTACCCCTTGCTTCAGTGACTTACCATCTTCTCTGATCAACAGTCAGAAGGGCAGTTCCTTTATTCTCAGAGTAGTTCGCAATGACCACACCAACAAACAATGTAAGACCAATCATACAGCCAAGGAAGACAAATATGTGGATGTACACAGTGGATGCCTGTGGAGAATCAATCAAAAATTATAAAAAGTACTTGAGATCTAGTCAGTTTCCTGACAAATGGAAAACTTGAAGATGAATCATACTTTTCATATGCATTCTCACAAGAAAATATAAAAACAGTTGGTGAACCAAGCATTTCTCTACAGCACAAGCACAAAATTTTGTAGTTGTTGAGACTAGGAGCCTTGTGTTATTGCTGATTTTCCATCAGTAATAAGTAGCACTGCTCAAGCACAGCAACGAAGTGCATAAAACGCATAAAAACGTACTTACAAGAAAATGGTCTATATATCCTTTTCAAATGCTCAACATTTCACAAACGGGTGAAATTATTTACAAACATTATCTCTCAGTCAACAGCAGGATTTTAAACTAACACCCTGGATCAAAGTACATAGTAATTATGCCATTCTAGCCGAGTGGTGTAAGTGCTACATATTTTGCTGCAGTAGTGCATAAGTTCGAATCCTGCTGTTGACTGAGAGATAATGTTTCTAACCTCTTTAAAATTTTGTTACAGAAATTTACAAGTGTTGAATAAATATCACAAATACCATAGTTGGAACAATTCACAACTAAGCCATAATTTCGAGGCAAAACTACAGACAGCATTTTTGTCAGACACTTGTGCAACACTTGGATATCTTTATGTAGAAATGTTCTGCCAACCAGTGGCTTCCTCAGTCCAATACAGAAGGGAATGGTTGAAGATCAGAAGGAGTTTGAGGTAATCCATCCCTCAATGATGGACTGATCACATCAACTCCAGGTTGAGGGACTGATTACCCCAAACTCCTTCTGATCTTCAACCATTCTTATCTGTACCGCACTGAGGAAGCCACTGGTTGGCAAAACATTTCTTTAGTTAAGATACCCAAGTGTTGCACAAGTGTCTAATTCATCATCCTGTCACCTCTCTGAACCATTTATCTGCAACATTTTAGTCCATCTTGGACCATCATAAAGTCAACCTAATAATGTAAGACACACCAAAAAGCCACCTAATGTTTCATCTCAAAACTGTATGTTATTTGAGACTGTCCAGTTGTTGTAGATACAGTGGACCCCCGCATAACGATGGCATCGCATAGCGATTTTTCCGCATAACGATTACTTTTATCGCAAAATTTTTGCCCCGCATACCGATTAAAAACCCGCATACCGATTTTCGTCCGAGACGCGTCCAATGTGCCCTCAGCCAGCCTCACATGTGCCGCTCCGTCCCATTGTTTACCAGCCAGCCTCCGCGGTAACATCCAAGCATACACTCGGAATATTTCGTATTATTACAGTATTTTCGGTGCTGTTTCTGGAAAATAAGTGACCATGGGCCCCAAGAAAGCTTCTAGTGCCAACCCTACACCTCAAAGGGTAAGAATTACTATAGAGATGAAGAAAGAGTTAATTGATAAGTATGAAAGTGGGGTGCGTATAGCCGACCTAGTCAAGCTGTACAAGAAACCCCAATCAACCATCGCTACTATTGGGGGCACCAGAAAGACAATCAAGGAAGCTGTTCTTCCCAAAAGGGTTTTCAACTGTGTTTCGAAACAAAGATCGAAATTTGATGGAAGATGTTGAAGACTCTTATTGGTGTGGATAAATGAAAAACAGATAGCAGGAGATAGCGTCTCTCAAGCGATCATATGTGAAAAGGCTAGGAAGTTGCATGACGATTTAATTAAAAAAATGCCTGCAACTATTGATGATGTGAGTGAATTTAAGGCCAGCAAAGGTTGGTTTGAGAGATTTAAGAAGCGTAGTGGCATCCATAGTGTGATAAGGCATGGTGAGGCTGCCAGTTCGGACCACAAAGGGCTGAAAAATATGTGCAGGAATAAAGGGAAGTACATAGAAACTGAAGGACTGAAACCTGAACAAGTGTTTAATGTGATGAAACGGGCCCTGTTCTGGAAGAAAATGCCAAGCAGGACCTACATTACTCAGGAGGAAAAGGCACTCCCAGGACATAAGCCTATAAAAGACAGCTTACTTTGTTGATGTGTGCCAATGCAAATGGTGATTGCAAAGTGAAGCCTTTATTAGGGTATCACTCTAAAACTCCCAGAGCGTTCAGGCAAAAGAATGCCCTCAAGGATAATTTTGTGTGTGCTGTTGGAGGGCAAACAGAAAAGGCATGGGTCACTAGGGAATTTTTCTATAACGGGTTTTACACCATGCATTTGCCCCAATGTGAAAAATTACCTAACAAAAAGAAATAGAACTTAAGTGCCTCCTGGTGTTAGAACAATGCCCCTGGTCATCCTACAGACGTGTCAGAGCGCTTTATGGGGCATGAGCTTCATTAAGTGAAGTTTTTGCCTCCTAATACCATCTTCTCCTGCAGCCATGGACCAGCAGGTTATTTCCAACTTCAAGAAACTGTACACAAAAGATTGTTTGAAAAGTGCTTTGTAAGACCTCAGAAACTCAAGCTCTAAGAAGAGTTTTGTGAGATCACTTGTAATATCCTCAATTGTGTTAAACCTTATAGTAAGGCTTGGGAGACGTGACAAAGAGGACTTGAAACTCTGCTTGGAAGAACGTGGCCAATGTTAACAAAAGGGATTTTGAGGGTTTTGAGGCTAACCTGAAATCCTGGCCAGTTGGGAATCAATTGTGGCATTGGAAAAGTTCTCTGGGGTTAGGAGGTTGTGGGGAGGAGTGAAGAGCTTGGTGGAGAGGACAATGAAGAACTAACCACTGATGAAGTGCTACATAACTTCTCAGCAAGAGGCAATAGTTGAATTGCTGTGAGGGAGAGAGAAATTTGATTTACCTCTTAAAAATTTTGTTACAGAAATTTAAAAAGTGTTTAAGATGCAAAACCCATAGGGAAAATCACAAACTATTCCCATATTGTCGGGATAATTACATGACACATTTGTCAACACTTGGCAATCATTAGGAATACATTAGGGTACAAATGTTTGCCAAAAGGCTTCCAGTCCACTCTGAAGGGCCTAGTGGATAAAGAAGAGGGAGATAACCCCAGAAAGGACTGATCACCTCAAGTCCAAGGATGAGGGACTTTAACACTAAACACTTCTACTTCAACCATCCTTATCATCACCCCAAACCAGTTTCAATAACATTTCTTTAAGTTAAGATGCCCAGTGTTGAAGTGTCAAATTAAAATTAACATCTGTGGTAAACAATTTTCTTAACTTTTAGGTCCATCTTGGACGCATATAAATTTTAACCATAATTGTTTATGGGACACAAATTGATTCCATAATGTTTTTCATCTAAAACTGGCCTTTTGCAGGATTAAATGTCCAGCTGTGTAGATATAGGATAATCTGGAGTAGAGAAATACTGTAAGTGGAAAATAGAATGACAGAACTGTTTATTAGGTTTAAAGCCTATAAACTGCTCAAGGGTCATTAAAGGTGCAATTCACTAGTGCACCCCCAGTCAGGAATACTTTAATAATGAAATAAGAGATTATAATAAACTCTCAGTATACACCTGCCATCCAACTTACACCGAGTTCGGTTCCGAGAAACCGGTCGTAAGTCGAAATGGTCGTAAGTCGAACTTTACTACTGAATATCAACAAAACATTTTTGTAATGACTTTATTTTATTGTTTTATTTTGGTATTTCACATTTTACTTTACTTGTTATGCTGTTAGTACTGTATTTTATACTGTAAGGTTTAGGATAAACACTTTGTACAACACAAATAGTTGTTTATTTCCCAGAAATTTGGCATAAAAAACACGGTCGTAAGTCGAGTGGTCGTAAGTCGAGCAGGTCGTAAGTCGGATGGTAGGTGTATATACAGGAGGGCCCCGTTTTATTCTCTTGGGTTCCTGACCCCCATGTGACGAGCAAAAACTGCTGGTGGAGAAAAAGAATGTTTTTTCATCGGTGAATTCTTCTAAAATGCCTGATAACATATTCACGCTATGATATAATAAGTCCTCAATACTGCTAGGCATAAAAATAACGGATGAAAAAGTGAAATAAATATACAGGTCATACAATACTTACCTTAAAACATGGTGCCTGTCGCCCTTCCCTTACACAAGTGCTGTGCAAAAATGAAGGAAAAGTGGTAAAAGCACCAAACATAATGAACAGTAGTTCAGTTGAAAGCCAACAAAAAAGCGGAACACCAAAGAGAGAGTGCCGAATAAGCAGGGCCCTCCTGTACACTGAGAGACGCATATCTTGGTATACATATATGCTCTCTAGAGAGAAGGAAGATGGGCAAGATTTAACAGATGTCAATATAACCACAAGAGACCATGAATTCCAATCATCAAAAGGAAGAAATCAGGCTGGTCATCTGATACTATACATCATCTGGCTGTGTCTTCCAATTCTGGCTCTTCAACGTGTAGCAAGGGAATTGGTGTTCACCCAAGAACTAGAGGAAGCTGCCCAAAAACATTCATTTAACGTTTTCTTAAAATATGGAGTTTACAAAAACTGATTAACTGGACTTATTACTGGAGCTGAGAAGGGTAGCGTCTGCACTCTTAACCCTTTGACTGTCGCAGGCCCCTTTCTGAAACTGTCATTCTATGTCGCAAAATTTTTGAAAAAAAAAAAAAAAAAAATTTCTTATGAAATGATAGAGAATCTTTTCCTGATGGTAATGACACCAAAAGTTCGAAATTTGGTTGAAAACCCACGGAATTACGCTCCCGCGAAGTTAGCGGTCTCGGCCACATATACATATCGGCGATTTTGCCAACTTTAAGCCCTGCTTTTAGCCAATTACGTTGTTCCAGTTGACCAAACTCATAGCTATTTCTTTAGAACTCCATTTTATCTATCAGTTGAGTACAAGAAACCGCCCATTTACCAATTTGAACTACCCAATAAAGTGGTCAGAAATTGACAATTTGGCCAATTTCACGCAAAATGAAAAAGATGCCAATTTCAAAATAGGGTCCAGAATAAACAAGGCAGACATTCTTCGCACTAAAATAACATATCCTCTGTTCATTAGACACATCTCTAGGCCCCTCTTATATTACTATTGCTTTCTATTTTGATTTTTTATTCATACAAAAAAATACAAAATTTACTGTTATGCAGACTACTGCATTATTGTAAAAATGGTATAAATAATATCAGTGCACTAGTGAAAGAATATTAGACTCCCCAGTTGACGTGTATTGGATGTGTGGTGTGATTTACTTACTCCTGAACATTGGTGAAAATCGAGCATTTCCGCTACTTTGAGCTCAGTTTCAAGGTCGTTTTCATCATGAAAGTAATGAAAATCATCTCTATTTCTGAAGACCACGAAAACGAGAATACAATGATAAATACTATACGAAAATACACCTCAAAGTCGGCATTTTAATCCAAAAAAAGTCGGAGTTTTTTTTTTCTCATTACGCACTGTGTGCTGCAGGATTTTTTTTATGTGGTGCACACTGACCACACAGACCCATTCTCTCACATGTGGGCCTACCAGCTTTCTCCCGCTTGATCTGAAGCCGCTAGAATTATTGAGTATATATACGTCAGAAACAGTGGCGTGTAAGACGTATTTATAAGGCATAGACAGTCAAAGGGTTAAGAAGGGGTGGGAATGTTGATTTTGAAATAAGTACACTACTGGAAAGCTGGCAGTTGAATGAATAATGGAATATGCATTTTCTTCTTTGGGTCACCCTGCCTTGGTGGAACATGCCTGTCAAGTTAAAAAATTAATTATCAACCCAACAGCCATCTATGAAATTGTTACTTTGTTAAAAATTAACTGAGGATGATATTTCCAACATACAGTTGGAGCAATACTGTTCCAGTTACACAATATTGTTGCATAGTCTGGAGCTGAACACTTCTCCTGGCTGAGGGACTGACCACCTCAAAAACTATTTCTCCAAAGTTGATGGACTGATTACATCATCTTCACTACCACACCTGCTGCCTCTGTATTTGACTGAAGAAGCCTATGTTGGCAAAATTTTTCAATCAATAAAAATACCCAACTTCTGCACATGTGTCTTACCCTTTAACTTGTCGGTATTATATGTGTACCATTTTCAATGTACATGTTGGACTTGCATTTACTATCCACAATCGCTCAATGTTCTTCAACTCAGCATACAGAAATATTTTGTTCACAAAACTCCAAATTTGTGATGCCACTCCACATATACACAACTTAAGATGTTTGTTTACAACATTTGTTAATCAATTTATAGACGTTAATAAACAGGGGAGTTAAATGACATTTATTTACTGTGTAGATTACCCAGGTAACTCTTATGACTTTGATTTTCATTTTAATTTATGAGTAATAATTATATGCACACCTAAATGTCTTTCACTCTTTAACAAACATTGTACCATGCTGAAAAAAGAATCTTTAATATAAAAACTGTTTGAGAGATGGTGCATTTACATGATTTTCTTCAAAAGAAAATTCTTATTGTTATGTGTTTTTCAATCCCTGATCCTTCATGATAAATAAACTTGCAGAAAAGAGTGAAGATGCTATTTTTCTTAACTAAACACATTATTTTTCCTTGTTTAAACTTCATTTTAATTCATTTAAACATTTGTAAATAATGAAGGTACATTTACTATGGAAACCCAAGAGAGAGCATTAGCTGTCTGTTAAACATGACATGCAATATTTCCAGGTAACTTGCTCTCTCTCTTTTTCTATATCTCAACTAAAAATAGTATGCAGTAGTCCCCCCGTATCTGTGGTTGATACGTTCCAAGACCTATTGCGAATGCCCAAAACTGTGGACAGTAGCGAACCCTAAATATATAAGTCGTTTTTTGTTAATGTGCATACAAATTTAATGCTTTTTCTATTTTAACTAAAACCTTATCAAGCACTGTAGACGTAACCTTTGCAGTCTGAGGTGCACAGCAAAACTAAACCAAATTTTTATTTCATTCTTCAGCGCCAAGAATAACTGAAACTGCATAAACAGAATCCTCGGATATGGGGGCTCTACTGTACTATGGTACTACACCTCAACACTACTGTAGACATACAGTCATCATGCTGACAAACACTAATGCTTGGACGGAACAATATAACACTGGGATTCAACATATAGCACTAATACACCGACTATCCACACGATAAGGAAGGAAACTGGAGGCAACTTACAATGCCAAGCCGAATTTTTAACACATCACGAATATCTAGCCAACCCTTGAATGAAAGGACTTCAAATAGGGCCAGCATAGCATTTCCAATGTTGTCAAAGTTGAAGCGTCTTGGATTGGCCCTGTGTTTTGGGTACAATATTGTTAGCCAGGAAACTTCTCAGACAGAATCTCTAATCCAATAAGGAAGATTGTCATAAGTACCAATTTATAAACAGTAAACTTGTTACATAAAATAATTTGTAATATGGAGGAAACAAAGCATTACTACCAACAATAATAAAAAAAACAAGAATACAGCAACTTTTTACTGTCAATGTTTCATTATATGATGAGCTTTATTAAATGAATTAACTTGATAAAGCTCTACATAGAGTAAAACACACACAAATCTTGCTCTGCACCTACATCTTCTCTTATACTGTATAACACTATTAACCCTTTTAGGGTCGAGAGGCCCTCTCCTAAACTCGTTCTCAGGGTCGAAAATTTTTCGGAAAAAAACAAAAAAATTCTTATGAAATGATAGAGAATCTTTTCCCGATCATAATGACACCAAAAGTATGAGATTTGACGGAAAACTTACAGAATTATGCTCTCGCAAAGTTAATGGTCTCGACAATGTTTACACATCGGCGATTTCGCCTACTTTGAGCCCTATTTTTGGCTAATTCCTGTGTACTACTCGACAAAAATCATATTTGCTAGAACTCCATTTTTTCTATCGAATGAGTACAAGAAACCACCCATTTACCAATTTCAACTGCCCAATAAAGTGGTTAGAAATTGGCAATTTTGCCAATTTTACACAAATTTCAGAAGATGCCAATTTCCAAATAGGGTCTAGAATAAACAAGACAGACATTCCTGGCACTAAAATAACAAGTTCTTTGTTCGTTAGTCATGTCCCCAGGCCCCTCTTACATTTCTTTTGCTTTACACTTTGAATTTTTATTCTCACAAAAAATAAAAGATTTACTGTTATGCAGACTACTGCATTAGTGTAGAAATGGTATAAATAATATCAGAGCACTTGTGAAAGAATATTTGACTCACTAGTTGATGTGTATTGGACGCTTGGCATGATTTGTTTACTTTTGAACTTTGGTAAAAATCGAACATTTCTGCTACTTTGAGCTCAATTTCAAGGTACTTTTCATTGCGAAACCAATCAAAATCATCTCAATTTCTGTAATATGTCTTCCATTCTATAAAATGAGACCAGGAAAACTAGAATACAACCATAAATACCATATGAAAATACACTGCAAATTCGCTGTTTTAATCCAAAAACACGGTCAAAGTTTTTTTTTTCTCATTACGCACTGTGTGCTGCAGGATTTTTCTTATACTGTGCACACTGACCACATAGACCCATTCTTTCATATGTAGGCCTACCAGTTTTCTCTCGCTAGATTTGAAGGCACTAGAATTTAGGTGTTCTAGTACGTCAATAACCCTGGTGCGTAAGCCGTACTAGTACGTCGGAAACCCTGAAAGGGTTAATAAGAGATAGAACACAACAAACCTTCAAGACAACTGACACTATGATTACTTTGTTGCTGTGGGCATCAAACTTTACCATTATTCACCTCTAATCCCAAAAATTTCTTATTAATCTAGAATGAAATATCAATTACAACTGTATTTATAAACTAAGAGTCAACTCATACAGTGAGGTTATACTGTAAGGTGAGAGTATACATTATACCTCTACCTTAAGTCTATTGCCACTTTTATGCTAATAAAATCAATTATGATTTTCTAAAATAGACAAAAAATTATTAATTAAATCTTACAAAAAAACTCTCGGTATTAGTAATGCTATTTACATTAAATAAATCAATAACACTCAATGTTTTTATGAAGATATCAAATATAACTCAAATGAAATACATGTAAATCGATGTTTCTTGTCATTTATTGTCATTTACCAGCACCTCTGAAGACAGCAATTGAGTGAGTGATAATGAAAGTGTTTCTTCTTTTTCAGGCCACCCCACCCTTCCCACCTGCAGATGTATCTACACAACTCAAACCCAAGGTAATAAGGCCTTTCAAGATATGCAAATGTTTAATGCCATAATAACTGCAGACAACTTTTCTCAGTGATCAAGCTAAAAGCACGATGTAGGAATATTCACAATAATTCAGAAAATTTAGAATCTAAGAGATCCCTCTAATATGAATAGTTTGCTAAATAAACATAGAGACTAGATCAATGGTTATGTAAGAACATCAGGTGTGTTTAGTCATAAATAACCGTGATACCAGCTATTAATCTACAGAATAACATGACCCAATATGGATACCAAATTCTGGTTTAGTACTGTACAAGTAAGTACAACACATAATGCATAACGTAACTTGTGGTGACAATTCATAACAAAATTAAAAACAAAAATATGAAGCATAAAAACAAAAGTTTTCTGATGGAAGCATGGTGTATGTCATCAAAATACTGGGATATAATACATACACAAATAAACTTAGAATAAAATGCTGCTCTTGGCAAAATATACATTTCTCACTGTTTTAACTTACCATACTCGAGGGACCAGCATGGCTGGATATTTTTCACCATCAGTTGGTTCTAATTTCATCTTGGTCACAAAAATCTGTCGTATGAAGACACCTACACAATCCTTTCGTTCTGTTATGGTCTCATCGTTGCATCTTGCAAGTCGGCCACCATACATCTGCACTCCATAACTTGCAAACACGAAGAGGAGCACTATTAAGAGAACTGATACCTGTAAAGAAAGTGCACTGGTATATTGTGTTAAGGCAGAAAAGGTTTTGTGTGCAAGGGCCTTAGACATCCATCAGGCATGTGTGAACGTGTAAGACAGGAGTGGTGGCAAATGGTTTTTGGGACCTGACGAGATGTTGGAGTATGAGCAGGGTAACTTTTTTTTAAGGGATTCAGGGAAACCGGTTAGCCAGACCTGAGTCCCAGAGGTGGGAAATACAGTGCCTGCACTCTAGGGAGGGAGGAAGGGACATCTGAACTTTCATCTCTGCATGCCTCTGGCAAGACACTGATAGTGTGAATGATGGTGCAAGTGCTTCTATTTTTGGGTCACCCTACCTTGGTGGGAAACTGCCATTGTATTAAAAAAAATCTATTTTACAAATTATGCAATTTAACTACAACAAAGGTAATAAAAAATATCAGCACTTTTATGATCTCTCAATCCCATTCTCAAGGAATAGTGCAGTAAATTATGTAACAGGAGTCTCATTTACAAGAAAGATGCACCTTACACATGAACCTGACATGGGCAAAGTCAGATGAACCTGAAAGGTGCCAAATTTGATAAGTTAATCTACCTAAGCTAATTTCAGAGTACAACCTTATCTAAGGTAGTGGCCAGTTCTGAGGGCTTGTCTACCCTTGTAGCCTGGCCTTCACTGACTGAATGTTTAATCAAGCAGTGGCCCAGTGACTAACACAGCTATCAAACCTGACTGATCTGGCATTTGGTGGACAACATTTCACTGAGTAGAGCTTCAGAAACCTGTACCCACAGCATAAGCAAAGCTCCAATAAAAGTCTGCTCTGCAACCCTTGTCTTTTCTTCACTTCTATCACATGTACATTATTTAGATCTTTTCCAAGGTATATTACCACCACCCAGGATGCTAACCACAACAATCTGCTTAAACCTGGGTACCTATTTGCTGCTAGGTGAAGACGAGCAGTAAGTGTATGGAGACTTGCCCAGACGTCTTGCCCATCCCAACTGTGAACATTCTCACTACATCCCATTCTTTTCCTTTATGTACATAGTTTGTAAGTTTTATTTACTTCAAGTTTAACTTGCATGTACTAGACAACTAGAACATGAGAACAATGTCATTTTACAACTAAGATAGATAAGGAGAGAAGTATAAATAGGATCAAGAAACATTAAGTAAGGTTAGAGATGACAGAAGAGACATAGCAAACAAGTACATACACAGTCCAGTACAATATAGTACACAAAAGGAATTCCAATTTAACTCATTTTTTTTCACTTCCTACTGTAAAAATTGGTTTACGTACTTTAAATAATTATAAATCAACAGGCATTTATTACATTTTTGAAAAAATTTACTTGACTGATATATTGTATAAGCCTAATAAAGAGTGGAATGCATGAAACTTACCAGCAAAATTTCTTTAAAGCCTTTACAGAGTTCAGAGACAACTTTGCGCATGTGGGGCACTAGGTTGAATATTCGAAGTGGACGTAAACAACGCAAGATGAGAAGCAGCTGTGCTCCAGATTGTGGAGGAACTTCCTTTGGCATCCAGCATGAAAACACCAAAGATACCTGAAAATTTGAAGTAAGCTTAGTGATGCTGGTATCTTGTTTGTCAAGAAAAATGAAAAAAATTCTCTTGACAAAGGGGTCACAGTCATCGCGACTTTCCAGGCACTGGAAGGCAGGTCTTTATACAGCGTATGCTATCAGTGCCCCATAAACCCCAACAACAACATTAGTCATTATGACCTACATAGTAAACCTTTTGGTCATTAGACTAAGGTCTTATACTGGCTTACTGGGACCACTACTAATAATTAAGGAGACAGGAGAATTTTTATGACTAGACGTGCTATTAGTATGAGCAAGGTAATTTGTGATAGGATTCATGGAAATTAGTTAACTGGATTTTAGTCCAGAGGTGAAAAGTGCAGCACCTACACTCTGAAGGAGTGAGTGAGTGAGGATGTTGCAACTCAGGAAAGCAATCAATAGAACTGTAATGCTAGAGCACTTCTGGCACGACAGTGATTAAGTGAATAACAGTGAAGGTGTTTTCTTTCTTTTTGGGTCACCCTACCTTGGTGGAAGATGGCTAGTATGTTAAAAATAATGAAGAACTGTACCGTGTAGATAAAAAGATCCAAGACTCCTGCCATGTCCCGGATCAAGGCTTTAGGTGTGAAGAGTAAACCATCTGCTAGAATCTTCAAACCCAGTTCCATGCTCATGAAGACAACAAAGGCATATTCTGCAATCTGAAGTAGAACCATTACATGTATGGAAGAGGGCAAGGTACCTAGGGATTGGCAGAGAGCATGCATAGTTCCTTTGTATAAAGGCTAAGGGGATAAAAGAGAGTGCAAAAATTATAGGAGAATAAGTCTGTTGAGTATACCTGGTAAAGTGTATGGCAGAGTTATTATTGAAAGAATTAAGAGTAAGATGGAGAGTAGGATAGATGAACAAGGAGGCTTTAGTAAAGGTAGGGGGTGTGTAGACCAAGTGTTTACAGTGAAACATATAGGTGAACAGTATTTAGATAAGGGTAAAGAGGTTTTTGTGGCATTTATGGATTTGGAAAAGGCATATGACAGGGTGGATAGGGAAGCAATGTGGCAGATGTTGCAGGTGTATGGTATAGGAGGTAAGTTACTGAAAGCAGTGAAGAGTTTTTACGAGGATAGTGAGGCTCAGGTCAGAGTACGTAGGAGAGAGGGAGATTATTTCCCAGTAAAAGTAGGCCTTAGACAAGGATGTGTGATTTCACCATGTTTGTTCAATATTTATAGATGGGGTTGTAAGAGAAGTGAATGCTAGGGTCTTGGCAAGAGGTGTGGAGTTAAACGATAAAGAATCAAACACAAAGTGGGAGTTGTCACAGTTACTCTTTGCTGATGACACTGTGCTTTTGGGAGATTCTGAAGAGAAGTTGCAGAGGTTGGTGATGAATTTGGTAGGGGATGTAAAAGAAGAAAATTAAAAGTGAATATAGGAAAGAGTAAGGTTATGAGGATAACAAAAAGATTAGGTGACGAAAGATTGGATATCAGATTGGAGGGAGAGAGTGTGGAGGAGGTGAATGTATTCAGATATTTAGGAGTGGATGTGTCAACAGATGGGTCTATGAAGGATAGGTGAATCATAGAACTGATGAGAGGAAAAGGGTGAGTGGTGCTCTTAGGAGTCTGTGGAGACAAAGAACTTTGTCCGTGGAAGCAAAGAGGGGAATGTATGAGAGTATAGTTGTACCAACACTCTTGTATGGGTGTGAAGCATGGGTGATGAATGCTGCAACGAGGAAAAGGCTGGAAGCAGTGGAGATGTCATGTCTGAGGGCAATGTGTGGTGTGAATATAATGCAGAGAATTCGTAGTTTGGAAATTAGGAGGTGTGGGATTACCAAAACTATTATCCAGAGGGCTGAGGAGGGGTTGTTGAGGTGGTTTGGACATGTAGAGAGAATGGAACAAAACAGAATGACTTCGAGTGTTTAAATCTGTAGTGGAGGGAAGGTGGGGTAGGGGTCGGCTTAGGAAGGGTTGGAGGAGGTAAAGGAGGTTTTGTGTGCGAGGGGCTTGGACTTCCAGCAAGCGTGCGTGAGCGTATCTGATAGGAGTGAATGGAGACAAATGGTTTTTAATACTTGACGTGCTGTTGGAGTGTGAGCAAAGTAACATTTATGAAGGGATTCAGAGAAACTGGCAGGCCGGACTTGAGTCCTGGAGATGGGAAGTACAGTGCCTGCACTCTGAATGAGGGGTATTAATGTTGCAGTTTTATAACTGTAGTGTAAATCACTCCTCTAGCAAGACAGTGATGGAGTGAATGATGATGAAAGTTTTTCTTTTTCAGGCCACCCTGCCTTTGTGGGAATTGGCCGATGTGTTAATAAAAATAAATAAAATAAATAAAAGATTAACTGAAGCTACTGAGTAGATGTCAATACAGTACTGTATTAATAGCCTAATACTAATATAATACAGTGATACATTACATCATTCGTTATCTGGTGATTGGTTATTAAGCATTTAAACATTATTTGGAATTCTTGTCCAATCCAGCACCTAAATGGATAATGGCACTATACCCTCGATTTAATAGGGTAATAACATGGAGAAATACCTAATTCTCAAAACTTTGAACAAATGAGACACTTTAATGCAATATGAAAAGCTTTAAAAATAACAATGCTTCGCATAGAGAACACTTGAAGTAAGAGTTTATATATCAGAGAAAAGTGAAAAAAAAATGTGAGGCATTTGTGACTGGTCCATCATGTCATATCTGTTTTCATAATGTTTGGTAAGATGAGGTGCTAGAGGCTTCACTATTTGGAAGTTACCATGATTTCTGGAAATGGTATTTGAGAGCATTAACTAGAACAGATTCCAGGCATTTCCTTTTATTCTTCTCCTTTTTTTGATGATTAATGTATGCAGAACAATAAGTCACAATACTGTAGCTGAAACAATTCACAAATAACCCATATTTAAGAGGGGGACATTATGACGATGTTCTCATAAAGCTCTTCTTGTATTACTTTTGATGAGTTCCAAGAGTTTTTCAATTCTGAGCCCAGCTTTGGACCAGGTTGTGCAGGTTATCTGTATAAATAACTTGTATAAAAGCAGTGGCATCTTAAGCATCACAGTACCTGTAACATGGGCTCCTCAGTAATACGGTAAGTAGCCATTTCAATCATGAGGGAGATGCAGGACAGCGTTGTCACCAGGATCATCAGCCAATCTAAATACGTCACCAAAGCCAGAAGGTTACTGTAAAGAGAAAATATCATATACTAATCTAGTTTCAAAGTCACTACTACTACTACTACTACTAGTTTTTTTTTTTTTTTTCAACAAGTCGGCCGTCTCCCACCGAGGCAGGGTGACCCAAAAAAGAAAGAAAATCCCCAAAAAGAAAATACTTTCATCATCATTCAACACTTTCACCACACTCGCACATTATCACTGTTTTTGCAGAGGTGCTCAGAATACAACAGTCTAGAAGCATAAACATATAAAGATACACAACATATCCCTCCAAACTGCCAATATCCCAAACCCCTCCTTTAAAGTGCAGGCATTGTACTTCCCCTTTCCAGGACTCAAGTCCGACTATATGAAAATAACCGGGTTTTCCCCGAATCCCTTTACTAAATATTACCCTGTCACACTCCAACAGATCGTCAGGGCCCAAGTACCATTCGTCTCCATTCACTCCTATCTAACACGCTCACGCACGCTTGCTGGAAGTCCAAGCCCCTTACCCCCCAAAACCTCCTTTACCCCTCTCTCCAAAACCCTTTCGGGACGACCCCTACCCGCCTTCCCTTCCCTATAGATTTATATGCTTTTTCCCTGTCATTCTACTGTGATCCATTCTCTCTAAATGACCAAACCACCTCAACAACCCCTCTTCTGCCCCCCTGACTAATACTTTTATTAACTCCAAACCTTTCCTAATTTCCACACTCCGAATTTTCTGCATAAATTTACACCACACATTGCCCTTAAACAGGACATCTCCGCTGCCTCCAACCGTCTCCTCGCTGCTGCAAATTTTCCACAAGCTTCACACCCATATAAAAGTGTTGGTACACTATACTTTCATACATTCCTTCTTTGCCTCCATAGATAACGTTTTTTGACTCCACATATTTCCTCAACGCACACTCACCTTTTTTCCCTCATCAATTCTATGATTAACCTCACCCTTTATAAATCCATCCGCCGACCGTCAACTCCAAGTATCTGAAAACATTCACTTCTTTCCCTAAATCCTCTCCCAATTTGATATCCAATTTTTCTTTATCAAATATTGACAAACCTACACCTTACTCTTTCTATGTTCAATTAACTTTCTACCCTTTCACACATTCCCAAACTCATCCACTAACCTTTGCAATTTTTTTTTTAGAATTCCCATAAGCACAGTATCATCAGCAAAAAGTAACTGTGTCAATTCCCCTTTTGAATTTGATTTCCCATAAATTTTTAATCCCACCCCTCTCCCAAAACCACCCTAGCATTTACCCTTTCCCTTTTTAAAAACCCCATCTATAAATTATTAAACAACCATGGTGAAAATTAACATCCCTGCTAAGACCCCACTTTACCGGGAAGTTTGTCTCCCTCTCTTCTTTCACACCCTAACCTGGCCTCACTATCCTCTAAAACTCTTTACAGCATTTAATAACTACCCCTATTCCATAACTTGCAACATCTGCCCCATTTGCTCCTCTATCCACTCTATCATATGCCTTTTCTAAATCCATAAATGCAATAAAAACTTCCCTATCTTTATCTAAATACTGTTCACATATATGCTTCAATGTAAAAACCTGATCTACACATCCCCTACCCACTCTAAAACCTCCTTGCTCATCCGCAATCCTACATTCTGTCTTACCTCTAATTCTTTCAATTATAACCCTACCGTACACTTTTCCTGGTATACTCAGTAAGCTTATTCCTCTATAATTTTTACAGTCTCTTTTGTCCCCTTTCCCTTTATATAAAGGGACTATACATGCTCTCTGCCAATCCCTAGGTACCTTCCCCTCTTTCATACATTTATTAAACAAAAGTACCAACCACTCCAACACTATATCCCCCCCTGCTTTTAACATTTCTGTCATGATTCCTACTAAATATTCCCACAAGGTGTAACACTTTGCTTCAAGCATCATCAGAGAAACTTTTTGTATTTTGGTCTTTTTTATCACACTAACTTGATTGTTGATGGCCATTGACAATAGAAACACAAATATAAAAAAAAAGAGAAGAGCCTTTAAGAGAAATTTATGGAATATGAATTTGGCAAACAAGATGAAAATAAGGAAATATACCACATGTAAAACAAAGTACATGAGAGGAACAGAGAGAAAACATTTTGGTCTATAGGGTAGGGATTTTAAATTAGACACCAAGGCTGTATCTGCCTCGGTGGGATACAGCCAGTGAGTTGAAAGAAGAAAGAAAGAATTTAGAAAGCATGATATACTTACTGTAGCCTCTTGTATTTAATTTTCCTCTCTTTGCCAGTTATTGGATCCTTGTGACTTGTATCATAACGCGAATATACAATAAGCTGACAAAGTTTTCTGAACCGACACTCACGACCAACTGAAAACAGAGGTGTATCAAAGTATGGATGATTCTCTCTGAGATCCTCTTCCCGCTGATTCCTGTAAGCAAAATAAAGCTTTACTTAGATTAAAAATGGCCAACCCACACATTATACAATTACTGTAAAGAACACTGAGTAATGAACAAGTGGCTTAACATCTGCAAGTCCACAGGTATATTAACTAGGCTAGTATCATCCATGTAACAAGCCTCAATAGCTACCTGTACTCAACTCACATATTTAGTGGTTTAACTGCACAAAATATAAGATTTGATGACATTTCATAAAACCATGTTTTTTTTTTTTTTTACCCCAAAGCCATCTCCCACCAAAGCAGGCTGATCCACAGAAGAAACACATTCACCATCATTCATTTAATTGCTGCTTTCAGAAGTGTGCTGACATCACAGTTTAGATAACTTTCTCACTGCAACTTCCTCGCCTCTCCATTAAAGTGCAGTCACATCCTTCCCGCCTCCAAGACTCAAGTCCACTTAACTGGTTTTCCTGAATCCCTTTATAAATATTTTCTTGCTCACACTCCAACTGCACATCACACCATAAAAATCACTTGTCGCCATGTGTTTCGAGCTAATACACTGACACAATCCTCATGGATGTTCAAGCCCCAAGCATTCAAAACTTCTTTTACCCCATCCCTTAAACCTTTCCCTCCAACATACATAATTAAATTTCTATAAAATGCACTCAAAAGGGAGGTTTGGGATATTTGCTGTTTAGAGGGACATCTCATTTGTCATATCTGCATGCCTCTGGCAAGACAGTGATAGTGTAAATGATGGTGAAAGTGTTTCTTTTTGGGTCACCCACCTCGGTGGGAGATGGCCAGTGTTTTAAAAATAAAAAATGTTAAGCAATATGAAAAACTATTAACTCTTAAACAAAATTATATTACCTTCTCATTTCAGCTTGTTGTCTCTTGGCCTGCAACATTTTGATGTCCAAATCTTGAGGCTTGCGGCTCGATGACGTTCGATTCATTATTCCTAGATCACCATTTTCTTTTAGATGATCGTAGTTCTGCTGCTTGAGCTTGACCGAGCCACGAACACTGCGGCGTATGGACCTTGGAGTAAAGCCAATGAAAAACATTCTCATGCGCATGCAATTGTCATGCATCAAGTAGCATTAAAGCAACAGATTGAAAACTGGTTTATCTTACATTTTAAGCAAATATGAAACTTTATTAAGCATCAAAAATATTTTTATATCTAACAACAGATTCACTACATCACTCTGCAATACCATGCACATATTCAATATGTTCATAACATTAACTGGGTAATGTAATTAAAATAAATATTATAATAAGCCCGAAATGATAAAGGAATTCCATGTGCCTACTGTGTACCGTATTCTGTGACATATAAAACATGCTGGCATATAGGATGCAGCACCTTAAATTTACTGAATATCCCTCGTTTATTTTTTTTAATTGTTCTCTTTGTTAAATGGAATTATTTGTAGATCCCAAGCTGACTCAAAGCTTAACCCCAAGTTTGACCCCATACCAGGATGCAGGGTGATTTTTGAGGGTCAGATTTTGAAAAAAAACAAAAAAAAGTATGTCTTATATGCCACAAAATACAGTATATAACTGATAAAGCTTTAACCCCTTAACAATCATACAAATATAATGGGCAAAATGACACTATTCAATAACATGCTCAGCAATTTGAGAATTTATGCACAACTAAACACAGGTTCCAAAGGGAGAAAAGCCACTGATAATGCAGTGTCTTAAAAAAATTTCTTTTGTAAATAGAATTTTTGCCTTATTCATTTACCTGATGAATTGATTTTGTGTTACAGGTTCATACTTTTGTAAAATATATTCAGCTCTCTTTTAAAGCTAATTTGTATAATGCAACTTCTTGCAAATGTAAATGAAAAATGAAAAACAGGAATCTAAAATTTAACAGTACATGCTTTAAAGACTTTTTTATGTGTTACGCAGTTTCGGATGACCTTTTTCAATCGCATATACAAGAAAGTCCAATAATATACAGTAGAGGAGCTTAAGCCTACCCATAACTGCTCCACATACAAGGGGCTTTTGGCATGTACACCCAACTACTATAATTCATTGTACAACTATGTATCATGCCTAAATAAACTATTATTATTATCATTATTATTATTGTTATTATTATTATTATTATTATTATTATTAACCACAGAGCTGACTGCAGATTCAGTCCTGCCTGAAATGCTGAAAATAATACAGTAAGCTCTCTTATTAAGCTAATCTATATATTTTTATTTGCAAATACAACTGAAAGAGTTAATCCAAAATAAAAAGCACATAGCATGAAGGCCTTTACACATGCAAGTGAATACTAAACAGACTTTTCCAATTGCATTTACAAAAGTGTAGTGTATAGAGATACTTTATTGTGTATCAGCTTTGTCAAATTTTAGTAAAGTATGTACATTATGCACTTTAGTACAGTATGTACATTATTCATTAGGCTTACACTGTCCCATACCAAAGTCTACAATTATAATTCAAAATAAGTACTGTATTTAGTTGTAGTGTATTTCTTTAAAAATGTTGCAGAAAATAAAGAAAAAATCAAATGATGTTATAAATGGTAGATAAGATAAATCAGTATAAAGCACTCACAAGCACAGACCACCTTATTTATAAGACTGGTAAAGATGGTTTTAATTAATGAGAAGAAAGATTCTGAATACAAGATACGAATGTGCATATTAATTTTCTTAATGTCAAGTGCTCATAGTGATAGAAACTGTTAGAAAAATTATTTACATATGTTATTAGTACAAAAGAAATATTCGTTATTTAGATTATTGGATGAGATATACAAATAAAGCAATTTAAAGTTAAATTAACTCTAACTACTTGAAGTAAAGCTAAAATAATTCCTTAAGTAAACTGTATCGAGATGTGACTTTACTAGTATGCTACAAGTAGCTTTTTTTACAATTAACCCAATATAGTGGACCCCCGGTTAACGATATTTTTTCACTCCAGAAGTATGTTCAGGTGCCAGTACTGACCGAATTTGTTCCCATAAGAAATATTGTGAAGTAGATTAGTCCATTTCAGACCCCCAAACATACACGTACAAACTCACTCACATAAATACACTTACATAATTGGTCGCATTCTGAGGTAATCGTTATGCGGGGGTCCACTGTAATTGGAGATGAAAACATATTATGTTTGGGTCTGTAATGGATCATTATTTAGTCGAGTGACTTTATCACGAAACTTTGTCCAGGGTCATCTCTATCTTATGGGTTAATTGTGAACTGTTCCAGCCACTGTATCTTGACTTTCATTCTCCAAATAACTTGACAATTATAAATACAGAAAGTCCTCCCAGTGAACAGTAATTATTATCAACATAGTTTGCTACTCAAACCAGACATGTTTTTTAATTTGCTAAGTTTAAGACCTATCGACTCTAACAATGATAACTGGAACTTGTGACAATGTTATAGTCAGGCACAACAAAGCACAACATTGTGCAAGCCACTGGCACACTTGGATAATATACCTGGAGGGTGTTTCAAGGTCAATACCCCCACAGCCCGGTCCTTGACCAGACTTTGCATCTGAAGACTAGCAACTTCTTATAATGAAAACAATATTACCTAGGATCAACATTAACTGAGAACTCTCTAGTGTAGTGCTATACTTACTTCTGGTCTAGTCGAACGTGTTTAGAAGAAATCGTGCCATGTGAGTGAGCTCCTTTTCCTGGAAGTGGTATCTGACCAGAGTCCCCTAAGAGAAGTCTCTGGTTATTTGCATCACTGTGAAAAAAAATGACCATATGAAATTTAATTTAAAGGTAGAGAAGCAGCAATAACTGTCAAGGAAACGTGTCCATACATCTTGCTCACACCAGGAATAGAACCAGGGAAAAATTAATCTATACATACTCTATACCATTTTGAAATTTACTGATCAAAAGTATAAAGTGCTACATAAAAAACATCAATAACTAATGAACATACCAGATAATATTAGAAACACCAGTCTTTTTCTTCTCATAATCGGCATTACGAGGGTGAGACAGTGGGGTGAGGAGCTTTATGGGTCGTCTTTTGCGGTATGAGATTGTAGAGTCATCCAGTCCACCTGCACCACGAACATTTGCCAAGCCATCTTCATCCTCTTGCTCTTCTTCTAGATATTGGCGCATGAAGCTTTCTCGTACCTGAAATCAATTTTTAAATTCTGCAAATTTTCTTCATTTATAAGGAAACTTTCTCCTCTGTAGGAGACAGAAGTGTATGTATTAAAAAAATAAAAATAATAATAATAATAATATTTTATTCATCTTCAGAAAATATGGGTTATATTAAAATTTCTAAAATATTTTAATAATCATCTAAATATAGATAAGTAAAGGTCATTCAAGAACCTAAGGCATATGGGAGGTAAATGGGTTTGATTCAGGAGATAGGAGGAAGGGGAATTAAACTCCATACAATCCTTGTGATCAAAAATACTTCATCAGCATACTTGGCTTTGAAGGACATATAGGGGTTTAATAGATTCTTTTACTTTTTTTTGGTCAACTGCAAGACAAAATAACTGTAAAACGCATACAAATACAGGTGCTCCTCGACTTACGATATTTCAACTTCATGATGATGCAAGAGCAATTACTTTGGAGATGAAACTTAAGAAAATTATCCAGCATGAAGGCAGCAAGTCCATAATTTGTATTCATTTATTTACTATTCAATACAGTCTCTCCTCACTTAGCAACATACTCGTTTACACATAACTTGGACTTACAACCAGCTCTCTGACACTCTCTGACTAGTATGCACACCTAAATAATGTATATTAGAGCTGATTTCCTCTATTCTGTTTATTAAAATATACAGCATATTTCTGTATAAACATTTAAAATTATACCAGAAATGTTATAAATGGTGCAAAGGTGACATTAAAACAATATCAAAGATGGTTGACACAAATCCACTACCATTATAGTATGCTCCTTGCTTAGCGACCAATTCATTCACCAACGTGGTCTTAGGAATGCAACTCCGTCATTAAGTGAGAAGAGGCTGTACTGGTATTTAGTTAGTTACAGTAATTATTCACTTATTTACTTTTTCAGTGACAGTAGTTATTTATTTATTTATTTATTTATCATTTCATATTCATGTTTGACTTACAATGGGTTAGTCAGGACGTAATCTATTGTAAGTCGAGGAGCACCTGTATATGCATATACAGTAGATGAGTGGTGAATTATAAATGCAACAAGCTGTACCTTAGGAAGAGAAAAATCTGATGGAACTTTGTGTAACTTTGCCATTGTAGGACGATCTGGGAATTTTTCAAAGACACGGAGGCGTAGAGGCAGCGTTTCCTGTATCCCAGCACTCTGCTCTCTGGCTTTCATTTGTTTAAGCTTCTTAAAGTCTTCATCAAGTTCCAAGTTGTCTAGAATAACAGCTACAAACAAACTCAACACAATCTGCAGAAGATCAAGTATTAATTATATTTAGGGGGAAGTGCTAAACCTTTAGGGAAAAATGGGAGGCAATTAGATTCAATTGAAGAAAAGAGAGGACAAGCCTGAGAGGCGGAAAACACAGCTGAAGACACAGGTGAGCCACAGGGATGTCGGGAAGTATTTCTTCAGTCTTAAAGTTGACAGGAAGTGGAATGATCTTGAAGAAATAGTGGAGGCAGGCTCCAAACACAGTTTTAACAGTAGGTATAACAGTATCCATATTACTAGGAGGGAGTGAATGTGGAGAGCGGAACGTTGAGAGGCATGACCAATAGATGCTACTGTAAAGTAGGTAAGTAGATGTTACTGTAGAGTAGGTAAATAGATGTTTGTAAAGTAGGTTAAGATGTTACTATAAAGTAGGTAGATGTAGTTATAAAGTAGGTAAGTAGATGTTACCATAAAGCAGGTAAGTAGATGTTAATGTAAAGTAGGTAAGTAGATGTTACCATAAAGTAGGTAAGCAGATGTTAATGTAAAGTAGGTAAGTAGATGTTACTGTAAAGTAGGTAAGTAGATGTTACTGTAAAGAAGGTAAGTACATAGATGTTACTGTAAAGTAGATAGTAGCTGTTACTGTAGAGTAAGTAAAATGTCTTTATCTTAAAAGACTATACTGTATACAGTTTACTGTACAAAATAAGTAAAAAATCATCAGAAATCTTACCAGTGTTACAAAGAGATGATACAGAATGAAATAAATGGCCACGATGGGAGCAATTTCATCTGCCGTTCCCTTCATGGTTTTTATCATGGTCTCGTCCATTACTTCCACCCATCCTTCCTGGGTCAGGATTTGGAACATTGACATGAAGGCCTGTAAGGATGAACTTTTTTCAAACTAATATCCTAAATTATTATTATTATTGTTGTTGTTGTCACACCGAAGTGGTAAACTCATCAAAATCAAACAGCATCTGCAGAATAATCTTTGATCAAGGGAATGGGAAGACATCTCCAATACCTTCAATCAAGAGCCTTTCAGCAACAAGGTAATGTCCTAACACTGTTTAAAACTTAAAAATTACTCAGTTAAATCTGAGAGGAGTAGTGGTAGTGTTGTCTCATGCATATAAATAACTCCATACAACCCAAATACGATAGTACCGAACACACACTGTTGTGTTTACTTTTTTTTTTCAACAAGCTGGCTGTCTCCCACCAAGGCAGGAAGACCCAAAAAAGAAACACTTTCACCATGATCTGTCACTTTTTTGTTGGTGCTCACAGCCTTGCCACTCATTTAAAAGTAAAGCAAGTTGCTATACACTGAAGGATGGGGGAAAGATGTTGTGACTGACCAACACACTTATGGCAAGACAGCTATTGAGTGAGTGATGGTGAATATGTTTCCTTCTTTTAGTCACCCTACCTTGTTAAGAAATGGCTTTTTTTTTTTTAACTCACTAGCCATCTCCCACCGAGGTAGGGTAACAACCTTATATAAAAGAAACACATTCTTCATTGCTCATTCAATTGCTCTCTAAAGGTGTTTTCTAGAAGTTTTTATGGCTCTATTGGCTATTTTTTGATAACATTTGATAGATTGGAAGACATATTACTAAAATAGAGAAGGTTATAGGATGAGAAGCAACTTGAAATCAGCCTCAAAGTAGCAGAATTAAATTTTTGCCGACATTCCTTAGGATGCACAAGACCTCCCCCCCTACAACTCCCCCGGCCTGTTTTATGGGTTTTGACTAGGTTTGATTCAATTATGTACTGGGATGCCATAAGTCATAAACAATTATTCCTGGATATATTTTACTATCCGAGAAATAGGACAAATCTGCAATTTTTTGTGACAGTCAAATTGAGGAATAGAACTGACTTAAAATACGACTCAATGCTGGCAAAAATCACCAATGCATTAATTGCCCCTAAACCATTAACTTTGTGCCGGCATAATTCTGTAAGTTTTTCATTAAATTTCATATTTCTGGTGTCACTGCCTTCAGAAAAGATTGTTTACTATTTCAGAAGAACAGTACAGAAACACTGTGAAGTACTGTGATGCTGGTAAAGGGCTCTTAATCCAAGGAACTAGAGCTAACCTCCCCTTCCTCTGATCAAACCTGATTACCTTCCATTTTCCAGGCGCTATATGACACCTTATGCTTTCCCATTAACATTACAAACTTTGCTTTACATCTATAAACAAACTCTTAAAATTTTGAGGGATTTGTTTGAAATGGTTAGCACAATTACAATGTATCAACACAGCTTTACAATAACTGAATCATCATGTATATTGCAGATAATTTATTTAATCTTTCCACACAAAAGTTTATGAATATTGTCACTTACCACAACAAAAGGATAAACTGCAATAAACTTACATGAGCAAAAGTCTCAAATTTATCATAGTCTTTAAGGAAGCAGAAAAGCTGCATTGAAATAGACGAGGCAATCAGCAAGAGACACATAGTGAAGAGAATAAGGCTGCCCAGTTTTTTTCCAGGACCAAAAATCTTGTACACAAAATCCTCTAAGATTGGCGAGGCCTTGATCAGTCTCACAATGCGAAGGACCTGAAAAGACAGATACCACACTGTATTACAATTTGATTTAGACATTTCATCTAAATCTCTTATGGTTATACAATACAGAGAAGCCTTTTTATTCATGAGTATTCTGTTCCAGAGCCCCCCCTCCACATATATAAAAATATCTGCAAAAGTTCTCTTGAGCACTGAACCAGGGAATTTTCTTCAAGATAAACTTCCCAAAAATTTAAGCACCACTCTAGCCTCACACACCAAGTGTCCGTGGTTCAATTCCTGGCCGGGTGGAAACATTAGACATGTTTCTTTACACCTGCTGCCCCTGTTCACCTAGAAGTAAGTAGGTACCTGAGTGTTAGTCAACTGGTGTGGGTGGCATCCTGGTGGACAAGACTGAAGGACCACAATGGAAATAAGACAGACAGTCCTTGATGATGCTGCAACATTCTTGGGTTATTCTGGGTGGCTAACTCTTTAGGTTAAAAATCCAAACAAATCTTATCTTAACATCACACTTACTTGAAAATAAGTAAAAGAGGTCATGAAAAGGTATGGTATCAATCTCAGTGTTGTTCCAACAGCCAGGAGAAACTCAAATTTATGAATGCCAAGTCGCCAGTAGCCACGAAGACCCAGACACCACATTTTGAAGATAACTTCCAGATTGAAGAATATTGTGAATCCCACCTGTGTGGTGATAAGACAAATACTTAATTATAATTATCAAGCCTAAAACATCTCCCACCGAGGCAGGGAGACTTGAAAAAGAAACACTTTCACCATCATTCACACTATTACTGTCTTGCCACAGGCAAGACAGTGATAGTAGTCTTATTAATTTGTTCATTCTCTTCTTTACCTAACCCTACAAATTAGTAATCAAACTATATGGTCTGCCCTATAAATTTATGCTACTTTAAATTATCTGATTTTGATGGTCTCCCATGAGTAATTTGCAATATATAAAGGTTCCAATAGTCCTCATTCTGTTCTGACTTTACACGCACCTCCTAAAGTGAAAACCAGTCACAAGAGACAAAAAAGCTGACCAATGGTAACTCAGGATGATGTTTAAACATTTGCTGTTTTAAACATTTTAATGATGACAGCATGTGGCAATAGATAAAACTATTAACACTCATTTGCAATCACAGATACATTTCCGTTTAACAGAAAGAAATTAATGGAAAATGAAACCATTAAAAAAGATTTATACACACCTCCATGTAGTAATAATGTTGGTAAAATTCTTGCCTGTCTCTTCCATCGTGTTTGAAGCTCAATGAAGCTGCTGCAATGGCATTAGCAACAATGGCTGCCATTATAAGAAGGTAATAGCCAGCACTGACAACAACCTTCATACAGAACTTGGGTGCCCATCCCCGAGGCTTGTTATCATCAACATAGAGTAACTTCCATCCTTGGTCATCTCCCGACAAAATCTAAATATATAAAAAAAAAAAAACTGACAAATTTTTATTCAGTTACTCATGAAATTCTGAAACAGTTCATATTTTTTACAAAGAAAAAACAATCTGAATATGAAGCAAGTTCAAAATGCATATTTTTTTTTTTTCAAAAAGTTGGCAGTCTCCCACCGAGGCAGGGTGACCCAAAGAAAGAAAATCCCCAAAAAAGAAAATACTTTCCATCATCATTCAACACTTTCACCTCACTCATACATAATCAATTAACTCTGCAGAGGTGCCCATATACAACAGTTTAGAAGCATATATAAAGATATATAACATATCCCTCCAAACTGCCAATATCCCAAATCCCTCCTTTAAAGTGCAGGCATTGTACTCCCTATTTCCAGTACTCAAGTCCAGCTATATAAAAATAACTGGCTTCCCTGAATCCCTTCACTAAATGCATGAATATGTAGGTATATACATGCAAATGTGCATACATGTTTATGAGTATACCCTCATTAAAGCCTATATGCATGCATGTCAAAAAACAGAAAAGGAAGAAAAGAGCAGTTTTTGAATAGAGTAACAAAGTCGAATCAACCCAACAAATATTTTTTCAGAACGCCAAACTAGAGAGCGATAGAAATAGCTCACAATTAAATAATTCCTAAATGGAAAATAATCGAATAACTCGATTTGTACCTGTGTTGTCGCCTCTTGCTGAATGTGTCCTCGGATCCCCCAGATCTGCTGAAACTGAACTCGCATTTCATTGAACGTTTCGGTGATGACCGCAATGAAAACATTCTTGACCAGCCACGAGAGGAAGAAGATCATGGTGGTGAAGAAAAATGTAGCACGCCAGCCAGGCAAGGAATCAATGGCTTGGTACATGATAATCACCCAACCTTCTTGGGAGGCAGCTTGGTACACTGTGAAGATACTCGTTCCTACAAAAAATAAAAAAAAGTAATTAAGTTTATTTTCCAGTAATTACAACTTTTTATAACAGTTTAGCACTTTCCAATAATAATAATAATAATAATAATAATAATAATAATATTTTTTTTTTCAACAAGTCGGCCGTCTCCCACCGAGGCAGGGTGACCCAAAAAAAGAAAGAAAATCCCCAAAATAAAATGCTTTCATCATCATTCAAAACTTTCACCACACTCACACATAATCACTGTTTTTGCAGAGGTGCTCAGAATACAACAGTTTAGAAGCATATACGTATAAAGATACACAACATATCCCTCCAAACTGCCAATAATACTAAATATTAATAATAAAATATTAATAAAATAATAATAATTATAATGGGTTTTTTTTTTCTTTTTGGGTCACCCCGCCTTGGTGGGAGATGGCTGACGTGTTAAAAAATAATAATAATAATAAAGACAATAATAATAAAAATAATAATTAACATAATAATAATACAACTTCCAAATAATCTCAAATATAATACAAAGCATTAGAGCAACTCCCATTAAAACTAAGTTAATTGTTTGTAAGAGAACAATAATTTTTACATTATTGCTAGGAATTAAATTTCACTGTTTACAAAGGCACAATCACTTACCAAAATCACTAAAGCCATTAAATCCACTGACTTTCTTTGCTAGGTTGAGGGGTACACATTTCATACCTGTAGGACACTGATACCCAGAGTCTGCTTCAGTCGAGCAAAATGTGTCTGGAATTGCCAGACTATTCAAAGTAATATTCCTGCAAAAGTTGATAAAAATTTACATCAAGACCTTCACATTTCATAATGTACTTTAAAATAATATACATGACTCAAATTCACGCAAATAAATTGGTCATCTGTATTATCATGATATAGGTCATGTCTCAGCAAGGTAAGATTAGATTTGTTGGGATTTTTAACCCAGATTAACAAGAGTTAGCCACCCAGGATAACCCCAGGTAATGAGGGTTAGCCACTCAGGATAACCTGGGGTAGGGAGGGTTAGCCACCCAGGATAACTAAAGAAAATCAGTGCAACACTGAGGGCTGTCTGTCTTCTTTCCACTGTGGTCCTTCAATCTTGTCCCCAGGATGCCACCCACACCAGTCAACTAACACTCAAGTACCTACTTACTGCTAGGCGAACAGGGACAGCAGGTGTAAGGAAACACACTCAATGTTTCCACCCAGCCAGGGATTGAACTACAGATGCTTCATGTGGGGGAGACGTTGCCTACCAAGCCACCCAGGAAAACACATTCAACTTGTTTCAGTTCACTCTGATCTAGTACACTTGGGTGCCTGGTGGATGCTTAAGCCACTACCACTTAAAACTGTTCTTCACATCCTCATTTCAACTAAGACTGGATTAAAAGTTGTTGCAACACCAGGGCAAACAAATTGTAAGGAGCCCCCTTCTACTAGAACTTCATTGTCAAATTACAGGTACTACTGGATAATGTGACAGCCAGCTGTGTGCTTGCTTTTCCTATAGATTTTAATTTATGTGCTATATTTGAAAAGCAAAACAAATGTCTCTTTGCAGAATGTAATGTAATATACCCAGAGCCGTGCTATGTGACGTGGCCCCTTCTAAGGGGGCTCTTAGGGCTAGTGCCCATGACCCTATGTTTCTGCTTTAATCTGGCACTTCTTCCAACCCTTCTTGAGATATCCACTATACTTCCTTCCATTTACCCCAGATTTATGTTCTCTCAAGATCAACCCACCTTGCTGTGCCATCATTTCTAAATGATCAAACCATTTCAATAGCAAGACAGTGATGAAGTGAGTGATGATGCAAGTGTTTCTTCTTTTGCAGGTCATCCTGCCTTGGTGGGAAACAGCTGATGCATTAAAAAAAATAAATTTCAACAGTATCTTCACCACTTCCTGAATTATAGCATTCATTTCACCACACCAAATTCACTCCCTATTCTTTGCTAAAATTTATGCCATTCCATAATAACTACTGCATCTACACAGCCTCCGGCCTCCTCCTTGCTGCATCATTCAAAGATCATGCCTCACCCATACAAAAGTGTTGTCCTCATTATTTTCTGCTACATTCCTTTATTTCTGCCTCCATTAATAAACTTCGTTCTGTCCACAGACTTCTCAACGCTCCACCTATTTCTCTCTCCCATCATCTATTCTCAGAGTTACCAGCCCTTTGTTACTAGCATACTGCTTACCCTCTATATTAGTTTTAAATTAAAAATACACACAAATTAAAAACTTACTCTTCATTTGTATCATTTTTCACACAATGGTTACGAAGGTCACCAAATAGCTGTACTCCAAGAAGCCCGTAAAGTGACATGAAGAACAGAAAAAATAGTGTCACATTGTAAATCTGTTGACTTGAACGTCTGAAAGTAAGAACACCAGTGAATATAAGCATAGAAACTAATTTAAAACAGATTTGTCTAAATGTTGACAATCATAGCCTAGTAATATATATCAAAATATTATTGTTTCAAGTTCACAGTTCCTAGATATAAAAGTACTCACTTGACAATTTGTTTTAATCTGTTCTTTGGCATGGAAAATTTAAGAAAAATGCGTATAAGACGGACAACAATAAGTGGTCTGGGAGCACGTAGTACTGACAGGTAGCTGTGTCTGTCTACCCAGTCTGACATCTCAAACATTTGCAGAATGACCGAGATCCACAAGAAGAACACCATGCTTGCATCATACTGACACCAGCGATCTTTTAGATATGGCACCTCACCCTGCAAGAAAAGAATTTTCTTAAAATTACTGTACAACCTTATAGTACTGTAAAATTACTGTACAGCCTTGTAGTACTGCAAAATTACTGTACAACCTTGTATTACAGTACTATAAAATTACTGTACAATCTCGTGGTCATGAAAAATAGTGTAATAAAATGATATTATTGTGAATACAATAGTGTATTCACACAAACACTCTTAACCAGAATGGACTATTGCTTCTTAGTTACTTCAACTTTACAAAAACATTGTTCTCTATTTTTAGTACTGCTCTCACATTTGGGTAACCTCTCACTGGCCTCTCCATTCACCACTACTTCCATGAGTTTTTCTCTCAGAAACTTGTGATTCAACAGAATAACCATATAACACTGGACTAGCAATGCAGTTTTCTTCCAATAGCAATTATCCAGGAAAACACTACCATTTGATCATGTGAGTGTGAAATGGAAAACTCTTAAATGCTTTGCAGTCTGGGAGGATTGCTGGTCTTTTCTTTTAGTTTCATGAACAAGTATGTCAGAAAAATTATACAAACGTCTACTTTTATTAAGTATACATACTTTATTTTCCTGTGTGTTTCCTAATACGTAGTTCTATTCTTGCAATATTTTTCTTCTAAATCAAGGAGACTTGATCTGAGACTGAGCCCTGAGGGTGGTGCTTTCAAGAACTAATAACAGATATAACATCATGTGTGTGTATGTCACTAATCGTAGAAGAGTGTGTGTCAATTCCTCAAATGACCATTCTACATCCGTTTGGGGATCAAATCATTATTTTACATCTTTATTCACACCTTTGATTTCCAATCCTTCAAGAAACATTCGCAAAAATACCTTTCAGACAAGAAATATCCTTTTGACATTCTTGTACTAGTTAAGCATTACCAAGATGGCTACTTTGATTTTCTTAGGAGTCAATTCTCTGCAACAAAAGAAAAACATTAACTTTATTAATTCTTTACCTTTAAAACCCCTCTTGCTTGCATTTTGGCAACCATTTCCACAGTGAAGAAAAATGTGATTGCCAGATCTGAGCAGAAGGTAATTTGCTCTAAACTTGGGTATAATACTTTGGAACTTGGAGTATTGGCTGAAACTGACACTAGGGATACCAAGGAGCATATCCGAAGAAGCCATCTTATCCATCTCTGAGAAATATAAGATTAATTTATTATATTTCAAAATGCATTGTAGCTCTTAATAAATATACATACATAATACAGCCTCTCCTCACCTAGCGACATACTTGTTTACCAATGCCTCGGACTTACAACAGGCTCTCTGACCAGTATTCATAAATAAATAATGTATATTAGAGCTGGTTTCCTCTATTCTGTTTATTTCAATATACGGTACACTACTGTATAAACATTTAAAAATATACAAGTGAAAGGTGACATTAAAACAATATCAAAGATGGCTGACACAAACTCACTACCATTATAGTATGCTCCTCACTTAGTGACGAATTTGTTTAACGACGTGGTCTCAGGAACAAAACTCCGTCATTAAGTGAGGAGAGGTTATACTGTACTCACAATACAATTATTTTTTAATAATAAATGAAGCAACTTAATCACTGTAATTACAGTGGTGGTACACGAGGACTCCGCATATTTGGCACCATCTTCGGTGTTCCACGTCTTTGGTAGTTTTCAATTGAGCCACTGTTCATTATTCTTGGTGCTTTTTACCACCATTTCTACACAACACTTGCATAAGGGAAGGACAACAGGCACCATATTTTAAGGTAAGTATTGTATGTACTGTGTACATACAATACTTACCTTAACTATCAATAGCAATAGATACTGACAAGTTAATTGTATAACTATTAACCCTAGCTATAACTAGGGCTAACTGTTAGCAAAATATTCTAAGACTCACACAAAAATCAAAGGATCACTACCAACAATTGTAATGCTGCCAACAATATCAGTGAGCACACACTACATAAAATACCATCCACGGTTGCCCAGTAAAATGATATGACAAAAAAAACTATTCTCAAAATTTTGTCCAGACTAAAAAGGTGCTGGATCATTACACCAACTGTTATCGGAAAATCAATACTGTACCTGTACTAAAATCATGGGGAGCACCTAACAAGGGCAATTCTAATTCCAGTATCAAGGGAGCATGAATTCTAAACGTTAGCTCAAAATATGATTTGTTGTATACGCAATTTTGACATTTAAGCATTATATGGAGTATAACACGGGGAACTGAGGTTAAGAAATTAAACGTTACTAGTTATAAGAATATAGTCTTTGCTTTATTATTCCTTCAAGAGACTAATAATAATAACAATTTACCTTATTAGCCCACTCAACATCGGAGCTTTCATTTAGAGTGTCCTCTGGTCCATAGTCTGCAAGGATGTGCTCCCCTCGAAGGCTCTGCTTACGGCCCAACATTTCCACAACTATCGCAGCATATTCAGTAGCCAATAAACTGAATTACACACTGCATGAAGTTCAGAAAAAATACAGCAATAATTATTATAGATGCACTACTTACAATATCTATATTTTAAGTTTAATAATTACATTTTTTAATTATTACAGATATTCTATACAAGAGTGACATTTTATGGTGACTTAACCTAGGATATCCCAACAGTTTCTCAAAACGGATTCAAGTCTCCGAGGGATTTTATCTTGTTCGTTTCATCTACGCAGGCATCTATAGTACATAAAATGTAACATATAGCATATAAAAAGTATAACTTACATTATATTACTGTACTTTAATTAATACTAACTAATGACTGTCTCCTCACCTGCTCCACCTCCCAAACGTAAATGCATAATTTTTGTTAATATTCCCAAATTTATCCATTTTAATAGTGGGGGAGGGAGTGCTAAACCCACAGGGCTTATCCAAGGTTTGATCCAAGGAAGGGGGAGGATAAATCCAATTCCTCAGATCACGAGCCCCTCACCAGCATCTGAGAGTTTATCTTGGGATGTAGACTGGATACTCATAAAAAAAAATTGCGTGATTTCTCAAAACGGCAGAATCTGTGTATAAGTCGTGACGTAATGAAGTTTAATCCAAGGAAGAGGAGGACAGCTCCACTTCCTCGGATGGAAAAACCTTCAAGAGCATCAAGATACAGGTACATAAGTACAATTATCATAAATAGTAACATGTTAAATTAACCAAAACAAGGTCAAAGTGACTTATTTCCATTGGGGTCCTTGATTATTTCCATTGGGGTCCTTGATTATTTCCACTGGGGTCTTCCCATGTAAGTTTATTTAGTAATAGGTATACATAAGTACAGTTATCATACATAGTTTAACATATATGTAAATTACCCAGAATAACCCCCAAAAAAAGGTCAGAGTGACCTATTTCCACTGGGGTCCTTGATTATTCCCACTGGGGTTCCTTCCCACGTAAGTTTATTTGGTCACAAGTACACATAATTACAATTATCATACCTATTAACATGTGAAATTACCCAGGATAACACCCCCAAAAAAAAGGTCAAAAGGATACATACCCATCGTGGTCCTTGATTATTTCCATTGGATTTTTCCCACGTACACAACACCACGGACTATTTTAACTCCCTTTTCACCTTTTAACATGAATAATGGAGGCTTGAGTGTACGTGAATGATGTACAGGACTCACCTCAGCTGCAGGATGCTGAGAGAGATGAAGACAGGAGCAGTGAGGAGTGAGAAACATGATTGGGATGATGGAGAGCAGTGATGGATGCGCTGAGTGTTTCTCACTGACTAAATCTTGCGCATCTCTCTCTCTCTCATCTCTCACTCCTCTCGTCTCTCACTTCTCTCGTCTCTCACTCACCTCGTCTCTCACTCCTCTCATCTCTCACTCCTCTCATTTCTCACTCCTCTCATTTCTCAGTCCTCTCATCTCTCACTCTTCTCATCTCTCACTCCTCTCATCTCTCACTCCTCTCATCTCTCACTCCTCTCATCTCTCACTCCTCTCATTTCTCACTCCTCATCTCTCAGTCCTCTCATCTCTCACTCTTCTCATTCTCACTCCTCTCATCTCACACCTAAATAGCTCACTAGCATTTTGACCTAAACCTCTCATGAAATTTTCTCCATAGCTCAGCTCCTGAACTGTGTTCACCAGACTCAAGCTCAACCCCCTTCACGTGCTTTAATATTCTCATGGAGACGGATACCATAGCTCACTGGGTCATTCCACAGTCACTAAACAGGGTGGCTCTATAATTAATGCTTGAATTCACACTATATAGCTCCACTAGCTCGTCGCGTAACTAATAATCTTTCAAGGGGTCTATGACACTCAGTTGCACAACCCAGACGCACGGTTTAGACAGGTCCGCTCTTAAACCATACCACGTGGGATTAACCTAAGTGTCAGAGAGTCATCGAACTCAAGACCGTCGCGTTATGCTCCAGGACAGACTAGCTGAAATATTATTCACCAAACTAGAATACCTTTATACACCATTAGGAAGGATAGCGAAGGCATCCACTGTGACCACAAATGCAAGTCTTATTAAAGACGAATCTCCAGTAGCTAAACTAACAAGACGGTCTGGATTTTGAAAGGATCTAGATCACGTTTTTAACCCCGCGCACGGTAGACGTGCTTAAAATCCGGTTGTTGCAATTGTGTCATAAGATTTCGTGAATCAGGTCGCTCCACTGCCACTATCAATCAAATATCACTGGACATTATAACATAAGGTCTTGGAGCACTGGAGCACAAACAAAATGCAGCTCAGTGTAATATACACTCATAGACTTTGTCAAAGCCTCGGACTAGTTGTTCATGGTTTAAACGCCCCCCACAAAACGCCTTGAAAATGGTAATAACAGGAAAAAAGTGAGTAATAAGGAACAAACAGAACGTGACAAAGTGTAATAGTAAAAGCGAGTAAAAATCAGGAAGTGGTGTACACAGGAGAAGCTATTTACCACAAGTAACAGTACTGGTTACAGCGAAGCTCTTTCCCAGTACAACTTTCCCCTTCTTCCTCTCATATCAGCGCTGTATAGCCCTTGTGGCTTAGCGCTTCTTTTTGATTATAATAATAATAAATTCCTCCTCATATCTAACATAGAGATGTAACCTACAGCACCGTGGCTTCCTTTGCTGATAAATGATAAATGTACTTATGTGTACCTGTATCTAAATAAGCTTACTGGCTTACAAATATTATCCTCATATCCACTGGTTAAAAAAAAAAATACGAAAAATAGTTCAGACCAAACGATATACATTAGTACTTGCCAAATTGAACGAAAATAAAATAATATTAATGATAATTTATTTACAGAGATGAATGAGATTTAGAACAAAAAAGGTACAATACCGTGACTGGAACAATACAATTAACCCGTACATAGGAGAGACGAGCTTATGATGACGTTTCGGTCCGACTTGTAAATGGTACAAGACGGACCGAAACGTCATCGTAAGCGTCTCTCTCTCTCTCTCTCTCTCTCTCTCTCTCTCTCTCTCTCATGTTCAGATTATTTATGTATGGATGAAATTTAGTTGTGCATGCAGAAAGCCCATAGCTATTCATTTCGGGCAAATCCTACCTCCACTACTCAATGGGAAGGGTTGAACCCTCAAGACTGCCAGAAGATCCAGGCTTGTACTTGCACCTTCTTCCTGACCTCAGGGTGCACTGGGGACATATAATACATACCTGACTTTTTTTGGGGGGAGGGGGTTATCCTAGATAATTTATACTATGTATTTTCCATTTCTTTGGTCAGTGCCTCCTCCCGTATTTCAGATAGACTGGCCTTTTTGAGAAGCTCTGTGATTCTTTGCCTTCGCCTGCAGAGGAAGCATCTCTCTCTTTCTAGTTTACATCTCTTTTTTTTTCTTAGGGGAATGTACCTTGAGCATACCTTAAGTACCACAAGCTAATTCTTGTACTTATATGTACTTGTGCCTGAACAAACTTGCTTCCTTTCACTCTGGATAAAGTTTCTCTTCCGGACACTCAAGGACCCCAGTCAAAATAAGTCACTTTGTCTGACTTTTGGGTTATTCTTGTGTAACTTGGTGAATTGTATTTATATGTACCTCTACGTAAATAAACGTACTTTTTAAGGTTTAAATAATAAAATATTACAAGGACCCCTATGTAAATAAGTCACTCTGACTTTTCTGGGGTATCCTAAGTAATGTACATATGCTACTATGTACGATTAGTTGTTTAACTGTATTTATGTGTACCTGTAGCTGAATAAACTTACCTACTTACTAACTTGCTTACTGACTTACAGACTTACTGACTGATTGTTAGGTAAGACACATATGCAACAGTTAGGTATCTTCATTTCGAAACGTTTCACCTACACGGTAGGCTTCTTCAGTCGAGTACAGAAAAGCATCAAAATGGTATAAAATACCGACAGGTTATTAGGTAAGACACATATGTAACATGTCGGTATTTTATACCATTTTAATGTTCACTCTGTCAGACACTGCAACACAAGGGTATCTTGGTACAGAACTGAAATCAACTTGGACAACTTCTACTAGTGAGATTGGCTGGATTTGAGAGGGACATGACCTCCCAACGACTACATTCTTACCTCTACTAGTGGCCTACATCTCACCTCCTGGAGGTATATAAGGCTCCATCCTGTCACTTCAACTCCATATTGTTTCAGACTATGGAACAATACTCTTCTCCAGACTGAGGGACTGACCACCTCAAAATTTCAAGGGTGATGGACTGATTACATCGTCTTCACGTCTTTTTTTCTATCAACTTTTCTGTACTCGAGTGAAGAACTCTACTGTGTAGGCGAAACGTTTCGAAATGAAGATACCTAACTGTTGCATATGTGTCTTACCTAACAGCCTGTCGGTGTTTTATACCATTTTAATATTCTTACTGACTGACTTGCTGATTGACTTACTGACTTATTATAATACTGACTGACTGACTTACAGATTTACTGATTGACTTACTGACTGACTTATTGACCTACTGACTGACTTACTGACCTACTGACTTACTGACCTACTGATTGACTGACTTACTGACTTACTGACTTACATCTTACTGACTTACTGACTGATTTACTTGCAGACTTACTGACTGACTTACTGACTGACTTATTGACTGACTTACTGACTTGCTTGCAGACTTACTGACTGACTTACTGACTGACTTACTGACTTGCTTGCAGACTTACTGACTGACTTACTGACTTACTGACTGACTTACTGACTGACTTACTGACTTACTAGCTTACTTACTGACTGACTTACTGACTGACTGACTGACTTACTGACTGACTTACTGACTTACTGACTTACTGACTGACTGACTTGCTTACTGACTTACTGACTGACTTACTGACTTACTTGCTTACTGACTTACTGACTGACTTACTGACTGACTTACTTTCTGACTTACTGACTTAGTGTCTTATTTTCTGACTGACTTACAGACACTGGAAGGCCGGGTTCGATACGGCACAAGGTGTAAGTTTCCCTATAAACCCCAACAACAACAACAAGAACAATAAGTTTATCTGGTGACATCCGCAAGAGTTTTAGCAGTGACTACTCGCTAGCCAAGCCCACTATGTCACCCCACTGCCTCCACAACCATATTTAAGGTACTCCAGTGTACCTTTCACTCGTAATTAAGATAGCTTGATGGTTGTTTAAGAGGGATATGAGGGGAGATTGTTGCTTTGAGGTCAGTGACACTGGGTAGCACTGCCTTTAGCCTCGTCTCTTTACTGGGGAGTAATAGTGACTTGTTGTGGGTGAAGGGCACTTGATCCGAGGAATTGGAGGCATTCACAGGTTCCTCAAATCAAGGTTGATTGGCTTCCATTATCCAGGTGGTTTGTGTGACGCCTATAGGCTTCAACATTACGACCCCTGTGGGTTTAGCACTTCCTGAATAATAATAATAATAATATTAATAAGAATAGTAATAATAAAGAAGGTTTAAACAAACTTTGAATAATATGTTTAGAGATGGTATTAAGATATTCTTTGAGAATTTTCACGTGGATATTATATATCGTGTAATTTTAATGCGAGTCATTATTGGTATAGACTCCTCAAGGCTCTTTGATAATTAGATTTTGATTTTGAATGAGATTTAGATTATTTCCATTCACTGCAGATACAAAATATACAATAATTAGAAAGTCCATAGTAAGTAAGTTTATTCAGGTATACACAAATACAGTTACATAGAATTATCATACATAGCAGCATATGTGTAGAGAACCTAGGATAACACAAAATAGTCAGACAGAGTGACTTATTTCCATTGGGGTCCTTTTACCTTATTATTATAATATAAAGGTTATAATATTTTCTTATTATTCTACAATGAAGATAACATCTTATTATCATACTAAAAAGACTATCTACTACACCAAGGTCATTAAGACTATCTACAATACGAGGGTCATTACTAGGAATAAGGTAAAATTTACACGTATGTTAGCTAAAATGCACAACATTTCAGGACTCTTGATCCAAGGAATTAGACCTGTCCTCTCCTTCCTTGGATTGAACTTGATTGCATCACATTGTCCAGGTTGTATGACCACTGTGGGTTTAGTGCTTTCCTTTAAATATAATAAGGTAAAGCTATAGGCTGCTCCACAGACTTTGGCCATCACAGTTAGAATAGTACATTACATATTAAGTTGGTTTTATAGATAATCTGTGATTTTGTTGTGCAAAACCCACCTAAAGTAACTTAACCTTTCTCCATCATGGGTACTAGTGTGTCTTTCTCTGCATTTAAATCCCCAGTAGGCAAGCATATAAAATAAGTAAAATAAATCAATAAAAAAATAAATAAAAATATATAACATAAAACATAAATATAAAAAATATATATAAAAAAAAGTAGGTAAAGTTTTGTGTATGCATGCATGCAGTGTGGCTTATTTCTTTAGGGTTGTTAGGTCATTCCCCAGTATATAAGCCACTTCTTTGCATATGTACTGTATTGTTTTCAAGATTGATAGACTGGTTACATCAACTCCAGGCTGAGGGACTGATTACCTCAAACTCCTGATCTTCACCACTCTTCTTTGTATAGGACTGATGAAGCCACTGTGTGGCAAAATATTTCCTCAATAAAGATACCCAAGTGTTGCACACGTGTCTAATTTTTCAACAATATCTATTTCCTGTTAAGTAACAGGATGTAGTAGATATTAGGAACCTTGCCCATATGCTCCCTTGATAGTGCATACATATAACTTATGGTAAGTACTTGTTGCTGCTTCTATGGCATTACTGTCATCCTACTTTAATTGCAAATATTCCCCCAAAATTGAAAATACTGTACTGTTCTCTACATGAGTACAGCACATAAGTTATTGCTGTTCATTTAAAGTTTTCTTTTTCCATTATTAATGTGTTAACAAGGTACGGTAATAGGTTGCTAGACAATAACCATCCACCTCATCCCAGTAGATGAGCATCATCACCACCCGTTCCCTCGTGTTATGTTAGAAGCTCTGAATAACAGAATGGTTTCAATTCTTTGTAAGTCATGTAGCTCGACTCAACACTCCATGTATAAGATGTTTAACTGCTATGAATGAGAGCTGCCAGGATGTGAGGTAAAGGGTAGTGTATATTACTCTGTATAGTGAATATATTTTATGCAAAACACTTATTTATCTTCCTTTGATTTAGTGTTCCTCCATACTTATGTTCTTATTGGGAAAACGTTAGGCAAATACGTGGATGGGAATGGGTGATTTTGATAAGGACTTGCTTTATATGGGTCAGTAGGCCTGTTACAGTATTCCTCCATTCTTATGTTCTTATGACTAGATTGATTTTACAGAATGGCTTCCACTACGTCTCGTTCTGAGCTGGATGAAGAGAGATGTTTCTTTGGGAAGATCACTAGTGAAGAAGCTAAGGATATTTTATTAAGAGGTATGTGCATACAACTCTTGTCACTACAATACAATCATGACAAAATTATGTAAGTACAGGTAGTGTAGAAGTTTAGATTTCATTACAGTGTATATACTGTATTTATATGTATGTGTGTGTGTCTACCAACTTTACAATCATTTGACAGAAGGGTAGTACCTCCCTGGATGGTTGTTGTTTACCAGCCTGTCACTACCTCTATATTTCTTTCATATGTCATTGCAGAAGGTGGAGAAGAAGGAACGTTTCTTATACGGGAAAGCTGCTCATCCAAAGGAAACTATGTCCTGTCTTTCATTACTGAAGGGCATCCAATACACATTCTTATTCAGAAGTACAGAGAAGGGGCATTCTTTTCTCTTGGTAGGTCTGCCATTGTTGCTTTTCGTTAATGAAATTTAGTGGACACGACAAAGTCTGGTTATTTTTCATTTCATTTGCAAAATCAAAAGTTTTATTGTATTAGCCTGAAATGTATTTTTGGTTGGAAAATAATAATAGTAAAAATACAGTAAACATTCAGTATAGCGTACTGAAGAGGGGGAGATTGCACAAGTGTCTGTTAAATTTGAAGACTGTTAAAGATTACCAGAAATGTCATTTAAGTACTTTGCTGTATACTTAATGTAATACTGTACACAAGATTTACAGATATTTGCAATAATCATTGAAAATAAAGGAGTTTAAAGTACATTTTATCAAATGCATTTTGCCTATTGTTTCACAAGTCTGTTACATCAAGATCTTCTATATCGAGGGTTCACTGTAATAACAATAGCTTGTCCCTGCACTACTATTCTGAAGGGGCCCTCAAAATATCCCTGCCTTTTCTGCATGAGGCTAATCAGAAGAGGTTCTTGGCTATGACTTGAATGCTTTCAGCCATTTTTCATAACTATTTTTTATTAGTTTCTCTTAGGATATTATGTAGCTTGACAGTATGTTTTGTAGGTGCAGACACCATACTGCTGCTGCATATTCCAGTTCTTGTCTAAGGTGTTGTGAACAGCATTTTACTGCTGTGCACAAAACTCACACGCGTTCAACTATTTTCCTATTTTTTTGTGTATAGTACAGCTCTTCTTGTGCACACAGTTATGTGAAATTATGGCAACAGCTAACAAGTAGTAATAGAATGACTCAAGAAAACAGAAAACCTTTATTTATAGAATTACATGTTTCATTAACATATAGCGAACTCTTTCACGGGATTCACTTGAACTTTCTCAAGTGAATCCTGTGGTACCTCGGGATACGAACAGCCCAAAACGCAAACAATTATGTAAGTGTGTTTATGTAAGTGCTTTTGTAAGTGTATTTTTGGGGGTCTGAAATGGATTAATCTGATTTACAGTATTCCATATGGGAACAAATTCGTTCGGTATTGGCACTCGAACAGCTTTCTAGAACTAATTAAGTTCGTATCCTGAGGTGCCACTGTATAATAATAATAATAGTAATATTTATTTTGACACAATACATGTATGTACAAAGAAGTATAATAGTTGTACATGCCAAGAGCCCTTTTATATGCAGAGCATTTCAAGCAAGCTTAAAATTTACTTAAGATTAATATGGCAATAACAGTACATAGGTTCATTAGATGAGTTACGATGAATACAAGAGACTTGAGTATTCCATTAGGTCTTGCTATATGGCTTTAATAAGTCTTGTAGAGAAGACGTACAATTTTGATTATTAACCTTAGGTTGATACAATGGAACAATTAACATTTGAGATGAATACAGATATTGAGAGCAAGTATGTATTGATTATATTGTTAAGAATGTTTTACTTATGTTCATGATATTGAGCAAATGCATGTATAGTTTTTACATATGTATTGATGATGGGCTGGGATAGGTTACGGAGATAAGGTGTTTATTAACTGTAGTTTTAAAAATGCTAGCTGAACCAATGGTCCTGGAGATTTCAGGCAAAGAGTTTTGTAATAGGAAGACCAGGGACAGTGTCTTATAATAGGAAGACCAGGTACAGAGTAATAAATTGATGAAAGTTTATCTTGCACTTGACAGTGGTTCCAGATGAAGCACCAGTATTCCATGGCCTGGATAACCTGGTAAGTCATTTCTGTCAGAATCCAGTTGGAGGCTCATCCACTGTCCTCTGTCATCCCTGTCCAGGAGACCAGCTGCCTGCAGAGGTCAGGCTTCATGGCTCCTCCAGTCTTCTCCACAGGTCAACCAGTCAGGGTATGTATATCATTTACTAGTGCAGTAGCTGAAATTAGAAAGTTGACATGAAGTTAGTCCTTAATCTAAAATAATTTTGTCCAGTATTTAAAGATAATTGTCTTTTGTTATGTGGTGAATGCTAATTGTTGTAGCTGTTAATAATAGTGTGATTACCAGTATTTAACTCACGAAACCATAATTATTTCAAGTTTCATCGCCAAGGTAATAGCTTTTGCACCATTGTAAAGTTGAACCATCGTAAGTCAAGGAGCACCTGTATAGCTAAACTTATGGTGTCGTACATAAATGGTATACAATACCAATAAGATTAAGAATTAGACATCTGGGTATCTTTATTCGTAGACGTTTCACCAACCAGTGACTTCATCAATACAAAGACACAGTGCAAAGAATTATATACAAAATATGAGGTAGTCAGTCCCTCAGCCTTGGAGTTGGTGAATAGCACCATAGTCTTGAAGGAACTGAAGCAGTCATATAATTTTTTGAATAGCAAAAATCTGATAACTTTTGGACTAAAAATTGGGAGTTTAAATAAAAACCTTCATATATATTTATAACCCCTTCTCCTGTATACATTACTAAACTTAAAAAGAGAAATTAAAAAGAGAAATTTCTTTTTGGGCCACCCTGCACCGGTGGGACACGGCTGGTTTGTTGAAAGAAGAAGAAAGATATATATTTATTTACTGAAATAAAATTTTAAATATAGGATAAAACAGATGCAAAAGAACAACTTACCTCAGAGGAGACCCCAAGAGATAAATATCAGGAGGTCTCCAAGATAGTCGGGATGTCACAGAGCATCCCACCACCCAGACACTTAAAAAACACTGTAATTGATGAAAAATATTTGTTTTACCTCAAATTACAAGTCACCAAGGTGTGAAAATACTTTGTGCTTTATAACCAGAGCTGTCAGAAGAGATGAACTTTTTTCAACTAAGTTTTTCCAGAATTTTGTCCCAAAACTAATTTAGTAACCTAATTTAAGTAGGTAGTAGGTTGGTAGACAGCAACCGCCCAGGGAGGTACTACCGTCCTGCCAAGTGAGTGTAAAACGAAAGCCTGTAATCGTTTTACATGATGGTAGGGTTGCTGGTGTCTTTTGTCTGTCTCATAAATATGCAAGATTACAGGTAAGTCTTGCTACTTCTACTTACACTTAGGTCACACTACACATACATGTACAAGCATATATATACACACCCCTCTGGGTTTTCTTCTATTTTCTTTCTAATTCTTGTTCTTGTTTATTTCCTCTTATCTCCATGGGGAAGTGGAACAGAATTCTTCCTCTGTAAGCCATGCTTGTCGTAAGAGGCGACTAAAATGCCGGGAGCAAGGGGCTAGTAACCCCTTCTCCTGTATATATTACTAAATTTAAAAGGAGAAACTTCAGTTTTTTCTTTTGGGCCACCCCACCTCAGTGGGATACGGCTGGTACGTTGAAAGAAGAATTTAAGTTTCCTACAATTTATGTGATACAGCTGAATTCTGCCCCACCTATCTAAGGATAGCATAAACTTAGTACAGTGGACCCCTGCTTAACAATCACCTCCCAATGCGACCAATTATGTAAGTGTATTTATGTAAGTGCGTTTGTACATGTATGTTTGGGGGTCTGAAATGGACTAATCTACTTCACAATATTCCTTATGGGAACAAATTCGGTCAGTACTGGCACCTGAACATACTTCTGGAATGAAAAAATATCGTTAACCGGGGGTCCACTGTATTATTATATTTTTTCAACACGTCGGCCAATTCCCACCGAGGCAAGGTGACTCGAACAAAGAGAGAAACACTTTCACCAACATTCATCACTTTCACCAGCATTCACACACAATCACTGTCTTTGCAGAGGCTCCCAGATATGATAGTTTAGGCATCACTCCAAACTGCCAATATCCCAAACCCTTCCTTTAAGATGCAGGCATTGTACTACCCACCTCCAGGACTCAAGTCCAGCAATCAGTTTCCCTGAATCTCTTTTTAAGTACTAAACACTAGTACTGTAATAGTATTTAAATGTTCTTGGAATAACAGAATTTTTTATTAATTTATAATTTGTGTATTAGCTTATGCTTATACTGCTGTATTTATCTTTTACAGGTAATATAAATATTGTATCAGAACTCCTGAAGTCTGGATACAAAAAGATTGATGACAAAAATAACAATGGTCAAACAGCACTTCACATAGCAAGTATGAAAGGCCATGAAGAAATCACAAGAATGCTCCTACAGTCAATGGCTTTTGTTGAAGTTCGTGATGAAGAAGGTGTAACACCTTTACATGTGAGTTTAATTTTTTAATTAATGTACTCAAAATCCATGATTCAATTTCAATACAGGAGAGCCCCATTTGTATGGCTCTTAGGTTCCTGATCCCGTACTGTAAGCTAAAATTGCCGGTGGGTGGAAAAGAGCATTTTTTCATTATTGAATGTGTCTAAAACCCCTGATGACGTGTCTACAGTATCACATATTAAGTGCTCATACAGCTAGGCATAAAAAACAAAAAAGTAAAACAAACGCTACATACAATACTTACTGTAAAATATGGTGCTGGTCACCCTTCCCTTATGCAATTGTTGTGTAAAAACGACGGAACAGCAGTAAAAGCACTGAACATAATGAACAATGATTCATTTGAAAGCCAAATGTGGAACACTGAAAAGAGGTGCTGTATATGTGGGGCCCTCCTGTGTATCATTAGTTCAGGGAATTTTTTGTCATCATTTCCTTCAAGGAGAATGCCTTTATGCTAGTGAAGGGCTCTTGATCCAGAAAACCACAACTACCCTTCCCATCCATGAATTAAGCCTTATTATCTCTCAGTTTGCTAGGTGCTTTATGACCTTCACGTTTGAAGACCTCTGTGTTTGTACCAGCCATGTTTTTCCAATACTAGCTAGTGTAAGGTTCATAAAATGAGATATCATCACAACTCTGTATTTTACCATCATCAGTATTCCAGCTTCCACCTAACTCTGCCCTGATGCTTTCAAGATTGTCTGTTGTAAGAGTCTCACTCTTTAACATGAACACCTTCTATAGTGTATTTGTTATTTGTTCTGTAGCACACATATTTATGTTTTAATTTAATTGAATAATTATAAATATAATGTGTATTCTTATTTGCTTTTAAATTAAAAAATATAAAAATAAAATTCCCAGTATACCCTTAATTTAATGAACCTCAACTTAGTGGACTTCAGAAATACTGGACAAAATCTGCTAGCTCAGTTGAGTTGGAAACAATGGACGAAGTCCATTGTTTCCAACTCAACTGAGGCAGCAGACTTGTCCCTTATTTTTTATGATTACAGCAAAATATCATCTGTATCCACTAGAGTCAGTATGTTTATTCAGGTATACACAAATACAGCGGCCACCTGCTTCTCTCTGTTAGTTCATTAACTCGAGGCTTTATTGTATTTTAATATTCAGTTAGAAATTTGCTTACATGTTATATATAATACTTGATATAATGCATAAACTGCAGGCTGAAACCATGTTAGTTTTCACTGACCAAATAAAACTTGCACTTCATCCAGACATTGTAGTATAAAGTAAAACCTCAACTTAACTCACCCTAATTTAATGGATTTTGAATTTAATCGACAATCTCTGGCTGGACAACATTCAGAAACAATAAAGTCCATTAATTCCAGCATTGTCCATTATTCTTACAGCCTGCTGAATTAATTTATTTAAGAATTAATCTACTTTATCTGTTAAATCAGAATTGTCCGTTATTTTTTATGGACGGTTCTAGGTTTAACCCTTAAACTGTCCAAACGTAGATCTACATTTGCACACGTAGCACTCCAATCGTAGATCTACTTTTATTTTACGTAAGAAACAACGTAAAATCGAACGTAGATCTACGTGCGGAGCACTACGCGTGCGAACGTAGATCTACATTTGGACAGTTTAAGGGTTAATGGACACTCTGTACCCCCTGTTAATATGTTAAAGCCAAGGGTTCACTGTGCTCAGTTTGCAAAGATTTTAGTTTTCTGTTTATTGCATGATTTTTGCATGTGTGTGTAATTTATTACAGCTTGCTTCTAGACACAACAGACCAGGTATAGTGCGACTTCTTGTAGAGATGAGCCAAGCTGATATTCAAGCCAGAGCTACAAAAACAGGTAATTTTTTTAATACGTATGTTCTTTGGTTTCTGCAAAACCTTGGCTAACTTCTTTCTGTCTGAGTAAAAAAAAAATCTTCAACTACCAGGAGCTATCTACATTTCCTGTCTGTTACCTAAGTTCATATCATTGAAAGTATTATTTAGGTATGCCTTCTAAAAGGGAATACCTATAATAGTTGTCTTTTTTTTACATTCAAAGTTTTCATGTGATAACTTACAAAAAAGACCCTTTTCTGATCAGCTTTAAGCTTTCAACATTAATTTATCTTACCTGGAAGGAGTTCCGGGGTCAATGCCCCTGTGGCCTTGTCTTACTTAAAGGAAGATTTGAATTGTTATTGAGTTATGTAGGTGCATATTTCTTTATAACCTACATTTTGAACACATTGGGGTATTGGTTTTCATACAGTAAATATGAGGAAGCTTCTTCTGCTTAGCTTTAAATTTTCATCACTCGTATATCTTACCTATAGTCCAAGCAAGCAAGGAATGCGTTTGCCATTTCTAGGTTATTTGGGAACGTAGGCATCAATTATAACCTTGTGTTTGTGATGATTTACACTACAAAAGTTTGCATTACAAACTTATGAAAGATTGTAACTGTTCATTACAGCAAGGATTTCCTGTTTATGGTAGCATAAGAACATAATTCAGAGAGCAGAGGAGAGGTTGTGCAGGTGGTTTACCCATATTAGAAAGGATGGAGCAGAATGGGTTGACCAGTAAGGTGGACAAGCGAGCTCCAATTATACAGCAGGTTAGGTTCTGGGCTACTGTAGGGCCCAGCATAATACAGCAGGTTAGGTTCTGGGCTACTGTAGGGCCCCGCTTAATAAAGCAGGTTAGGTTCTAGGCTACTGCTGTAAAGCGAAAATCACTGTGAAGTGAAACATAGCCTTTTTTCACCTTCATATGCATGTAAATTCTGATAACATATTTACAGTATCATATATTAAGTGAACAATAGAGCTAGGCCTAAAAAAATGCATATACAGTACACACATTACTTACCTTAAAAAAAAGAAAAAATTTACTCAGTATCATAATTGAAGGTCTTACCATCAATTATAATACTAGGCAACTTGTTCCACTTGTCTACAACTCTCTTGCCAAATCACTACTTTCCTATATCCTTCATAAATCTGTATTTACATCAGTTTAAATCCATTGTTTTGAGTTTTTTCCTAGTTAATGTCCTCATCAATCTCTCTTATTTATACCTACAAGAAGGACCCTTCTGCATTTACACTGCTGAATGCAGGTCAAGTTGAATCTATAGGGACCCCATGGAAACTACATGTGTCTTTTGCTATTAATAATTCAATTATTTTTAATTAATTTTGTTTAATTTAAGAGAGTATGATTGTACATTTATTTTTGTTGTTGCATGATGGTTTATTTTTGTATGATAGTTTTGTTTACAAGTGTGTCTGTGTGTGATTGTGTTTAACATTTAACTGTCAGAAACATTGATATCATAGATGAAAGCACTTTATAAATCCTTCAACCTCATTCCTTCTATATTAAATTTTTGCCATTGTTTCTGACATTTATTTATTAATAATTAAAAAATTTAGATAGTCTCATGAGAGCATTAAGTTTTGTTTTCTATTGCACCAGGTGCTGTTGCTCTGCACGAAGCTGCTGAGAACGGCAGCGTTGAATGTGTGAAAACGTTACTGGCAGTAGGTGCACCATCGTGCCCTCGTAATTCTAAGATGGAAACCCCAATTGACCTTGCCAAGAGAATGGGTCATAAACAGTGCTACAACCTTTTAGGTTTGTTGTGATGCAAGGAGGGAAGAGTATATGGAGAAAAAGAGAGAAGTTAAGAGAGTGGTGAAGCAATGTAAAAAGAGAGCAAATGAGAGAGTGGGTGAGATGTTATCAACAAATTTTGTTGAAAATAAGAAAAAGTTTTGGAGTGAGATTAACAAGTTAAGAAAGCCTAGAGAACAAATGGATTTGTCAGTTAAAAATAGGAGAGGAGAGTTATTAAATGGAGAGTTAGAGGTATTGGGAAGATGGAAGGAATATTTTGAGGAATTGTTAAATGTTGATGAAGATAGGGAAGCTGTGATTTCGTGTATAGGGCAAGGAGGAATAACATCTTGTAGGAGTGAGGAAGAGCCAGTTGTGAGTGTGGGGGAAGTTCGTGAGGCAGTAGGTAAAATGAAAGGGGGTAAGGCAGCCGGGATTGATGGGATAAAGATAGAAATGTTAAAAGCAGGTGGGGATATAGTTTTGGAGTGGTTGGTGCAATTATTTAATAAATGTATGGAAGAGGGTAAGGTACCTAGGGATTGGCAGAGAGCATGCATAGTTCCTTTGTATAAAGGCAAAGGGGATAAAAGAGAGTGCAAAAATTATAGGGGGATAAGTCTGTTGAGTGTACCTGGTAAAGTGTATGGTAGAGTTATAATTGAAAGAATTAAGAGTAAGACGGAGAATAGGATAGCAGATGAACAAGGAGGCTTTAGGAAAGGTAGGGGGTGTGTGGACCAGGTGTTTACAGTGAAACATATAAGTGAACAGTATTTAGATAAGGCTAAAGAGGTCTTTGTGGCATTTATGGATTTGGAAAAGGCGTATGACAGGGTGGATAGGGGGGCAATGTGGCAGATGTTGCAAGTGTATGGTGTAGGAGGTAGGTTACATGAAAGCAGTGAAGAGTTTTTACGAGGATAGTGAGGCTCAAGTTAGAGTATGTAGGAAAGAGGGAAATTTTTTCCCAGTAAAAGTAGGCCTTAGACAAGGATGTGTGATGTCACCGTGGTTGTTTAATATATTTATAGATGGGGTTGTAAGAGAAGTAAATGCGAGGGTCTTGGCAAGAGGCGTGGAGTTAAAAGATAAAGAATCACACACAAAGTGGGAGTTGTCACAGCTGCTCTTTGCTGATGACACTGTGCTCTTGGGAGATTCTGAAGAGAAGTTGCAGAGATTGGTGGATGAATTTGGTAGGGTGTGCAAAAGAAGAAAATTAAAGGTGAATACAGGAAAGAGTAAGGTTATGAGGATAACAAAAAGATTAGGTGATGAAAGATTGAATATCAGATTGGAGGGAGAGAGTATGGAGGAGGTGAACGTATTCAGATATTTGGGAGTGGACGTGTCAGCGGATGGGTCTATGAAAGATGAGGTGAATCATAGAATTGATGAGGGAAAAAGAGTGAGTGGTGCACTTAGGAGTCTGTGGAGACAAAGAACTTTGTCCTTGGAGGCAAAGAGGGGAATGTATGAGAGTATAGTTTTACCAACGCTCTTATATGGGTGTGAAGCGTGGGTGATGAATGTTGCAGCGAGGAGAAGGCTGGAGGCAGTGGAGATGTCATGTCTGAGGGCAATGTGTGGTGTGAATATAATGCAGAGAATTCGTAGTTTGGAAGTTAGGAGGAGGTGCGGGATTACCAAAACTGTTGTCCAGAGGGCTGAGGAAGGGTTGTTGAGGTGGTTCGGACATGTAGAGAGAATGGAGCGAAACAGAATGACTTCAAGAGTGTATCAGTCTGTAGTGGAAGGAAGGCGGGGTAGGGGTCGGCCTAGGAAGGGTTGGAGGGAGGGGGTAAAGGAGGTTTTGTGTGCGAGGGGCTTGGACTTCCAGCAGGCATGCGTGAGCGTGTTTGATAGGAGTGAATGGAGACAAATGGTTTTTTAATACTTGACGTGCTGTTGGAGTGTGAGCAAAGTAACATTTATGAAGGGATTCAGGGAAACCGGCAGGCCGGACTTGAGTCCTGGAGATGGGAAGTACAGTGCCTGCACTCTGAAGGAGGGGTGTTAATGTTGCAGTTTAAAAACTGTAGTGTAAAGCACCCTTCTGGTAAGACAGTGATGGAGTGAATGATGGTGAAAGTTTTTCTTTTTCGGGCCACCCTGCCTTGGTGGGAATCGGCCGGTGTGATAATAAAAAAAAAAAAAAAAAAAAAAAAAAAAAAAAAAAAAAAAAAAAAAAAAAAAAAAAATAAATGATTTCATGTTTCTATTGTGTGGTCTTTAAGTGTTAGGGTTTACTTAAGGGATAATGGCAAGTAACATAAGTAATGACTGCCTCCCCACCCTTTCCTATGCTGGGGTCACTTTATTGTGGTGGTTGTGATCATTTGTCACATCTGATACACTTACTATACCTATTCAAATTTATATTGCAATGTATACAAGAATTTTTTTATACCTGTTTGTAATTTGGCATGCTAGGTGGTTTGTTGCTATCAGTGGCATAATAATAATAGTATAGCATACTGCAGTCAGGTGTGAAGACAGAGACAAGCTTCAGAACAAGCTACAGTATTTACTGGGATGACATTTTCTGTATGTAGAACTTCATGGGATTTTTGTCTTATGAAGCTTCACCGTAAAACATTACCTCGATTAATGCTTGTATGATGTGTATGATTGTATGATGTGCTTGTATGTTGTGTATCTTTGTATGTGTATGCTTCTGGACTGTTGTATTCTGAGCGCCTCTGCAAAAACAGTGATAATGTGCGAGTGTGGTGAAGGTGTTGAATGATGATGAAAGTATTTTCTTTTTGGGGATTTTCTTTCTTTTTTGGGTCACCCTGCCTCGGTGGGAGACGGCCGACTTGTTGAAAAAAAAAAAAAAAAATTTCTTTAAAAAATGAAAATACTAGTACAGTGGTACCTCGGGATATGAACCTAATTCGTTCCAGAAGGCTGTTCAAGTGCCAATACTGAACGAATTTGTTCCCATAAGGAATGATGTAAATTAGATTAATCCATTTCAGACCCCCAAAAATACACTTACAAAAGCAATTACATAAACACACTTACATAATTGTTCAAGTTTTGAGCTGTTCGTATCCCGAGGTACCACTGTATATACAGTACAGTGGACCCTCAGCTAACGATGTTACTCCGTTCCTGAAAGCTTATCGTATGCTGAAATTATCGTTAGCTGAATTAATTTTCCCTATAAGAAATAATGGAAATCAAATTAATCTATGCAAGACACTCCCAAAGTATGAAAAAAAAAATTTTTTACCACATGAAATGTTAATTTTAATACACACAAACTGACACTTACCTTTATTGAAGATCTGGTGATGATTGATGGGATGAGAGGAGGGGAGAGTGTGGAAGTTGTTAATGTTTAGAAGGGGAATCCCCTTCCATTAGGACTTGAGGTATCAAGTCCTTTTCCGGGGTTACTTCCCTTCTTCTTTTAATGCCACTAGGACCAGCTTGAGAGTCACTGGACCTCTGTCGCACAACATATCTGTCCATAGAGGCCTGTACCTCCCGTTCCTTTATGATTTGTCTAAAGTGGTTCACAACATTGTCATTGTAATAGTCACCAGCACAGCTTCCAATAGCTGTGTGAGGGTGATTTTCATCCATAAAGGTTTGCACTTCAATCCACTTTGCACACATTTCCTTAATCTCTCTTCATATCCATAGTAATTCTCACCCTTTTTCCTGCAGGATTGGCACTAGAAACTTTCTTGGGGCCCATGGTGACTTATTTTGCAGGTATAATCACTAAAAACGCTGTGATAATATGAAATGTTCTGATTGTATGCGTGGATGTGACCGCACTGGCTGGCTTGTAAACACTGGCACCCACGGGACAACTGAGGCATGCTCAGGCCACACGTGGACGCGTCTCGAACGAATCGCGTAGGGTGAGTTTTTTAGCGTTAGCCGAGGCAAAATTTTTGCGTTAAAATGTATCATATGCTGGATTTAACGTAAGGTGATGCCATCGTTAGCTGAGGGTCCACTGTACATAATTACAGTATTATATAGAATACTGCACTAGTTCTGTGCACTGAGAAATGTTAACTTCTTAATGCACACTGAATTTACTCTTACAATTGTTTTGTGACTGGTGTTCATATGGGATAAAAGAATGTAGTGTAATAAGAAGGATTTTATAATTTACTGTGTCAAAAGCTTAACTCAAATTAATAAAAAGGCCAATAGAGTATTCTTTTGTGTAGTATTTCATCTTCATTTCAGTTCTGTAATAACCATGGCTTAAGCTTTATTGGTGTATGTTACCCTCACAGCAAATTCAGTTTTTTGCTGCTTTTTCTGCATGGGTTGCTTCCTACCTAGGTAGAGTGACCTAGGTGAGACCATCACCAGTACATATACATCACACTTCAGCTGACTCTCCAATCTGCAACATCCCTACTCATTCTTTAGAATGCAGGCACTCCACTTCCCACCTCCCAAACTCAAGTTTGGCTAACTATTTTTCCTGGAACAGAAATTGGCTGTTTCTCCATGCATTACTTGTCTTTTCCCAGCCATATACTAAGCCTTACACAAATAACCCGCACATAGTAGAGAGGAGCTTACGACAATGTTTTGGTCCGACTTGGACCATTTACAAAGTCACAAAGCCTTGGCATGATATGACTTGCTCGTGGCTTTGAATGCTGGTAAAATCCCAAATTGTAATACTCTGTATCCCATTGTCATTCAATTATCCAATATGTTCTCATTTAATCACATTTCCTAATACATACTAGAACACTTTGTTGATATATACATGATTATTGCCCTTCCCTGTCTCAGTACCTGTATGCTCATGTTCCTATTAGTACGTACTAATAATCTTTAAATTTGCATATCCTTTAAAATTCAGTAGTTTCAAGTTAGAATAGCTGAGTATTAAAAGACTCACAAAACATTATTTATATTACCATATTATTTTATCTTCATCCTAATCATGAGTTTTTTTCCTTCAGTGCATCACCATCCTCCAATTCCACGATATCGATTAAGAGACTATTTCCATGGAAGTATTGATCGGTATTTGGCCCAGGAGCGTATCCTCAGTGCTCCAAGCACTGCAGATGGACATTTCCTCTTGCGTCAGAGTACCAGGAAACAGGATGTTTATGTGTTAACTCTGCTGTGTAGAGAGCAGGTGTACAATTATGAAGTTTCCGGTGAGGTAAGTTTAGGTCAGTGCACTATACACCAGGAATTATTTTTGTCATATATTTGATAGCTCGATTCAAGGAACATGACTTAACCTCCCCTTCCTTGGATCGAACCTGAATGCTTTCCATTCCCCAGGCCTTTTATGACCCCTACAGGCTTAGTGCTTTCCCCTGCAAAAAAGTAAGAAATCATTATTTCATTTATACAGTGGGTGCTCAATTTTCCAAACAGTATGGGACAGAGGTTCAGCCAGATACAGAACCATATGGTTAAATAAATTATGAGATCAAGTGTTTTTTCTTTTTACTAAAATATTCACATTTCTAAGAAATGTGTGTTTGACAACTCAGAGAATAAAAGAGGAATTGTTGAGAATGTTTGGTCATTTAAAAAGGAATAAGTCATTCCTAGAATCTCCCAGGAAGGGCTGGAGGGAAGTTGTGAAGGAGGTTTTGAGAGGTAAAAGATTTATTATCTAGCAGGTGTATGTCAGCCTGTTAGATCAGAATTGATTTTTGCGATCTGACATGCTGTACAATTTTAAAGATAGTAATATTTATGAAAGAATTCAGAAAAACTGATTGCATTGATGGTGGCAGTGCATGAACTCAAAAAGATTGGTGATAACGGTGCGGTTTCATTGGGTAATTGGTGGTGTTGTATTCCTCTGGAAAGACACCTTGGAAATAAGTGATGGTGAGTGTTTTCTTTTATTGAGTCACCATGAATTGATGGGATAATATTAGTGTGTTTAAAACTACATACAGTGTGTGTTTGGGGTTACATACCATATGCAGTATGGTAATGTAGATGCATTCTAAAAAATCAGTAGTTTTTTCACACTTCAGCCATCTCCCTCCAAGGTAGGGTGACCTAAAAGAGAAGAACACTTTCATCTTCATTCATTTAGTCACTGTCTTACCAAAAGTGTGCTAACATTGCAGCTCAGAAAACTTCCTGAATTGCAGCATCCCCACCCCTCCTTCAGAGTGCAGGCACTGTACTTTCCATCTCCAGGACTCAGGCTCTACTAATTGGTTTCCTTGAATTCCTTCGTAAATATTACCTTGCTCACATTCCAACAGCACATCAAATAATAAAAAAACACTTACCTCCTCCACTCACTCCTGGTTCAAATGCTCCATCAAGCCCACTGGATATCCAAACCTCAAGCACTCAAGACCTACCTTGGAAGTTGAAGGCTACCTCCAACCCTTCCTCTGATGATTCCTACCCTGAATATATATACCCTCATAGTCATCCTATTTTGCTCCATTATTTCTGTATGTCCAAACCACCTCAACACCCCCTCCTCCAACCTTTCAAAGGATACTTTTAATAAGCCCATTCCTTCATCTGATCTCCAAACTGTGAATAATATACACACCATACATTACTCTCAAACATGACGTCTCCACTGCCTCTAGCCTCTTTTTGCCACAATATTCAAAACTCATGCTTAACACCCATACGACAGTTTTGATACCACTATACTCTGGTGTATTCCTTTTTTTTTTTCCTCTATAGATGAGGTTTTTTTGTCTCCACAAATGCATCAGTGTCTCACTCATTTTGAGAAGAGCTAAAACCATAATTATTATTTTTTTTTAACACATCAGCAGTGAGGAAGAGAACAGTTATTTCTTTTAATTGTCAAAGTGCTCATAACTTACTTCCTCTTTATTTTTCAGAGTGAACTGTTTTGCATTGATGATGGCCCTTACTTTGCCTCATTAGAATCCATGATTGACCATTATGTCCGCTTCATGGATGGTCTGCCTTGCCGACTTGTCACCCCTGTCTTGCCGCCTCGACCATTCTCTGAGGATGGCATCCCCATAGGACATCTTCCTATTATTTCCAGTTTTGTAAGTGATTCAATTTTTTCTTTCTACTGAATGTAAAGAACAGTGCTTAAGTGAATGATGGTGAATGTGCTTTTTTTTTGATCACCATGCAACCCATCCTGTGTACAACACTGGGTATATACAGTGAGAATTTCATATTTCTCAGTGTATATACTGTACACTGTGAGCTAATTTGAATCAGTAATAGAGGGATTAAAGTATTCTTGATTGTTTGTGTAAAGGTCTAATACAGACATTAGGTTTATTTTAAACCTAATAATCCAACTGGGTATCAGGCAAAGAAGTAATTTTCTGTTTAATTTGCCTGCATTTATTTCCTTCTCTGCATTTTTTAACCATTATTTTTACTAGCATATTTCATAAAATTTCTCCATGGGGAAGTGGAAAAGATTCCTTCCTCCATAAGCCATGTGTGTCATAAGAGGCGACTAAAATGCTGGGAGCAATGTGCTGGTAACCCCTTCTGTATGAATTACTAAATGTATAAAGAAGAGAATCGTTTGTGTCTAAATTTTTGGGTCACCCTTCCTCAGTGGGAGATGGCTGGTGTCTTGAAAAAAAAATAGCATTAAAGTTCTAAACTACTGTTGCTTCTGCTACCTGCCTTACCACTACCACTACTACTCCTCCCACCTGTCTTGTCCTGTCTCTGCCAGCTAACCTATATATACTGGCTCCATCTCTCTTTTCCGTTTGTGTGACTTCATAAAATTTCTAGTTCTCTAATGGTGGTAATTGTCTGAACACAGAAGGAAGTTGTGTATCGTGATGGTAGTGATGGGAACCCTAGTTACTCTGAACAACTTCCCTTACTTTCTGCAGCCAGCCAAGACGACCTCAAGACCCTTCCCTCACTTACTCTCGAGACTCCATCTTTACAAAACCCTGATATTGTTATCACAAGTAAGTTAAAAAAAATTGGTTTAATTTTAATGGATGCTCCTTGATGTGACCTGTTGATTATATGTGTGCTTGTTGTCACAAACTGACTGTATGTGTGCTTGTTCCTACAAGCTGACTGTATGGGTGTTCCTCGTTCCTCCAAGCTGACTGTATGGGTGTTCCTTGTTCCCGCAACTTGACTCTATGGTTGTTCCTTGTTCCCGCAAGCTGAGTGTATGGGTGTTCCACGTTCCTGCAAGCTGACTGTATGGGTGTTCCTCGTTCTTACAAGCTGACTGTATGGGTGTTCCTTGTTCCCGCGAACTAACTGTATGGGTGTTCCTTGTTCCTGCAAGCTGACTATGGTTACTCTTGGGTGGCCCCAGTTGACTATGATGTGAGTACTCGTGGGTGTCACCAGCTGGCTGTATGGGAGCTCCTAGGTGCCATCTACTTACAAATACAGGAAAAATAAATACTGTACTTCATTAATTCAATAAATAATTTAATAATAAAAATTATCATTTTAGTTTTTGAGATGTTGGTGTAATTGCTATCTTTTATACATGAAATTTTCAGAATCTCTGTCTCGGCAATCTCAAGATTTACTGGATCTGTATGAGTCCAAGCAAGACTTTGAAGGAGCGCTTAAGAACAGTTGTAAAAATCACCAACCAAAAGTTCCATCAAGGGATACCCTTAAATTGGATTTGCAGGTAAATAATGTTCCCTCCGGCTACTATTTTCCATGTGTTGAATTGATTTTATGTTCACCAGTTATACATGGATGCAAACATTAAAAACTACCAGCTCACCAGCAAAAGCCTGGTTGACTAGGCAAGCACAAAACAAGCCTGTCCCAGAGCCAAGAATCAGGAATAGGAAAACTCTTGAAACAAGTCACATAAGGTATTTAATTTCTGGTGGGAACATAGATAAGAGTCAGGTGATGAGGGTATCAAACGATATAGATAAAGAAAAATTTGATATCACATTGGAGGGAGGGAGTATGGAAGAAGTGAATGTTTTCAGATATTTGGGAGTTGACTTGTCAGCAGATGGGTGTATGAAAGATGAGGTTCACTATAGAATGGATGAAGGAAAAATGATGAGTGGTGCGTTGAAGTATCTGTGGAGACAAAGACCGTTATCCATGGAGGCAAAGTAGGGAATGTATGGGAGTATAGTGGTACCAACACTCTTATATGGGTGTGAAGCATGGGTTGTGAATGCTGCAGCGAGGAGGTGGCTGGAGGCAATGGAGATGTCCTGTCTAAGGGCAGTGTGGGTGTAAATATTATGCAGAGAATTCATAGTGTGGAAATTAAGAGGAGGTATGGAGTTACTAAAAATATTAGTCAAAAGGCTGAGGAGGGGCTGTTGAGGTGGTTTGGTCATTTAGAGAGAATAGAACAAAGTAGAATGACTTGGAGAGCATGTAAATCTGTAGAAGGAAGGTGAGGTAGGGATTGTCCCCAAAAAGGTTGGAGGGAGGGGGTAAAGGAGGTTTTGTGGGTGAGGGGCTTGGACTTCCAGCAAGCGTGCATGAGCATGTTAGGAGTGAATGGAGACAAATGGTTTTTGGGACCTGACAAGCTGTTGGAGTGTGAGCAGGGTAATATTTTGTGAAGGGATTCAAGGAAACCAGTTAGCCGTACTTGAGCCCTGGAAATGGGAAGTACAATGCCTGCACTTTAAAGGAGGGGTTTGGGATAATGGCAGTTTGGAGAGACATCTAAGCTGTCATGTCTGAGCGCCTTGCAAAGGCAGTGGTTATGTGTGATTGATGGTGAAAGTGTTGAATGATGATGGAAATTTTTTCTTTCTTTTTAGGTCACCCTGCCTTGGTGGGAAACGGCTGACGTGTTAAAAAAAAAATATTGAAAATGTAATTACTATAGGTATACAAGAAATAAACAGTGACACTGTATTAAAATGAACAAAACTGCAACAAATTAAAATTTTTTGACAAAAACTTGCTAGGAATGTGGATGATGTAGTGTATAGTATGACTCATGAAATCGTAATAAAGCGATTACAAATGAGTCACATAATGCGTGGGGCCAAGTGGTTAGCACATTGGCCTATGAGTCTTAGCACTCACCTGCCATGGGTTAAAGCCCCACATATTCCGTGGTTTTTAGTGCTCGGTATTTTGATTGAGTTGTGTGGCCACACAAGCACACAGGTATTTATGGGGAGTCATCACATGAATGACTTGTTTGTAACCCGGACCTTTATTCTTTATTCAGTGCCCAACGAACTCTAGGAGGAATTATCTGCTAAAGCCTCCTTGAATGTTTCAAGTTTGTCACTGAAAAATTAAAGAAACACGGGCTCATAAACTCTTGTGATCTTTTGAGTGTTCAAAAAATTTACTCCAAATTCTTAGGCATCGGAATATATGCTGAAAAAACTCACTGTGATCTTTATCATAATCACAGATTTTTGTAATACATATATTACTTGTTTATCATCAGGACAGAATGACCCAAAGAAGGAAATACATTTATCAGCATTCATTCCATAACTGACTTTCAAAAATATTGTTTGATACCTATTTTTGTTTTGTAAATGGAATATGTTCAGGTGGTTTATTGTAAATTTGTTGCACCTTCTTCTGCAGAGTTTAACCATCAGTAGCACTACAGATACCACAAATTTCTGTGGCAGTAGCCCAACAATGGATGGAAACAGGACAGATGAAATATTTGGTGAAATTGACATAAACCATCTTAGTATTGGACAATGTCTGGGAAATGGTGAATTTGGATCAGTATTAAAAGGCATTTGGCTAAGTCCTTCTGGAGACAAGGTGAGATAAGCTAAATCATTTTTATATTAATCTTTCATTCATCTCTTTCTATATGCATTTGCACATATTTTTCCTTCTTTATAAACATTCTTTGCCTATTTACAAACCTTATTCAGTACAAGAAAAAGAACTGTCAAAAGTATAGTAAAACATTGTATAAAGGTCCCTCTCCTATGTGTTGGTTATTTGGAAATTGCTCCAGTATTGCGATTGCTCTACATAAATGTTCCTTCAGATTGATGTCGCTGTGAAAACCCTTCATAATGACGATAAAGTCAACAAGAAAAATTTCCTCAAAGAAGCCGAGGTGATGATGAATCTCAACCACTTGTATATTGTGAAACTGGTTGGCATCTGCCATGGGCCTCCAGTAGCTATGGTAAGCAAACTTATCTTTCTCTTGAAAGTTTACACTATAATAGAGAGCCATTGTGTAATTACAGTAAACCCTCAATGTAACGAACTAAGGGGATTCTCTGAGTGTCCTTTAGATCAAAATGTTAAAAAAATCACAGGAAAAAAACACTAAAAGTACTTTACTGTATACCTAATATACACTGTACACAATTTACAGATTTTTTTTTTTTTCAACAAGTCAGCCGTCTCCCACCGAGGCAAGGTGACCCAAAGAGAAAGAAAATCCCCAAAAAGAAAATACTTTCATCATTCAACACTTTCACCTCACTCACACATAATCACTGTTTTTGCAGAGGTGCTCAGAACACAACAGTTTAGAAGCATATACATATAAAGATACACAACATATCCCTCCAAACTGCTACTATCCCAAAACCCTCCTTTAGAGTGCAAGCATTGTACTTCCCATTTCCAGGACTCAAGTCCAGATATACTTCAATAAACATTGAAAAATAATGAGTTCAAAGTACAATTTACACATTGGATTTTACCTTATTTCAAAAGTCCATTATATTGAGGTCTAACTACCCTAATTCTTTGATGCCAGTGAAGGGCTCTTGATTCAAGGAATTGGAACTATCCTTCTCTGAGATGAACCCTGATTACCTCCCATTTCCCAGGTGCTGTTTGACCCTCATTGGTTTAGTCTTTCCCTGTGAATATAATAATTATAATTAAGAATTCCACTTATGTGATATTCTAATTTTGTTTATCTTTTTGTTTATCCTTCCTTCCTTTCATAAATTATTCCTGATAGAAAAAGTGATATAAAGGTCTGTATCTTCATATCTGTTGTATTCCCTTATTGGAGCTGTCTCATATATATAGTATTCCTTATTCCCATTCCTGAGTGAATAGTCTGAAGTGCCTGACTAAAAATCCAGCAACCCATTTTTCAGCATAAGTGAAAATTTGCTGTGACTTAAAGTTTTTGGGTATAATTTGATATATCACGGTTTGGGCAGGTAGGATTTGGTAGGCCAGGCCAATAAGGTCAAGCCCCCTTATAGTCCTAATCTGCTTCCACTGATGGGTCTTGCCCACTTGTGACAGTGTTTTCAGTGGCTGCCCCTCCCTATTTCTTCACCTGACTCCAGTATAAAAGGCTCCATTCTCAGGCTTCTAGACTGATAAAAGGTTGCTTCACCGGTGAAATGTCTCACAATAAAGATTCCCAGGTGTTGCACAAGTGACTTATTCATCAACTTGTCAGCATTATATCATTGCTTTAATGAACTTTAAGATAACCCATGCTTGGTAATAATAATAATAATAATAATAATAATAATAATAATAATAATAATAATGATAGCATTTATTATGTTAAAATCACCTAATCAACAAATGGTTGTAGTTCTTTGTAGAACATACAGCTCAAATATTTTCAAGATGTTGGTTGCCTGTCACTCCAATTGTACGCACTTTACTTCACCGCTCTGTACGTACTTGGACCTTCTTTTTTTTTAATCTTATTCGCTTTTTTTTGTAAGATGCATACAGAATGTTGCATATACAAATATTTATTTTTCTCATTTATGCTCTCAAGGTTCAAGAGCTGATGGCAATGGGTTCTCTTCTTGATTTCCTTTTAGAACATGAAAAGGAGATATCAGTCGACTTTCATCTCAAACTTTGGGCTGCACAGATTGCCGAGGGTAGGTCATTTTCTTGTACAGTGTTCTACAGCTTTTATTTGTCAAGTGCATTTAGCTGCTTACTGACATTTAACTTTTAGTGCAGGTATATTATAGTAGTTCAGTTTAATATCTAACCAGATCTTCAATAATAATGCTTTTAACGTTTCTTTCCTATCATCCAGTGAGTACAGTTCGAGGGACTTAAAACATTCCCAATAATTTAGGTGCGTGACTTGAATTTAAGCAGACAGTGAAGGTTCTCTGTGTATTTTCCAGATTTGCAATCTCACCTGTCTTATAAGTTTATTGGAAGAGTACAACAATTTACACTTCAATCCTCTATTATTTCATATTTTGTTAAGATTCAAATTCAGGTCAAGCAAACTTGGTTTTTCCTGAATCCCTTCACATTAATTTTCCCACACTCCAACAGTATGTCAAGCCATAAAAAAACTTCTTATCTCCACTCACTCCAACCAAATGTTCTCACACAGGTCTATTGGTTGGTCAAGCCCCTAGCTCTCAAAACCTCCATATTTCCCCCTCCCTCCTATTTTCCCCCTACCCATCCTTTCATCCACCCCATATTTATGTACTCTCTTAGTTATTATATTCTTCTCCATCTTCTCTAAATGCCCAAACCATTTCAGCAACCCCTCCTCAACACTCAGGAATTATACTTTTGGTAACACTACTCTAACTTCTAATTTCTATACTCCAAATTCTCTGCATAATATTCACACTGCGCATTGCTCTCAAACCTGACATCTCCTTTTTGCTGTAATGTTAAAAGACCATACTTGAAATAGGCATACAAATGTTGGTACCACTGTACTCTGGTGCCTCAGTAGATAACCTCTTTCTTTCCACAGATTCCTCAACACCACCTTCCTTTTTTCCCCTTGTCTATTTTGTGGGTTCACTTTGTTTTTCATAGACCCTCCTGCCAGCATGTCCACTTCCAAATATCCGAATACATTCACTTCCTATACAATTCCTGCCGCCATTATTATTCTTTCTTGTGTATTTTTAAATGTCATAATGCATGTAAATATCCCATTGTATGATATAACATAATTTTTTATGAAACAGGAATGATGTATTTGGAGCAGAAGCATTTTGTTCATCGTGATCTAGCTGCACGCAACATACTTTTGTCATCAATGACCTTGGCCAAAATCAGTGACTTTGGTCTCTCTCGAGCCCTTGGTGTTAATAAAGATTATTACACAGCTAGTGATGGTGGAAAGTGGCCATTAAAATGGTAAGTAAATCAGTTAATTTTTGTAAAAAAATTTTGAGTGGCACTTAAGTTATCAGTTAAGAAAACAATCAAATAACTCTAAGCTACATAGGTAAATGGTATCCAGCTTCTCTGTGAATATAATGATATAATAAAGACAGAGAATGTGTTTTTTCCTTTGGGTCACACTGCCTTGGTTGGAGATGGATGTTTGGGTAAAAAAAAAAAAATACAACTTAATAATTGTGTTTGGATACATATTACAGTGTGTTACTATAAAATACTCACATCAGTATGCTAGCAGATATATCTCCAACCCTGCACTGTTATACCTTTAAACTTACCTCTGATTTTTTCAAGAGTTTTTCTCGCAAAGCCTGACCCATGTTGACTCTTTAACTATGCCATTGCTGCCACTGGCCCATAGGCCTACATAACTGTTACAGCATGGTTTATTTGGCACTTGTTTAACCCTTTCAGGGTCCGTCCCGTAGATCTACGGCTTTACGTTCAGGGTCCAAACCGTAGATCTACGCCATGAGCTCAGCTCACTCTGATAAACTGTGAGTGGTACATTTGGGCCTAGATATGAGAGAATACATCTATGTGGTATGTGTGCACCACATAAAACAGATCCTGCAGCACACTGTGTATAATGAGAGAAAAAAACTTAAATCATGATTTTTCGATTAAAACAGCAACTTTGAAGTGTTTTTTCGTATGTTTTTTATAGTTGTATTTGCGATTTCTTGGTCTCATTTGATAGAATGGAAGACATATTACAGAAATAGAGATGATTTGATTGGTTTTAGCACTGGAAATGGCTTGAAACTGAGCTCAAAGTAGCGGAAATGTTAAATTTTTGCCGATATTCAAGAGTAAACAAACGACCTCACACGTCTAATACACGTCAGCTGGTGGGTCTAATATACATTCACAAATATGGTGATGATATTTATACAATTATTACAGTATTGCATAACAGTAAATCTTCTATTTTTTGGTGTGAATAAAAATTCATTATGTGAATAAAAAATCAAAATGGAATTTATTTGTAAAGCCTCAAAACATAACTAATGAACAGAGGAAACGTTAGTTTAGTGCCAGGAATGCCTACATTGTTTATTCTGGACCCTATTTTGAAATTGGAATATTTTGAACTTTGTGTTAAATTGGCCAAATTAACAATTTCCGATCACTTTATTTTGTAGTTGAAACAGTTGACTTGGCGATTTCTTGTGCTCAATCGGTAGAATAGAAGTAATACTAGTGAAATAGCTAAGAATTTGGTTGATTGGAATAATGTAATTGGCCTAAAATGGGAGTCAAAGTCGGCAAAATCGCCGATTCGTAAATGTCACTGACACATCAAAATTCGCGAGAGCATAATTTCGTCAATTTTCCACCAAATTTCGTACTTTTTGTTTTATTACCTTCACAAAAAGATTCTCTACGATTTCATAAGAAAAAATAACAAATTTTTTTTTTTTTAAATTCTTGGACACTGGTGCGTGATTCCAGATTTGGGCCTTGGACCCTGAAAGGGTTAAAGTAGAGGTTCAGTTTTTCCATGAAATCCTCTGCCATCGTTCCAACATTTCTTATGTCGTGGACCATGGATGTTGACACACTGTTCTCTGATTGGTATTCATGCTATAGTTTAGTTCTGCATATAATTATATTCTTAGTCCATTTTTATGAATATAATTATAGTATAATAATTTTTGGAATGTACGTACAGTATACCAATTGCAAGCCCAAAAATCTCAGTTAATGTGCCTTCAGAAATATAATTTATTTTTAGTGATTTAGTTTTTTATTCTAAATGTGTTTCTCTTACATCCTCAATAATGTTCACCTTTTCTCCTAGTTTCTTCTGATTTAGCCAGCAAAGGAACATCGTTTACATAAACCAGGTATGGCAACTCCCATTCTATGCCACTGGCTCACAGCATTGGCAGGTTACTCACAGGCAGAACCATTAGCAGCTAGTCTTATTACGGTGCCTAATGACCCCTTAATGCTGAATCTCCTTAGAGTGGCAGCAGAGATTGAGCAACCTGAGTACCTAAGACCTAACATCAGGGATATTTCCCCTTTTCACAAATTTTTGCTGTGATTTAGTCTCTGTTTTCAAATGCATTATGAATATGTTTGGATTGCCACTAATGAATGTAAAATTGTTGGTTTATATTGTGATTTTTATATCTGCAATATGATAGATAGTTCAAAACTAACCCATAATCTGGAGAGAAATCTATGCTATATGGCATCTACCTGGAGGGTGTTTTAGGGGTGACTGCTCCTGTGGCCCAGTGCTTGGCCAGGCCTCCCAGTGGATCAGGGCCTGATCAACCAGGCTGTTACTGGAGTATCATATATTACTTGGTTAAAATACATTTACTGTGAGTGGTAGAATATACTGACAGAATGTGGTTTAGGATCCTTTATTGAGTAAACAGTTCATCTACCAGGGACTTTATCAGTTGATCAAGTCCCTAGTGGATGGAAGATTTTCTCAGTAAAAGGTCACAAACTACATATTGTGTCTTAATAACACTTATTAAATTCTTTAAAAAGAAACTCAAATAGGGCCCAGCATTGAGAGGGTAAATAAAATTTGGTATGGTGACACTGTAGTGATCAGCTGGTGTGTTAGGAGACACCTGGGATATAATTGTAACATAAACTAATGGATTTCAGCCCTTTAAAAATATTACCACAATTTAACTGATCCTCTACTTTGTGCCTAAATATATGGTCACTGACCTGCACTAGAGTACTGTATACACAGTAAATGAATTAAAGAACAAAAAGGCACAATGCTGTTACTGGAACAGTACACAAATAGCCCACATATAGGAGAGAGGAGCTTACGATGACGTTTCGGGCCAACATGGATTTTGTAAATGATCCAAGTCAGACCGAAACATCATCATAAGCTTCTATCAACTGTGTCCGGTCTAGTTGTGTAAATGAATTGTAAATAATTTATGCTTGTGAATATTAATGATACTAATTGCTCTTTACCAGGTATGCTCCAGAGTCTATCTATTATGGAACATTTACTCATAGTAGTGATGTGTGGAGCTACGGTGTTACACTCTGGGAGATGTACACTTTTGGTGATCAACCATATGGAGAACTTCCAGGGCATAAAGTAAGTGCATTACTGCAAAGAATTTGTCTCTTTTGTAAACCAGAAATTAATAATGTTCAATGAATGTTTATTAAGCTTGTTATTATAAGCTATCTCGAATTAGTGTCTAAAAGTTAATATAATTTACAGTAAATATTGGTATAAGGGACTAGTAACCCTCAGTGGGATATGGCCAGTTTGTTGGAAAAAAAAATTGGTATAACTAGACTGTATACAATAGGTCTCCCAATTTACAAATTTTTTTTTTTTTTTTTTTTTCAACAAGTTGGCCGTCTCCCACCGAGGCAGGGTGACCCAAAAAAAGAAAGAAAATCCCCAAAAAGAAAATACTTTCATCATCATTCAACACTTTCACCACACTCGCACATTATCACTGTTTTTGCAGGTGCTCAGAATACAACAGTCTAGAAGCATACACACATAAAGATACACAACATATCCCTCCAAACTGCCAATATCCCAAAACCCCTCCTTTAAAGTGCAGGCATTGTACTTCCTTTACAAATATTTCATATTAAAAACAGTTGCACTTACAAAAGGGATTCTTAAGAACTAATTACATTTTTATAACAGCTGATCTGAAGTACAGACATTTTGAAACCTAACCATCATTTGTAATATTGTTGTCTGTATGACCAACTTCAGAACACCTCCAGTTGCAACTGATTTGAATTTATGGTGTTCCACCCTATAAGTATCCCAGATATAAACATAATACATCATATGAGAAGACATGTAAAATATAGGAAAGATATAAGAACATAAAGTAGGAGCACTGCAGCAGGCCTGCTGGCCTAACAAAGGTTTAATTGAAGGTGCTGAAGAGTCGTGAAGAAATTACTTGAAACCAATGTAGAAGCTGTGCCAAGTCAGAGGCATATCAAGAATTTCAAACAAGTCAGAAATGTATATACAGTGATAAGGAAAGAAGAGGAAAACTTTAAAGTGTAAATAGTATAAGAGATCAAGGCAGAACCAGAACCCTTGTTCAAATTTGTTAGAGTGAAAAAAATACAAAACAAATTAAGGCCAAAGCAGAAATCATGTGTGTTTACAGAAGAGACACCTTGAATGTTACAGATATGAATCACAAAAAAAGCCACCAGTTGAAATAGAAGATATTGCAGATCTGAAGAGATCAAGAATGTTTTTATTTTCCAGACAGCATGTAAATTATAGGTATAGACAAACTGTATTTACATCTCTTAGTTCTTGTACATAGTTCTACTGTCTTCAAGTTATGTCCTAGAATTTGTATTGATAAAGCCACTGGATGGCGAAACGTCTACAATAAAGATACCCAGATGTTGCACATGTGTCTTAATTTCATCTTGTCGGTATTATATACCATTCTTACACATCTCTTAGTTCTTGTTTTTTTATTTGCATGTATTTTTAATAATAAATTAAGATATAATCTTTTCAGGTTGTTGAACTCCTTGACAAAAATGAAAGACTTCCCAAGCCTGAGAAATGCCCAAAGGGAGTATTTGACCTGATGTTGCGATGTTGGAGCTATAAACCACCTAAAAGGCCAGCTTTCAGAGAGCTAGCAGCCATATTCAGAACTAAACCAGAATATACAAATATCAAAGCGTATTTTAAATAATTAATACTCTATTTTAATATCAAGCTGAGTTTTATCATTCGAAGGAAGTTTCTTTCTTTGTTGGTGCAATGAATTCCTGCAGATTTTAATCTCATACACAAAATATCTTACGCTGCTTAAAAAAAATTATTGTTATACTGTATAAAAATCTAAGTCTAAGAATAACTTTGAATTTTAACTAATTAACCCATAAACGGTCCAAACGTATATATACGTTTTTTCAACATTTAAAAGTATGTAAAAAAGTAGATCTTCTTTTTGTTTTTTTACATTTGAAAATGTGTAAAAAACTTTGATCTACTTTTTTTTTTTGCTATATTTGAAAATATGTAAAAAAAACATAGATCTACTTTTGTAGCACTACATATATGAACCTAGATCTGCTTGGACCGTTTACGGGTTAACTACTGTGATATTTACCTATGATATCAAAAGTGTTCTTACTAAAGTGCTGTGACATTTAAAATGTTCTTGTTCATTTATTCTTAGGTTTAGAATTCTCAACAGAAAGCTTAAGGCCTTCTGTAGTATTCAAGCATATGTATTTGATTGTCCAATCCCTTGTCCCTGGCTAGTAAGTGAATGATATCTCCATTATTATTCTTCATGATCCCTTCTTATCATATTTCAACAGAAACATGGGTAGGGCTATTTTAAGTGCTTTTAATGCCATTTTTATGGCAAAATGGTGCCCAGTTTGTGATACAGTAGCATGATGGTGAGAAATACAAGGTGCAATATATTCTTAGATTATACACACACTACAAGAGGTACTCAGAGTCCCAAACTCCCCAGTTACAAACATCCTTACTTATAAATGGGACACATAGGAGACAGTAATATTTTTACAACAGCCAATCCTTGGTATAAATGTTTGAAACATAATCACCTCTTGTACCTTTACTTACCTGTACAAAAACTCATGTGTAAGTTGAAATGCCAGGGATTTTGTGATTACACCTTGTATGTCCCAGACATTGGCCAGTTGCCACTGGTAATTTGCTGTACTCTAATGAATAGTATTGTTATATAAAAGGTGCCTTAAAATGTTTCTTTCTCTTATCAGTACAGTGATCACTCTCTTAACTGAACTAAAGTAGTCGGTAGGTTTTTAAGATGAGAAAAATTCCAGCTGAGTGTAAGTGGGATTATTTTTATACCAGATTACTAATGCCTTTGATTCAAAAGTAACTGAGGAAAAAAATACCTTTAAACTTTACATTTCTTGCCAAGTTTCTACCTCCAAAAAATAAGAATTTGGCACACATGTGCCAAATGATGCAATTGGTTGGACTTTGAATAAGCTGGTGTTTAAGTGAGCATTTTCAGATGTTTTATTACCAATAACGTGAATTATCTTCTGTGCCTAGTTTTAGCTTAGTCTGGGTTTGAAGGGGTGACCAAAAAGATTCATGGTGAGGTTTGTTCGAACTTCCTTCACTAGGAAAGCAGTTAACCCTAGTGTGAATTTTTGGAGGTCTTTTATTTATGGAAAAGAACTAATTCTGTAGAGGTCATACAATATTTTATATTTGTTCGTGATCATATGCTTAATTCGCAGATGGGTGAAATTTTAACAAACATTATCTGTCAGTCCACAGCAGGATTCAAACCTGCACACTGCATCAAAGTACACAGTACTTTCAATAGTACTGTGTACCTTGATACAGTATGTGCAAGTTCAAATCTTGCCGTTGTGTGAGAGAGAATGTTTATGTCATCATATATACGAGTTCTAGTGTGGTTATTATTTTGTTTGGCCATCTTTTTTACCACAAAGAAAGTACAATAGTTGACCATTTAATAAAGTGGCAAGTAGAAGAGAATCCTGAATCCTGATGATAGTTTGGTTAAGAGAACAATGACTGTGTTGTACTTGATATTATCACTTACAGTATATATATATATAGCACAGTATTAATTTTAAGCGTATTTGTTGAAAAATAATATTTAAGCAAATTGCTATTATAGTTTTGTATAAAAACACATTATACAGTATTGTATTTTTATTATGAATTTATAGTTTAAATATAGAAAAAAAAGACACTGAAAAAATGTTTTAGATAATTTTTTTAGAAATTATGACTGACATTCTTAGGCTTATGATGTAATGAAGAGGTTAAGGGTCATCGTCCCTACTGTAACCATTATTGTTATTACTGTATTATTATATTCAGTAAGAAGTGCAAAACCCATGGCAGTCATACAGTGCTGGGGGAATATGAGATAATTAGGATTGATTTAGGTGATGACTAGTTCCTATTCCCTGGATCAGAGGCCTTCAAGATTAAGGCACTTTTTTCCTTGGAGGGTATGTCCATTATTAAATCTCATGTATGAGTTTAATAATGGTCCATGTATTTGAAATTGTATTCAGTGTTTATGAAGTTCCTTGTGTTTGAACGGTATATAGAAGTGTGAAACGTGCCAGACCACATCTACATTACTGCAGTAGAATACCATATGACTAGTTATTTGTCTAAACCATGTTAGTTTATAAAGCTCATTACCTTCAAAGGGGAGTACCTGAAGGGCTCTTAATCCAAGAAATTGGAGATCCCCTTACCCCCTCCCTTTCCTTTGATCAAATCTGACTCTCATTCCCCAGGCACTGTATGACCTCTACAAGTTTAGCTCTTGTCTATGTTGTTAATGCTTATAGAGCTCACTGTCCATAATGAAAAAAGAAAATTTTCATAAGTATTATAAACTTGATACTGTAAATGATTTGTATTATTATCATGAAAAACGCCAAACCCACAGGGGTCATGCAGCACCTCGGGGAATTGAAGACAATAAGGTTTGGTTCAGTTAAGGAGAGGGTAGCTCAGATTTCATGTATGAAGGGTCCCTTACCAGCAAAATGAATTGTAGAATCATAAAAGATCAAAAATGTTCATCTGTTATGTGGCTCAGATGGAATGCTGCTCAAGGAATGTTTTATTATGACTGTTAATTTTGTTCTGTATATTACTCTTATTTTAGTGTTATAGAAATTAGTAAATATTTTATACTCGCATCTGTTGTTTAAAGATCGTGCAATTGCCATAGAAGGCTAATAAATTATTATTTTTTTTTTTTTTCAACAAGTCGGCCGTCTCCCACCGAGGCAGGGTGACCCAAAAAAGAAAGAAAATCCCCAAAAAAGAAAATACTTTCATCATCATTCAACACTTTCACCACACTCACACATTATCACTGCTTTTGCAGAGGTGCTCAGAATACAACAGTTTAGAAGCATATACGTATAAAGATACACAACATATCCCTCCAAACTGCCAATATCCCAAATCCCTCCTTTAAAGTGCAGGCATTGTACTTCCCATTTCCAGGACTCAAGTCCGACTATATGAAAATAACCGGTTTCCCTGAATCCCTTCACTAAATATTACCCTGCTCACACTCCAACAGATCGTCAGGTCCCAAGTATCATTTGTCTCCATTCACTCCTATCTAACACGCTCATGCACGCTTGCTGGAAGTCCAAGCCCCTCGCCCACAAAACCTCCTTTACCCCCTCTTTCCAACCCTTTCAAGGACGACCCCTACCCCTCCTTCCTTCCCCTATAGATTTATATGCTTTCCATGTCATTCTACTTTGATCCATTCTCTCTAAATGACCAAACCACCTCAACAACCCCTCTTCTGCCCTCTAACTAATACTTTTATTAACTCCACACCTCCTAATTTCCACACTCCGAATTTTCTGCATAATATTTACACCACACATTGCCCTTAGACAGGACATCTCCACTGCCTCCAACCGTCTCCTCGCTGCTGCATTTACCACCCAAGCTTCACATCCATATAAGAGTGTTGGTACTAGTATACTTTCATACATTCCCTTCTTTGCCTCCATAGATAACGTTTTTTGACTGCACATATACCTCAATGCACCACTCACCTTTTTTCCCTCATCAATTCTATGATTAACCTCATCCTTCATAAATCCATCCACCGACACGTCAACTCCCAAGTATCTGAAAACATTCACGTCTTCCATACTCCTCCTCCCCAATTTGATATGCAATTTTTCTTTATCTAAATCATTTGATACCCTCATCACCTTACTCTTTTCTATGTTCACTTTCAACTTTCTACCTTTACACACATTCTCAAACTCATCCACTAACCTTTGCAATTTTTCCTTAGAAACTCCCATAAGCACAGTATCATCAGCAAAAAGTAACTGTCAATTCCCATTTTGAATTTGATTCCCCATAATTTAATCCCACCCCTCTCCCGAACACCCTAGCATTTACTTCTTTTACAACCCCATCTATAAATATATTAAACAACCATGGTGACATTACACATCCCTGTCTAAGACCTACTTTTACCGGGAAGTAATCTCCCTCTCTTCTACACACCCTAACCTGAGCCTCACTATCCTCATAAAAGCTCTTTACAGCATTTAGTAACTTACCACCTATTCCATATACTTGCAACATCTGCCACATTGCTCCTCTATCCACTCTATCATATGCCTTTTCTAAATCCATAAATGCAATAAAAACTTCCCTACCTGTATCTAAATACTGTTCACATATATGCTTAAATGTAAACACTTGATCTACACATCCCCTACCCACTCTGAAGCCTCCCTGCTCATCCGCAATCCTACATTCTGTCTTACCTCTAATTCTTTCAATTATAACCCTACCGTATACTTTTCCTGGTATACTCAGTAAACTTACTCCTCTATAATTTTTACAATCTCTCTTGTCCCCTTTCCCTTTATATAAAGGGACTATACAAGCTCTCCGCCAATCCCTAGGTACCTTCCCCTCTTTCATACATTTATTAAACAAAAGTACCAACCACTCCAACACTATATCCCCCCCTGCTTTTAACATTTCTGTCATGATCCCATCGGTTCCAGCTGCTTTACCCCCCTTTCATTCTACGTAATGCCTCACGTACCTCCACCACACTTACATTCTGCTCTTCTTCACTCCTAAAAGATGGTATACCTCCCTGGCCAGTGCCTGAAATTACCGCCTCCTTTTCTTCCTCAACATTTAAAAGTTCCTCAAAATATTCTCGCCATCTACCTAATACCTCCCTCTCCCCATCTACTAACTCCTCTACTCTGTTTTTAACTGACAAATCCATACTTTCCCTAGGCTTTCTTAACTTGTTTAACTCGCTCCAAAATTTTTCTTATTTTCATTAAAATTTCTTGACAGTGCCTCTCCCACTCTATCATCTGCTCTCCTTTTGCACTCTCTCACCACTCTCTTTTCACCTTTCTTTTACTCTTTTACTTTTTTAAATTATTATTATTATAATCAAAAAGAAGCACTAAGCCAGGCTAATAAATACTTTTCTAATTCTATATACAAATCTTCAAAGGTAGCTTGCAAAACCATGAAGAGAAAATAGTTGTAGTGCTAACTTTTATTACAACAATGTTATGCTCTTTGTAGAATTTTGTCAAGCCATAGAGCAATATAAGCTTATTCTTCTTTATTATTGTCATCAGTACAGCTTTATATCCACTTGGGGAAACTATTTTGATATTATGACTGCAAAATCACTTTTTAAGTAAGATTCCCATTTATCTTCAATCATTGTTTCTCCTAATATAACTATACTACCCTCCTTTTTTTTTTTTGTTATAGTTAATGTTATAGCACGTTCAATCCCTGTAGCACATTTATTGTAACAATTCTGACTCCTTAACCCTTAAACTGTCCAAACGTAGATCTACGTTTGCATGCTAGCGCTCCAACCTTGATTTTCTCTATAAGAAAAGATGTAAAAAAAAAACGTAGATTTACATTCGGAGCATTACGCGAGCGAATGTAGATCTACGTTTGGACAGTTTAAGGGTTAATATTCAGAAGGCAAGAAATTCCTTATAGCTGAACATTTTATTAATATGTACAAGGTTTCACCCACTGAAAGCCAGTAGGTGAAATCTTGTATATTAATAAAAAAAATTTGTAATAAATATGTCTTCTACCATTTATCAACCTACAGCCATTATTTTGCAAAAAATTTCTGTTGACATCTTTACGGAAGGTAATTATCATCATCATCTTGGGAGATCGCTAAACCCATAGGGATTGTACAGCACTTGTGGGGGAGGGATGGAAGGCATTCAGTCTTAATTCAAGGAATTGGAGCACAGATCCAATTTCCTAGATCAAGAGCCCCTCACCAGCATCAAGGAACCTCCCTTGAGGGGTTTATGGATGGTAATCATTATTATAATAAAAAAGAAGCACTAAACCTACAAGGGTCATACAGTGCATTATGGAAGTCTCCTGTGGTATGTTAAATGAAAGAATTCTCTCCATGTTGCATACTGTTGCAGGCCAGTGTTTGTTAATGTGAAAGTGTTTATGTGCAAGTACTAGTGTTGAAAGAATCATAAGTACCTGGGGAATGGGAGGTCTTCAAGTTTGATCCGTGAAAGGGAAGAGTGGCTGTGATTCCTTGAATCAAGACACTACTTTCTTTGAAGGGAGTCTGTAGTTAAGGCTATGTGTCCCTACTTTATAGTTACCTGGTCCATAAGTTTCTCTTGATGGCAGAAAACTTATAAAATAACTGTGGAATGGTTCACTTCAAGAAGGTTCCTCAATAATGGTGAAGGGCTCTTGTTCCAAGGAATTATAGCTACTATTACAACCCAGGAATTCAAAGGCCTGTTATCCTGGGTGTAAAGGGAGCACAATAAACACAGCAGAAAAACTTTTGACTTATATTATCCTTCACCAAGTAAGAACAGAAGTCTTCTTTCTTCTTTCAACACACCGGCCGTATCCCACCGAGGCGGGGTGGCCCAAAAGGAAAAACGAAAATAAGAACAGAAGTATGTACACTATATACAACAATAGGTATTAGTGCACTCCACGGTAAGCAAGGCAGAATAGAAGCCACTAGAGAGCAGACCGTGCTTCAACCAGCTCTAGAATGGGAATGACAAGGGCAGACAGGCGGGTGGTACCCACAATACCTGCAATTGCCAAAACCATCTTCTTATTGGCTTGAACCTGGGTACTGATCGAATGACGGGGCCCCATCATTCGACCCTAGCACTGGTTCGTTGGTTGGGGGAGGTAGCCTTTCAATGAGGGTGTGTACATGCGCCGAATAAAGGTTACGTACTCTTTGCATGCCACAGCTACCATCCCCTCCCCTTAGATCAAATCTGATTATCCCCCAGTCCTCAGGTGCTATTCAACCCCTATGAGTTGGTGCTTTCCAATGAACATAAATTGCATGTACTATATCTTAACACGCAGCGCTGTATAGCCCTTGTGGCTTAGCGCTTCTTTTTTGATTATAATAATAATATATCTTAACACACAGGTGGTGGTAGTGGGTCATCTTGCACACAGGCGGTGGTGGTAGGTCATCTTTGCATGCAGGTCATGGATTATCACACAAGAGTTGCTAGTGAAGGATCAATTTTGCAGAGTTACTAATAATACTCCACTAAAAACATAAATGCTGCTTGTAGCTTCACCTTAGGTTTGAAGCCTAGTGGCTGTGCTAGGCTCTTTAAGACTACAACCCACCTAGACCAGCATCAGGGATACTTATCTGCCTGGGACTGCATGATTTATTTTATTTTTAATCAGGGGGAAAGAGTTAAACTTTCAGGGGTTGCATATGGACCAGGCACCACGGCACCTCCTGTGAAGAGTGGGCACTGTGTGAACCACCTCACAGTTTTTACACTTTCCCATAAAATATAACATTACTGATATGTTCTTGATGTACTGCTGTAAGGATGAATAAAACTACCATATTTTTTTTAAATTTATAACACACTAGCTGTCTCCCACCAAGGCAGCGTGGGAGACAGCAACACGCGAGAGAATTCCCACCAGATACACAGTCCTTCTAGTCAGTAGAAACCAGTGCCAATGTGTATAAGATCTCTTGCAGGGAATACAAAATCTACACAGAGGAAACAACCCAGCACCACAGACCAGTGTGTTGGTAACACGTCTGCTGTATAGCCCTTGTGGCTTAGCGCTTCTTTTTGATTATAATAATAATAATGGTAACACGTCTTCAAAAATTATTGTGATAAACACTTCGTGATGCAGCACATTGTCATATCATGAGGGGGGATGGGGGAACAGAAATCAAAATATTTCACTAACAGATTTTAAATAAAAAATGGTCAAGTAATGTGGGTGGCTAATCAATGAAGTGAAGTTCTGGTGGTAGTGGGTAGGTCATTAAAAGTCTTGCAATACAATTGCAAATCAAAATTAGCTTTCTTTTATTTGGCAAAGCTTATAAGCTGTGACAGAACGGGAGTTGGAAGTAGGTGGAGAATTGTATTTAGGAGGAAGCACTAAACAAGTAGGGGTCATACAATGCCTGGGGTATAGGGAGGAATTTGATCCAAGGAAAGAGAAGACAAAATTTAATTATTTGGATCAAAAGTACCTCTTGCACACATTTAGAAATCTGAAGTTTGTCGGATTGGAAGAGCAGAGAAAGAAAAAGCAAGAAGAGATAAAAAAAAAGAATCTTCATACTGTATTTGAAATTAAAAAAAAAACAGGTTATATTTCAAAATATTTTCCCATATTAAAGTTTTTCTAGCTTTTTTAAGAAATTTCAAATTCTCCACTGAATAGAGAAGTTAGCAAGAGAAAAGTAAGAGAAAATAGCAAGAGATGATAAGATATATGAGGACAAAAAGGGTAGAGAGGAATAATACTACTGTTAGACCCCACAAGGCACTAGTCATTCAGAGACGTGTTTTCTCTGACTCTCTTTAGCTTCTCCATCAGTATCTTCATCTTGAGCTGGTGTTGTTGCTGGAGCATGTGTTGGTGCTGGTGTTGGAGAGCCAACTCTGCCTCCAGCACCTGCAAGCGGACAGCACCCTCCTGCTGCAGCTGTGCCAGCCTCATCCTGGGCACCATCATAGACCATGATAGTTATCTCTGCTCTTATGGGGGGAGACATACATAATGATACCAGTAAATCATTTATATAAACCAGTCCTGTGGTGGTGTTGCTGGGAATCACCTCATTACAAATTATTCAGGTATATTTTTAAATAGTCTGGTCCAGCAATTGATTTTGAATAAATTATTGAATAATGAACACTGGGAGGTGTATATCTGTGTATTTATAAAGAGAATTTACATAATTTTTGAGGTTAATCTATTTTAATCGAGAAAGCGCTAAACACAAAGGGATTATTTTTATATTCTTGACAGGTGAAATGCAGTCCTAATGTCTCATGCATTATATAGACTAACCTAACAATGGACTAAGTCGGAAGGAATCTTTGGATATCTTATTTAGGCTGCTACATTTCGGTATACATATCAAAACAGAACATTGAGAATACATATACATGTGCAGCATCTTGGTATCATAATTCTAAAGATGTGCCAACCAGTGGCTTTATAAATTCAATAACGAGGTTAACTGGAGACAGTATATTGGGTAATTAGTCCCTCAGCCTCGGTGTTCACCATCATAGTCTTGATGAATAAAAGGCAGAGGCAGGAAGATGGACGCTTATATAGGAATCAGAAGAGGTGGAGTAAATGAAGGCATCTAGTGGGCAGGATCCATTAGTGGAAGGTCATGCCCAAGAGTTGATCCAGGTGACCGCACATTCCACGGTCTCCACGTGGCCTTGTAAAGTTTATTTCTTTGCAAACGTTACAATGTGTAATTACAGTTTTGATTTGCTAAGTACAAAGATAGCCACTATCATGCCGAGGCTAAAGCTCTCGCTTCACACGGTAAGGGTCGGGGTTCGATTCCCGACGAGGGTAGAAACATTAAGCGTTTCTTTACACCGGTTGTCTATGTTCACCCATCAGTAATAATGGGTACCTGGGTGTTAGTGGACTGGTGTGGGTCGCATCCTGGGACAAAACTGACCTAATCTGCTGGAAATGCTCAGCATAAGCGGCTTTCTATATAGTAGTATGTCATTGATGTCAGCTATGATCTGTATACCTTGTACATGTACTTGTAGAAATAAAGATATTATTATTATTATTATTATTATTATTATTATTATTATTATTACTTATTATTATTATTATTATTATTATTATTATTATTATTATTATTATTATTATTCAGCATCTTCAAGGCTGAGGGACTGATTACCTCATCTACTGTCTCCAATTATTAACTTCTATACTTAAACTGATAAAGCCAGTTGTGGAAAATTTTAATAATTTTCCTGCAAGAAATGATAGGGATAATGTTTATCTGAAATTGTGTGGGCATCTTTAGTGACTTTTAAAAGATGTTCTGTGTCATGAGAACTAATATTCTCTATTATTTCCTTATATATTGTAAGGAGTTGAATAAGTAAAGTGAAGATGTTGTAATTTAGAGGAAATTAATATTTCAATAATGAATATTTAGTACACACCTGGAAGTGTTATTAATTCAAAAAGATGTACTGGGAGACAAAAGTTGGGAGAGATCAACAATAATGGCGGAGTAATATAGATTGGTCCGGGAATTTGTGGAGAACTAATCTCATTTAATCTAAACCGATAGACACAGTATTGGCTAATATAGTTTCCTATATAATAAGTGAATTTAACGTGTATCTGGAAGGGCTCAGATATAAAGTGAAACTATCAAAATAAGGATGATATGAATGAAAACGTGAGCTGGTGCTGGAGAATTTACATCGCTCACTACATGTATTATCAACTATGTAATGTAAGCCTCCTAATTTGTCTTAAATCTCACTATAGGTAATTTATCTACATACTGGCCATTAGTAGTTTACCAGCCTGCTAGGAAGGCGCTAGGTTATATCACCAAGACCGTAATTTCGTAAGTATGATATTTTGGTATAATGTATAAAATTTTATAGAACACGAAAGCTTAGTTAAGTTCGCAATAATTTTTACATTTATATATACAGTCCACAACCAAATTTAATACAGCCAGTGTTACTGGCTTGGAATATTTTGTTTAATAGGTTCTAGAAGTATATGTTCACAATTTAAGATTATTATAATCATTGGGGAGCGCTAAACCCGTAGGGATTGTGCAACTCCTGTGTGGGGGGATGAAAGGTACTCAGGGAACTGGAGCACATCCAGTTCCCTAGTTCAAGAGCGTTTGCGTTCTTCCGCTTCCTGAGGCGATTATTAATTTAAGCACTAATTTATTCTCCATGTATTTAAATTTATGTTTGGCCTGTGAAAACCTGGCAACCTCCACATGGAACAATGTGGAGGTTGAAAATGGTGTAAAATACCGACAGGTTGATGAGTATAACACATGTGCAACACTTGGGTATTAGTATTGAAATGAGAATGATGTAATCAGTCCATCAACCTTGGAGAAATTATATTTGAGGTGGTCAGTCCCTCAGCCTAGAGAAGAGTTCAGCTCAATGGTCTGGAACAAGGTGATCAGTCCCTCAGCCTGGAGAAGAGTTCAGCTCTGTGGTCTGGAACAAGGTGGTCAGCCCCTCAGCCTGGAGAAAAGTTCAGCTCTGTGGTCTGGAACAAGGTGGCCAGTCCCTCAGCCTGGAGAAGAGTTCAGCTCTGTGGTCTGGAACAAGGTGGTCAGTCCCTCAGCCTGGAGAAGAGTTCAGCTCCATGGTCTGGAACAAGGTGGTCAGTCCCTCAGCATGGAGAAGAGTTCAGCTCCATGGTCTGGAACAAGGTGGTCAGTCCCTCAGCCTGGAGAAAAGTTCAGCTCTGTGGTCTGGAACAAGGTGGTCAGTCCCTCAGCCTGGAGAAGAGTTCAGCTCCATGGTCTGGAACAAGGTGGTCAGTCCCTCAGCATGGAGAAGAGTTCAGCTCCATGGTCTGGAACAAGGTGGTCAGTCCCTCAGCCTGGAGAAAAGTTCAGCTCTGTGGTCTGGAACAAGGTGGTCAGTCCCTCAGCCTGGAGAAAAGTTCAGCTCTTTGGTCTGGAACAAGGTGGTCAGTCCCTCAGCCTGGAGAAGAGTTCAGCTCCATGGTCTGGAACAAGGTGATCAGTCCCTCAGCCTGGAGAAGAGTTCAGCTCTGTGGTCTGGAACAAGGTGGTCAGCCCCTCAGCCTGGAGAAAAGTTCAGCTCTGTGGTCTGGAACAAGGTGGCCAGTCCCTCAGCCTGGAGAAGAGTTTAGCTCTGTGGTCTGGAACAAGGTGGTCAGTCCCTCAGCCTGGAGAAGAGTTCAGCTCCATGGTCTGGAACAAGGTGGTCAGTCCCTCAGCATGGAGAAGAGTTCAGCTCCATGGTCTGGAACAAGGTGGTCAGTCCCTCAGCCTGGAGAAAAGTTCAGCTCTGTGGTCTGGAACAAGGTGGTCAGTCCCTCAGCCTGGAGAAGAGTTCAGCTCCATGGTCTGGAACAAGGTGGTCAGTCCCTCAGCATGGAGAAGAGTTCAGCTCCATGGTCTGGAACAAGGTGGTCAGTCCCTCAGCCTGGAGAAAAGTTCAGCTCTGTGGTCTGGAACAAGGTGGTCAGTCCCTCACCTGGAGAAAAGTTCAGCTCTTTGGTCTGGAACAAGGTGGTCAGTCCCTCAGCCTGGAGAAGAGTTCAGCTCCATGGTCTGGAACAAGGTGGTCAGTCCCTCAGCCTGGAGAAAAGTTCAGCTCTGTGGTCTGGAACAAGGTGGTCAGTCCTCAGCCTGGAGAAAAGTTCAGCTCTGTGGTCTGGAACAAGGTGGTCAGTCCCTCAGCCTGGAGAAGAGTTCAGCTCCATGGTCTGGAACAAGGTGGTCAGTCCCTCAGCCTGGAGAAAAGTTCAGCTCTGTGGTCTGGAACAAGGTGGTCAGTCCTCAGCCTGGAGAAGAGTTCAGCTCCATGGTCTGGAACAAGGTGGTCAGTCCCTCAGCATGGAGAAGAGTTCAGCTCCATGGTCTGGAACAAGGTGGTCAGTCCCTCAGCCTGGGGAAAAGTTCAGCTCTGTGGTCTGGAACAAGGTGGTCAGTCCCTCAGCCTGGAGAAAAGTTCAGCTCTTTGGTCTGGAACAAGGTGGTCAGTCCCTCAGCCTGGAGAAGAGTTCAGCTCCATGGTCTGGAACAAGGTGATCAGTCCCTCAGCCTGGAGAAGAGTTCAGCTCTGTGGTCTGGAACAAGGTGGTCAGCCCCTCAGCCTGGAGAAAAGTTCAGCTCTGTGGTCTGGAACAAGGTGGCCAGTCCCTCAGCCTGGAGAAGAGTTTAGCTCTGTGGTCTGGAACAAGGTGGTCAGTCCTCAGCCTGGAGAAGAGTTCAGCTCCATGGTCTGGAACAAGGTGGTCAGTCCCTCAGCATGGAGAAGAGTTCAGCTCCATGGTCTGGAACAAGGTGGTCAGTCCCTCAGCCTGGAGAAAAGTTCAGCTCTGTGGTCTGGAACAAGGTGGTCAGTCCCTCAGCCTGGAGAAGAGTTCAGCTCCATGGTCTGGAACAAGGTGGTCAGTCCCTCAGCATGGAGAAGAGTTCAGCTCCATGGTCTGGAACAAGGTGGTCAGTCCCTCAGCCTGGAGAAAAGTTCAGCTCTGTGGTCTGGAACAAGGTGGTCAGTCCCTCAGCCTGGAGAAAAGTTCAGCTCTTTGGTCTGGAACAAGGTGGTCAGTCCCTCAGCCTGGAGAAGAGTTCAGCTCCATGGTCTGGAACAAGGTGGTCAGTCCCTCAGCCTGGAGAAAAGTTCAGCTCTGTGGTCTGGAACAAGGTGGTCAGTCCCTCAGCCTGGAGAAAAGTTCAGCTCTGTGGTCTGGAACAAGGTGGTCAGTCCCTCAGCCTGGAGAAGAGTTCAGCTCCATGGTCTGGAACAAGGTGGTCAGTCCCTCAGCCTGGAGAAAAGTTCAGCTCTGTGGTCTGGAACAAGGTGGTCAGTCCCTCAGCCTGGAGAAGAGTTCAGCTCCATGGTCTGGAACAAGGTGGTCAGTCCCTCAGCCTGGAGAAGAGTTCAGCTCCATGGTCTGGAACAAGGTGGTCAGTCCCTCAGCCTGGAGAAAAGTTCAGCTCTGTGGTCTGGAACAAGGTGGTCAGTCCCTCAGCCTGGAGAAAAGTTCAGCTCTGTGGTCTGGAACAAGGTGGTCAGTCCCTCAGCCTGGAGAAAAGTTCAGCTCTGTGGTCTGGAACAAGGTGGTCAGTCCCTCAGCCTGGAGAAGAGTTCAGCTCCATGGTCTGGAACAAGGTGGTCAGTCCCTCAGCCTGGAGAAAAGTTCAGCTCTGTGGTCTGGAACAAGGTGGTCAGTCCCTCAGCCTGGAGAAAAGTTCAGCTCTGTGGTCTGGAACAAGGTGGTCAGTCCCTCAGCCTGGAGAAACGTTCAGCTCTGTGGTCTGGAACAAGGTGGTCAGTCCCTCAGCCTGGAGAAGAGTTCAGCTCCATGGTCATTTCACTATTAATTACACTTGCTTCCTCTGTATTTGACTAAAGAGAATTACCGTGTAGGCGTAAAGTGTCAACAAAAAAGATACCCAACTATTGCACATGCTTCTTACTAGTAAATGTCAGTGTTGCTGTTGTCCAGACTTCCTGTTATGGTCCAGACAACAGTTCGAACAGGAAACGGGGATCCACCGAGTCGAATAATTATGGTTTAAGGCTTCTGTAATAATCACCCATTCTACAGTCTTGGTCATAGTGAAATACTGACTGATTACGATGGTCTGAACTTGTTGGGTTCCTGTACGTTATGTACCAATGTATCCCTCAGGGGTACAACAAATTAGACCCGTCTTCCCCTTCCTTGGATCGAACCTGATTGCTTACCATTCCCTAACCCCTGTAAAACTGACCCCTATGGGTTTAGCGCTTTCTCATAAACACGATACATTTTGAAAGAACATACCTATGATATTCCCGCTCTCTCTCCTCGGAGTTAGAGGTGGAAGTGGTGGTGGTTGTAGTGCCATTAACGAGCCATTGTGGTGCCTGGAGAGTAACCTGGGTGCCACTGTACTGACTATTGTGTGGTGAGGCTTCAGTATCCTGGCGTGACTCCATTTTAGGTCCTGGAGAGCTGCTACATGATTCCATCTTGATCTCCAAGGGCGGGGGGCTTGATGGACCCTCTTCTGAGGATACAGATATATACAAATTATCAAACCATACCACGGGTGGGGATTGAACCCGCGATCATAGAGTCTCAAAACTCCAGACCGTCGCGTTAGCCACTGGACCAGCTAGCCACAATAAAATTCATCCAACTAGGTATATTTCTACACCATAAGAAGGTTAGCATAGGCACCACTGTGACCACAAATGCAAGTTTTTACAGACGAATCTCCAGCTAGCGTGGCCGTAACGAACTCTAGCTCAAGTCCCCTCAAAGCCGTTAACATGACTCACGAAACTGTAATGACGCGATTGCAATCGTGTCATTACGATTTCGTGAGTCATACAAATTATTATTATTATAATAAAAAAGAAGCGCTAAACCTACAAGGGAGATATATACAAAGCGTAGAAAAAAAGGGAAAATGTAATAATTTAGAATAGTTGAGATAATTAGTTCTTTTAAGGTTTAAATACTAAAGATATTATAAGGACCCCACTGGAAATAAGCCACTTGACTTTTTTTTGCGTTATCCTAGGTTATTTAGTTATTTATGGGTAACTCATCCAAACTGTCGGACTCCCTCAACAGCACTTGCTGCTTCTCCTGTAACCCCGACTTATGCAAATTGAATCTTCTTTTAAATCGTTCAAACTAACCAGAGCTAGCTTGAAATTCTTGCCTGATAACCTCTCCGGTGCGATCCTTCAAAGTCAAGACTTCTAGTCTTAAGACTAATGTGTGAAGGGTTAAGGGTGCATTTTTCTGTATCTTATCGTCCATCCACACCCATAATAGCTTTTCCATTTCAGCGATGGGTCCTTGTCGCTGCTTAGAATAAAAGAATAAAGATTTTATTTCTTTGCAAAGGTTACATACAGTTTTAAGTACAATGAAAGCCACCATCACGCCGGGGTATTTCGGGAAGTACAGTGCCTGCACTCTGAAGGAGGGGTGTTAATGTTGCAGTTTAAAAACTGTAGTGTAAAGCACTCTTCTGGCAAGACAGTGATGGAGTGAATGATGGTGAAAGTTTTTCTTTTTCGGGCCACCCTGCCTTGGTGGGAATCGGCCAGTGTGATAATAAATAATAATAAAAAACTACTTAAATCTAGACAAAATAAGAGTGGTAAACTTTTAAATAAATCTTTATTTTATCTTAATACTAATGCGAGGTAGTGAAGGTGGAGGTCTATAAATATAATAATCTTGAAGTTACACATGAAAACAATATTATAATTAATGGTTCAAACTATTTTATGGATTGGCAGATGTTATAGTTACTGATGTTATTATAGTTGATCTCATTGGGGCAGGACCTTTCACAGGTTCACGTATTCGTTCCTTATCCTTAAAGATGGTAGAAACCTTCGAAGGGGATGACTGAAGGTCACGTGAGATAACATTCACTTTTTTTGGCACCTTCATATTGCTTTATCACCTTCATTTTTTAAGTCTAAATCAATAGCCTTCCTTACCTTCTTGGTGGGTTTATTCATAGGTAAGTACGTTTTCCTTTTGCTGGACATTCTGGGGTTTCACAGTAAAATTACAAATGCGTAAACTGTACAGGAAAATGCATTTAACATCGAAGCTCGTGGGAAACAGATGTCAGCAGATGTGTGCATGATGCTGCCGATGATGAGCAGAATCACTATCGTACGGCCTCATTTGTGCTGCCAGGCGTACAGATACTTATGGTAAAATGGATAGGTCGTAGATAAGAACTTGGGAGACAACACACGGGAGAGAGAGAGAGAGGTTACTACCTTGGATTGTATTTTTTCTAAATGTCTTAGTGATATGTTGTATAATCATTTGTATAATACAATAAATAGCTGTAACACTCTCAAAGACTTCTGATACGTAATCCCAGAGTTAACTGAACCTGTGAGCTGAAAGGTCATCATCCCTTTTACAAAGTTTATAATGTGCTGCCTGAAGGATGGAGGTGAGGGTGGGCGTACTCATCTATATGTGGTTGCAAGGGTCGAGTTACAGCTCCTGGCCCCCTCTGTGTGTGTGTGTGTGTGTGTGTGTGTGTGTGTGTGTGTGTGTGTGTGCGTGTGCGTGTGTGTGTGTACTCACCTATTTGTGGTTGCAGGGGTCGAGTCCTAGCTCCTGGCCCCGCCTCTTCACCGGTTGCTACTAGGCCCTCTCTCTCCCCGCTCCATGAGCTTTATCAAACCTCGTCTTAAAACTGTGTATGGTTCCTGCCTCCACTACGTCATTTTCTAGGCTATTCCACTGCCTTACAACTCTATGACTGAAGAAATACTTCCTACTATCTCTCTGACTCATTTGTGTCTTCAACTTCCAATTGTGGCCTCTTGTTTCTGTGTCCCCTCCCTGGAACATCCTGTCTTTGTCCACCTTGTCTATTCCACGCAGTATTTTATATGTCGTTATCATGTCTCCCCTGACCCTCCTGTCCTCCAGTGTGGTCAGGCCGATTTCCCTTAATCTTTCCTCATAGGACATTCCCCTTAGCTCTGGAACTAACCTTGTCGCAAACCTTTGTACTTTCTCTAGTTTCTTGACGTGCTTTATCAAGTGCGGGTTCCAAACGGGTGCTGCATACTCCAGTATGGGCCTGACATACACGGTGTACAGTGTCTTGAATGATTCCTTACTAAGGTATCGGAATGCTGTTCTCAGGTTTGCCAGGCGCCCATATGCTGCAGCAGTTATCTGATTGATGTGTGCTTCCGGAGACATGCTCGGTGTTATACTCACCCCAAGATCTTTCTCCTTGAGTGAGGTTTGCAGTCTTTGGCCACCTAGCCTATACTCTGTCTGTGGTCTTCTGTGCCCCTCCCCCATCTTCATGACTTTGCATTTGGCAGGATTAAATTCGAGAAGCCATTTGCTGGACCAGGTGTCCAGTCTGTCCAGGTCTCTTTGAAGTCCTGCTGGTCCTCATCAGATTTAATTCTCCTCATTAACTTCACATCATCTGCAAACAGGGACACTTCTGAGTCTAACCCTTCCGTCATGTCGTTCACATATACCAAAAATAGCACTGGTCCTAGGACCGACCCCTGTGGGACCCCGCTCGTCACAGGTGCCCACTGTGATACATCATTACGTACCATGACTCGTTGTTGCCTCCCTGTCAGGTATTCTCTGATCCATTGCAGTGCCCTTCCTGTTATATGCGCCTGATGCTCTAGCTTCTGCACTAATCTCTTGTGAGGAACTGTGTCAAAGGCCTTCTTGCAGTCCAAGAAGATGCAATCAACCCACCCCTCTCTCTCTTGTCTTACTTCTGTTATTTTATCATAAAACTCCAGAAGGTTTGTGACACAGGATTTGCCTTCCGTGAATCCGTGCTGGTTGGCATTTATACTCCTGTTCCGTTCCAGGTGCTCCACCACTCTCCTCCTGATAATCTTCTCCATAATTTTGCATACAATACACGTCAATGACACAGGTCTATAGTTTAGTGCCTCTTTTCTGTCTCCTTTTTTAAAAATAGGAACTACATTTGCCGTCTTCCATACCTCAGGTAGTTGCCCAGTTTCCAGGGATGTGTTGAAGATTGTGGTAAGTGGCACGCACAACATATCTGCTCCCTCTCTAAGGACCCACGGGGAGATGTTGTCTGGTCCCATTGCCTTTGAGGTATCGATGTCCCTTAGCAGTTTCTTCACCTCCTCCTCATCTGTATGTATGTCGTCCAACACTCGTTGGTGTATTCCTTGCTGGTGTCCCCGTCTGGTCTGTCCCCCCAGAGTCCTTCCTGTCTCTACTGTAAATACTTCCTTAAATCTCTTGTGTGTGTGTGTGTGTGTGTGTGTGTGTGTGTGTGTGTGTGTGTGTGTGTGTGTGTGTGTTATGCCTTCTTATTTGCAAATAGATACTTAGGAGTCAGTGGATTGTTGTAGGTCGCATCCTGTAAGGAACTGGAAAAAAAGACACCATTGGAAATAAGCCATACTCTGCTTTTCTTGGGTTATCCTGGGATACTAATCCTCCAGGGTTACTAATCCCATAAATTCTTTAAAATGTTCATTAATCGAGTATTTAGAAAGAATTAGTATTTAAATCTTTTGCAAGACACGGCAGTTTAATATAGGATTAGCTAAGTGGGTGACAATCTGGGTGGTAGAGGAGGATCGTTATGTTTTTTTGGAGGCTTTGAAGGGCTGGAAAATTTCTGGGGGCTTCGTTCCCCTTGCCGTGTCCCCCTACCTTTTGAGAAACCCCTGGGACATACCTGAATTGGAGTTAATATGCAAATCAGGTGAACGAGAGGTGTCAGATATGGTAGTGTGGAGATGGTCATGGGAGGCAGACCGGGTGTTACCACCCTGAAAGTTGTAGGTGGAGGCGGTGCTGTTGGTGATGACGGCGGTGCTGGTGGTGGTGACGGCGGTGCTGTTGGTGGTGACGGTGGTGGTGCTCTCACCGGCGGTGTAAGTCTCATGTTCCCTCTTGATGAGAGTCAGGAGCGGGGCAAAAAGATTCGCTGTGTTCCTTTCCTCACCAACGTCCTCCTGACTCGTACCTGCTACTCCTCCTGCTGGCCCTTCCTCCTGTCCTACACACACATCCTCAATCTGTACATGGAAAGTCTCCTCAATACAGGCAGGACCCGTTTTACGACAAGGTTAGGTCCAGCAAAACGGTCGTAAAATTAAAAGCCGTGCAACAGGACCAAATTATAAATTAATTAAATTAGAAAGATTCCACAATTATCAGAAGTTTCCCAAGCATGTACTAATATTGCTGTACATGTATTAGGTACACACAAGGTGTAACACTGGTCAACACAAACCTACAAAATAACAGAAATTGATTATCTAAAGAGTATCCCATAATTTTTTGCTTTACGATATCATGATTTCTTTTTTTCATTTCAGGGTCTCAATGAGAGAATGAAATTCTCACTGTTGATTCGTTTTTTCATTAAATACGTGCCATCAGTAAGCTCATCATTATTATAATAAAAAAAGAAGCGCTAAACCCACTAGGATCATACACGTCAATAAGCTCAAGACATGTTTTGATGGCACCTTCACACTGGCCCGAGATTACATACTATATTATACTGTTGTGTTCTACACTAACAACACAAATTAGTCACATTATTAGATTTTATCAGGTTATCTTGAGTTATATTCAATATAATTTACTATACAATAAGATCACAATATGCAAAATAACCACAGTGAAAAAAAAAGGTGAAATTTCACTATTTTTTTCACTGTGGCTGTTTTGCATAAAAATTTATAATATCGCCATCACTACTTGTTCAGTGTATAATTTGCTATTAACTTAGTGCACATGGGAGTATTTAATTTATCGAGAAGTGTTTATATCACGCAGCTTCAAGATAAATACATTCAGGAACATACAGGTACATCACCAGCGAAGAGGCGGGGCCAGGAGCTATGAATCGACCCCTACAACTTCATATTGGTAAGTACAATGCACATGCTAGGTTATACAAACATTTTAATATGAAGATAACAACATGGCAGGAGATCACAGTAGGCTTCACATCAGGATACACCGACTAAGGTTGGTAAGACACATAGGCAACAGTTAGGCATCTTTATTCAGAAACGTTTCGCCTACACAGTAGGCTTATTTTCTGTACTCGACTGAAGAAGCCTACTGTGTAGGCGAAACGTTTCGGAATAAAGATGCCTAACTGCTGCCTATATGTTTTGCCAACCTAATGGTGTTGTATACCATTTTGATATTCACAGACTAAGGTGTTTTTTTTTTTTTTTTTTACACTGGGTTTGACAAGGTTAAGGATCCCTAGCTTTATTGACAAGCTATTTACAGGTTAAGGATTCCTAACTTTATTGGCAAGCTAAGAGCTGTTACCTACATCAGCTCATTTGAAAGCATTTTTATTGTTATGAGACATACAAGTAGGGAACAGGATGAAGTTGGAGCCATCAGTGGGCCAGCATTTTCATTTGATCAACTGTCTTTATCTCGTTGACATCATTATGCTGTACGAATGTGTTCCATACTCGAGTCATCCTGGGTATGTATGATCTCAGATGGAGTGATGTTCTGGAAAAGGGTACAGCCAGAGTGAAGTTGCTGCTTTCTGCCCGTCTTGTGGCATAAAAGCTTGTTTCACGCTGTCCTCGAAGTGGATCCAAGTGTGGTATTTTGACAATATTGGCCTTGTACATAACAATAAGGCCACCCACATCCCTCCTATGTTGAAGGCTCTGCTGAAATGACAGATCTATCCAGGATGGGTCCAGGCGAGAGATGAGACGTCTTGCTCTGTTCTCTACTCTGTCAAGCAGTCGCAGATGAGAGGAGGGGCAGGCAAACCAAGAAAGTGGAGCATACTTAAGGTGTGAGCGTACTTGTGCCTCGTACAGAATCTTGCAACCCCTACTGTCAAGCAGATGCGAGATACGGCGAAGTGCTGTAAGCTTCCTGGCTGCCTTGTTTGCAAGAATTACAACATGGTTCTTCATGGTTAGTTTGGAGTCAAATTTCACCCCAAGGATATCAACTTCTTCTCCAGGTGCCAACACCCTCCCATTCATCCTTACTACTGCACCAGCATTACCATTATGGTGCCTAGAGACGATCATCATTTGCGTTTTCTCAGGTGCAAATGTTACTTGCCATCTATTTTCCCAAGCTGATATAGCTCTCAGCTGGTGATTGATGTAGCTTAGAGCAGCTGGCATTTCTTCTCTTGGATAAGTGAATGCCAGTGTACAGTCGTCTGCATATGCATGTGATTCTGGGATGAGATGAAGAAGGTCGTTGAAGTAGACATTCCATAACAATGGTCCCAGCACGCTTCCTTGTGGAACACTTGCCCCAATAGGATGTCTTGCTGATTCCGTTCCATTGAGAACTACACTTAGAGATCTACCATGAAGGTAATCACCGAGGAGACATAGCGTAGAGCCTGCAATTCCCAGTGCTTGAAGTTTTGCTAAGAGGCCCTGGTGCCACACCCGGTCGAAAGCGCCAGCAATGTCCAGTGCTACCACACAGCTGACTTTGGATTCATCCAGTGACTGGTGCCACTTAGTGGAGAGGTTTAACAACAGATCAGCAGCAGAGTAACCTTTCCTGAAGCCATATTGACGATCACAAAGTAGTGAGTGGTAGTCAAAAAACTCTGTCATTTGTCTTGAGATTATTGTCTCAAGGATCTTACCAGTGATTGACAGGAGTGACACTGGTCTGTAGTTGCTGATTTCTGTTCTGCTCTTCTTTTTGTGAACAGGGACTACATTTGCCTCTTTCCATAGAGAGGGCCATTTACACTGTACTAGGCAGTGCTGAAAGATGCGAGTTAGAGGTGCTGCTAGCTGGTCTGCACATCTTCTCAGCGATCTTGGGCTCAACTTCACATAATAATAATAATAATAATAATAATAATAATAATAATATAATATCTTTATTTGCTACAAGTACATGTACAAGGTATACAGTCCTAGCTGACAACAATGACATACTACTATATAGAAATTCCCCTTGTTATGCTCTGCATTTCGGGCAAATTAGGTCAGTGTCCCAGGATGCGACCCACACCAGTCGACTAACACCCAGGTACCCATTTTACTGATGGGGAACATAGACAACAGGTGGAAAGAAACACGTCCAATGTTTCTACTCTGGCTGGGAATCGAACCCAGACCCTCACCGTGTGAAGCGAGAGCGTTAGCCACCAGGCCACCAATGTATCACTCATATTATTTTAAAACTGGGGATATTTAGTAGAAGCTGCCTTTTTTGTGTGGTAAATTGTTTACGTAACAGACAAGTTGAAGAATGAGACATTTATGCAGTATTTGGGAATCTTCAAGATTGATGGATTGAATATATCGGTTTCAGACTGAGGGACTGATTACCCAAAACTCCTCTTTTTCCACCGTTCTTCTTTGTATTGGACTGACGAAGTCACTGTGTGGCGAAATGTTTCCTCAATAAAGATACCCAATTGTTGCACCTGTGTCTCATTTTTTTTTTTTTTGCACAAGCCACGTTGTTTGGCTTTATTTGGGGGATTATCCTAGGTAATTTACACTATGTACTGACTCGATCAAGCCACTGGTGGGCAAAACGTCTTCAGAATAAAGATTGACAGGTGTTGCAACCTAGTTGGACGAAGCTTACTGTAGCCAGCTGGGTAAGTGGCTTACACTGGCCGGGAGTTCTAGGACTCGCCATGGGATCAAACATCACCCGTTCCGTGGTTTTTGTTTATATGCAGGAAAGACACAAAAGTATAAAAATTTAATTGTGATGACCGAGAGACAAGTGTGCAACACTTGGGTATGTAGACTTAAGACTGAGGGACTAATTACCTCAAACTCTCCATCTCCCACCATTCATCTCTGTACCGGACTGAAGAGCCTGTTGGCAAAACTCTTCCACCATAAAGATACCCAAATGTTACATAAGGTCTCAGTCATCAACTTGCTGGGTCTCTGAACCATTTATCTACAATTTAAGATATTCGTATATGCGTGTCAAATATTACATGTACTCACCTGGAACTTTCTTCCCCTCTTCTTGGCTCGGAACTTTTCATCTCTCCACATCACCTGTAACACAACACACGTCACTGCTGCAGTGTTTTTATATTTAGACTGTGTGTACAATAATTTTTGAAGAATTAGATATATGTGCAACATCTTTATTTATTTATTTTATGTCTTTGCAAACAGTACATTGAGATTTTGTATTTACAATAGTGGGTTGCAGTGCAAAGAGAACCTCTATTACGCCTAGGCATTATGGGCCAACTTAACATTATTGGCTTACAGACTACTTAACACTAAGGATTATATCATAGTTCTACAGTAGGATAGTAATTATTTCAGTTGTACAGTAGATTATTAATTATAAATGATTCAAAATTTGTATAAGACAAAACATATATTCATATATTCGAAAATGCTTTTTGTGAAAACAATGATTCAATTATATTCGTGTCAGCAATGGATAAAAGGTTTAAAGTGATTGTTGATGTTATGATTTGGGAGTACATAGGTGAGTGTGTGTGTACTGAGTATTTAGCGTTTAGTCTAGGGTGATTAAGTGGCTTTTGAGAAGAGTCTTAAATTAATTTTCAGACTGGGTAACTTTAATATCTTCTGGTAATGAATTCCATATTTTGGGGCCCTTTATGTGCATAGTTTTTACAGTGTGATATGGACACGAGGTATATCAAAAAGAGATCTGTGTCTTGTGGTCATGTGTCCTGTTAAGGTTGGTGAGGAGAAGTTTGAGTGGAGGGTTTATAATATATTTGCGTGTATTGTTGTGTGTATGTAGTAGGCACATGAATAAGTATGGATGTTCTTAATGGTGAGCAGATTCAGACTTGAAAATTGGTGGAGTATGCTGGTGGGAGTGGGAATTTGTTATTCTTACTGATGCCTTTTGCTGGGTTATTAGGGGTTTTAGGTGATTGGATGTTATTGATCCCCATCTGTTTACTCCTTGTGGCTTAGCGTTTCTTTTTGATTATAATAATAATTGATCCCCATGCACAAATTCCATATGCAAGATAAGGGTGTATGAGTGAATGGTACAGTGCCAGGAGAGCTGATTGTGGAACGTAGTACCTTATCTTTGATAGTATGCCTACAGTCTTGGAGATTTTCTTGGTGGTTTGTTGTATGTGTGTGTCCAGAACTTAAGGCTACTGTCAAGTGTGACTTTGTCAATGGTCCAAGTCGGACCGAAACGTCGTCGTAAGCTTCTCTCTTTTATGTGCGGGTTATTTGTGTATGTGTGTGGATACCTAGGAATTTTCCCTCTGTGAGTCTTGTGACTGATGATCCGTTTAGCGTTATGCTAATTGGAACATTTGCAGCTTTGTTTCCAAACTGAATGAAATAGGTTTTATCAGTGTTCAGGGTAAGTTTGTTAGTCATCATCCAGGCAGATATTTTCTGTAATTCAGCATTGACTGTGTTTGCTAGTATGACTGTGTTTGGGTGGGAAAAGACATATGTAGTGTCATCTGCAAATAATATGGGTTTGAGTAGCTGTGATGCATTCGGTAAATCATTGATGTAGATGAGAAAGAGAGTGGTCCAAGGACACTTCCCCGTGGGACTTCTACTGTGACTGGTTGGGTGAAAGAGTTTGCATCATCTGCATACACATATTGAGTTCTGTTACTAAGGTATGATTTTAGGTAGTTGAGGGAGTGGCCTCTGATACCATAGTGCGTTAATTTGGAGTACAGCAGTTCATGGTCGACTGTATCGACAGCTTTACGTAAATCAATGAAAATGCCCAGCGGGACTTCTTTCTTCTCAAGTGCGGTATATATTAGTTCTAGCATGTGTACGATAGTATCATTTGTGCTTTTATTATTTCTGAATCCAAACAGACAAGGGTTTAATATGTTGTGTGAGACGAGGTAGGAATAGATCCGTCTATGAATTAATTTTTCAAAGATTTTAGAGATGAGTGGTAAGTTAGATATTGGTCTATAGTTATTCAAGTCAGCTTGGACACCTCCTTTGTGGATCGGAATGACCCTCGCTATTTTGAGGATTGTTGGGAAGGTAGCTGATTCAATGGATTTGTTAAAGAGCGTTGCAATAATTGGTGACAATACTTGAAAAGTTTTTTGTACATAAAAGCAGGCAAGTTGTTTATGTCTCCTGCCTTGTTTTTAAGGGTGTTTATGATGAGCGTAACTTCTATGGGGTTGGTTGGAGCTAGGAATAGCGTATTTGGGTAGGTACCTATGAGGTATTATTATTATTAAAGATTAGCCGGTATTCTCCCGGCCTGGGCCTTTTCCAAGTGGTGGCCCGGCCTTGGCTCCCTCTTTAGGGAGTGTCTGAGACCTAAGTCTCCCATGGGAGGAGGCACAAGTACCTCCTCATCTTTGGGACCAACTGTCCCCAGGCCTAGCCACAAGCTAGGCCTCTCTGGTCTGCCATCCCCGCCCCAAGGGGGTAAATGGGAATGACAGTCTTATGAGCTAAAGGCTCGGGCTCAGGCACCTACCCTACCCTAGAAGGGTTAGGCATGGTATCGGGTGTTTGCGCTTGGTATTTTGTTCGCTAGATTTTTTTCCTATGGTGGAGAAGAAAACATTGAGTCTGTTCGCTTTTTCAGTAGGTGTAGTAGGGGTTCATCTGGTTTTGTTAGTTTGATTGTTTTGTTTTTGGATAACTTTTTAGTTCCAAGAATTTCAGATAGAGTTTTCCAGTTTTTTTTCATATCACCTTTGATGTTATGTAATCTGTTTTCATAATACAATTTTTTAGACCTTATCAAGCTGGTAAGTGCTGACGAGTAACATTTAGACTGTTCTCTAGTTATTTGACCCATTCTATACTGTTTTTCATATTTGTGTGTTGTGTTAATGGATTTGAGGATGCTTGGTGTTAGCCAGGGATTATTCAGTCTGTTTGCTGTGATCTGTTTAGTTTTTTAGCGGCAATGTTTGTTATAGAGGCTTTCGGTATATTTGTAGACGTTTCGCCATCCAGTGGCTTTATCAACACAAATTCAAGGACATAATGGGACGACTGTAGAACTATATACAAAAGATGAGGTAATCAGTCCCTCAGTCTTTGAGTTGGTGAAGATCACCGTAGTCTTGAATACTACGTTACTCTTCAACTCCAAGGTTGGGGATTGTTTACTTCGTCCTTGAATCTGTGTTGATAAAAACCACTGGATGGCGAAATGTCTACAAATAAAGATACCCAGATGTTGCAAGTGGCCAATTCTTCAACTCCACAGTGAGCGAAACGCTCTTAAATTCAAGACTCCAGTCATTACCATGCCACTGGTGGAAGGAAGGCGCAAGAGTTGTAGAACATTTTACCCTGGTGCACCACTCGCTGATTTTGCCTGGACAAATTAACCACACACAGACACTCAAGATAAAATTAATGAACAAAAAATATAAAAACTCGTGTGAGGCAGGTGCACGTGAGAAGCAGGTGTGTTAGTGTGAGGTAAATGCATATGAGAAGCAGGTGTATTAGTGTGAGGTAGGTGTGTGTGAGAAGCAGGTGTGTTGGTGTGAGGTAGATGCATATGAGAAGCAGGTGTATTAGTGTGAGGTAGGTGTGGTGTGTGAGAAGCAGGTGTGTTGGTGTGAGGTAGATGCATATGAGAAGCAGGTGTATTAGTGTGAGGTAGGTGTTTGTGAGAAGCAGGTGTGTTGGTGTGAGGTAGGTGATATGAAAAGCAGGTTATTGGTGTGAGGTAGTGTTGAGAAGCAGGTGTTTGTGTGGGGGTATGAAGGTGTGTATGTGAAAAGCAGGTTGTTGGTGTGAGGTAGATGATATGAGAAGCAGGTGTATTAGTGAAGTAGGTTATGTGAGAAGCAGGTGTGTTGGTGTGAGGAAGTTGTATGTGAGAAGGTGTATTGTTGTAAGGTAGGAAAGGTTGAGGGTGTGACGTACAGGTGTGTAGGCTAGAAGCAGGTGTATCAGTGTAAGATAAGTGGGTCGAGGGTGAGACACAGGTGTGTAGGTTAGAAGAAGGTGTAAGTGCGTGAAGGAACACCCACCTGTAGCTGGCGGCGGGTGCGTGGATACACTCCTTGCTGATTGTTATATTCCACCAGGAGTCTGTTCCAGGCATCCCTGCAACACAAGGTAATATAATAATTTTGAGTTCTACAAGTATATGGTGCTGACATCAGTGATATACTACTATATAGAAAGCCCCTTGTTATGTAGAGCATTTCGGGCAAATTAGGTCAATTTTGTCCCCAGGATGCGACCCACACCAACCGACTAACTGCTAGGTGACCAGGGACAGCAGGTGTCTTAAGGAAACACGCCCTAATGTTTCCACCCATACCGGGGCTCGAACCACGGACCTCAGTGCGTGAGCTGAGTGCATTAGCATGACTGGACAACACACAGAGTAAGACAACACATGAAACAACACAGAACACAGTATTTAAGAGAGACCAAAATATACCCAAGGTAACACAAGAGTAAATGAAATAAAGAGAACACAAGTACCTAAAAGATATTAAAAGAACACTACCTTACCCCTACCTTACCCAAGGCTGCCTGTGACTCGACACATCATAGGGTAAGTGTTCCATCCAAACTTTCTTTTTTTTTGTCACCCTAAGGCAGCTTCTGGGGAGGGGGAAGTCAATGGCTATAGCAGTATACACAAGACTACCGGTGAGTTGCCCACGGGCTCGAATTATGGGTGTGTATCTGCAAACCCTCCACGCTGATGATTCGGCTACGGTGGCTTTAATAAGGCAATCTCAGACTCGCTACAAAGTGAACTTGGAAGTGTTAGCAGTGTTAAGCAGCAGCAGCAACAGCGACCCATGACTGCAAGTTTTTCCAGAGGCCTCCTGCTGCCACTACAACATTCATCAGTGTGGGAATAAACTGTTTAGAAAACCAGCATGTTGATAAGTGACACACTTGTCCAACATTTGGGTATCTTTATTCCAGAATAAAGACACCCAAATGTTGCACAAGTGTCTCATTTATCAACTCTCAATCACAATGTACATCCATTAAGAATAAAGACACCCAAATGTTGCACAAGTGTCTCATTTATCAACTAATCAATGTATACCAGAATAAAGACACCCAAATGTTGCACAAGTGTCTCATTTATCAACTAATCAATGTATACCAGAATAAAGACACCCAAATGTTGCACAAGTGTCTCATTTATCAACTAATCAATGTATACCAGAATAAAGACACCCAAATGTTGCACAAGTGTCTCATTTATCAACTAATCAATGTATTCCAGAATAAAGACACCCAAATGTTGCACAAGTGTCTCATTTATCAACTCATCAATGTATCACTATTGACCCCTCTGGTTGAGTCGGAAGAACTGTAATGAAGTTATAACTTTTTTTTTAGATGAGTGGGTTTACAAATGCACTTTCACTTACATGCCAGAGTGCGTGAGTTCATATCATGTTGTAAATGATTCATTAACCTAAATTTACTTTGCATTCCAGTGTTGTTCAGTGTATTTCAAATACATTATATAAAGGGAGAAAGGAGTTTCTGACTATTAAAATTAAGTATTATTATATTAATGCTTGTTAAAAAAATAGATGAATGAGACATGGTACATACACACTTATCTATATCTGTTCTGTTTATTTCCAAAATATTTAAAGGGGTGAAAGAGTTCTAATTATTAATTATTATATTAGTGGTATGTAAAACAGACAAGTGAATAAATAAGACATAAGCCACACTTCAGTTTAGAGACGTCCTAGACAACCAGTGGCTTTATCAACCTAATACAGAGAATAATTACTGGAGACGGTGGGAGAGATTACAGTAGTCTGAAGTGATCAGTCACTCAGCCTTGATAAGTCAAATTATCAGTGTGTATACACCTGCGGGTGTATATATAAGATGTATTATAAATAATATATTTTAATGGTGTGAAAATCAGTGAATGGACATGGTTCCATAATCACCTTACTATAGTCGCTTGGTGTTTTTAAAACTAAAAACCAAATAATGATTTTAATTTATATGAAGATTAAAACGCGGAACGAAATTATATACATAATCAATATATTATATATACTATATAAATCATATTTAATAATAATATAGAATAATATAATGATATGAATATATATATATCTATATATATATTGAAAGTATAAGTGATATGGATTATGCGAAACTTAAAGACTATGCGAAAAAACACTTGAATTAAAGTGTAAGAGCCACGGTTTCCAATACCCTTGCAAAGGTTAATTTTGATGGAGATGCAGACTGAGCAGAGTTATATTAGTGATCTAAGAGTAGCACTTGGTTAATTTAAAATATAAAACCGTTGAGTATTCAGTGTTTTTTTTAGCATATAAATTATGATATATCATTCAATCTAAGACGGGGTCATGAAGCGTTCGAATGGGTCAATAGGCCTGTGCAGTGTTCCTTCTTTATATTCTAATCACTGCAACCATCCATTTTAAGCCATCCTAGTAATCTGCCAATAATCGTTTTAGATATGAAGTACGTAGTATCATTAAATTCAATTGAAACGTGCAATTGGTTACATTTTGAGCTACCTAGTAACACCCAATAATCGCTTTTAGCATATAAAGTTTAAATATCATTAGTTCAATGGGTGATCCATTTTGAGCTATCCATGACTACCAATATCGCTTTTGAGTATTATCTGTAACTTTCATTATGTTCAATCGTGATCCATTTTGCTATCCTAGTAACACCCAATAATCGCTTTTAGTATATAAAGTCGTATAACATCAATTTTCAACGTGGATCCATTTTGAGCTTCCTAGTAACCCCAAAATCGCTCTAGATATAAAGTCGATAACATCATTATGTTCAATCGTGATCCATTTGAACTACCTCATAATCCTCGTTTTTTTTACTCATTAAATTCAAATCTAAATCTCTGCAATCGTATCCATTTTAAGCTATCCTAATATTCTGCTGTAATCGATAGCAATCGCTGCTATCGTTACTAATTCACCGCTGTTACTTAAAAAAAAAAAAACTTAATTCTTGTGGAAGAAGCAGAGGGACCAAGTCTATGACAAGTTGAAATATAACTTGATAAAGTTCTCCTTGAGTGAAACTTGGTTATAATGAAGTCTTGAGTTGTTTCATCCTGTTCTAAATCCACTCCCTCAAGGGAGGTTCCTTGATGCTGGTGAGGGGCCCTTGATCTCGGGAATTGGATCTGTGATTCGGTTCCCTGAATTAAGCCTAAATACTTTCCATCCCCCCCCCCACATGCGCTGTATAATGCTACGAGTTTAGCCTCCCCCGTGATTATAATAATAATATAATCTAAATTCACTAGTCACACCTCAAACCATAATTCCTTCGAAGTGACAAAATTTTGACGAAAGTGGAACCCTGGAGTTTACTGGGGGGTCAACGCCCCCCCCTCCACGGCTCGGTCTGAGACCAAGCCTCACGGTGGATTAGGGTCTGATCAACCAGGCTGTTACTACTGCGCCGGGATGGTGTCTAGTTTGTGGCAAGGGCGTAACATCAAGATGTAAGTGCCACAGTTGTGTACCCATGATGCCACCTTGGCAGCTAAACAATAGAAACAAGCAAGCTAATTCTGAACAATTTTAGACTACGTGTTACAATCAAAAGTTAAGTAAGTACAAGGTTCTTGACTAGGAATACGTACTATTGTAATACCATTATAAAATCAAAGAAAATATAATATATATATATATATATATATATATATATATATATATATATATATATATATATATATATATTATATATATATATAGATAGATAGATAGATAGATATTATTTGCAGCGTAAGGTGATGAGAGGAAAGATTGGTTAGTGAAGTAAGAGATACTGATCAATACTGTGTACGTCACTCCTTCAGAGAACACAGTTACTGAGGTGAACTAACAAATAATAAATGACTACAACTGTGAGTTCGTCACCAGTCCTGCACACAATTAAGTGCAAGTGTATCTCAGCTCCCGGCCCAGTCTCAGCTTGCCGTTTGCCCATTTCAACTTTCCCTCCTAGCCTCATGAGCCTTATCGTACATAGTCTTTAAGCCTTGCATGGAGCCTGCCTCTACTGCGTCTTCATCGAGATTATTCCCTTCTCGACCACCCTGAGACTGAAGAAATATATCCTTACTGACACTGCTGTGACTCAGCTGTGTCCCTGAGTACCACCAATTTCTTGCCTATCAATTCCTCTGAGCAATTTTCTATGTCATGTCCCATCCTCCTGATTCTGCCCTCCAGAGTCATTAGATTCAGTTCCGTTAACCTCTCCTCTTACAGCAAGCTTTTTTGCATACTTCTACGCTTTCTCCAGTTTCCTAATGTGTTCTGTTAGGTGTGTTCCACACTGGTGCTGCGGGCTCCAGGATGAGCCTAATATGTGTTACCTGAGATCCCTGAATGACTCGTTGTTGACATTCCTGAATGCTGTTCTTGGATATCCCAGAAGAACATTGACTGTTATTGGTTAATGTGAACCTCCGGCAATACACCAGGTACTATGCTCACCCCAAGGTCTTTCTTTAAGTGAGGTCTGCTGTATGTCATGTAAATGACACTGAAGTTAATATTTAGACATGATACCAGTTCCACACAGTTTTTTTAAGACATATTTTACAGCATAAAGCCTATTTTAATATTAGTAAACAAGTGAATTGTAACCTTAATGGCCCACGAGCAATTAATGGGCTTTCAGCCTAATATATTAGACACAGGGCACGTCTGACATTGTCGGCTACAAGCAGTGTCATAGTCTAACAGCGTCTGTCATAGTCTAACAGCGTCTGTCATAGTCTAACAGCGTCTGTCATAGTCTAACAGCGTCTGTCATAGTATAACAGCATTAGCCATAATTTATATCATAGTTTAACAGCATCAACCATGGTTTAACATCAACCACAGTCTGGCCACGTCTAGGGGCCAAGACATGCCCATCACACAGTTTACAGACTTAAGGGAAGGTATACACACTGTCAGTGAGAATAACGTGTGGGAGTGAACGCTGTCTGTCCATCAGAATTAAAACTACATGAAGCTGTTGTCAGAGCTTAATTTTGACTGAAAAGACGTGAAAATACGTCACACTGACCTTTATGGGGGGTTATCTCTGGGTAATTTACATATATGTTGTTATCAGTAACAACACTGCGACTAGCCAAGGACTCGAACCCTTGCTACTTTGGCCTGCCTCATTGTGGGCGAAAACTCATGACGCCTTAATCCAGTGGATTAAGGCGTCATGAGCTTTCGCCCACCATGAGGCAGACCAAAGCAGCATGGGTTCGAGTCCTTGGCTAGTCGCAGTGTTGTTATTGATCAATGCCACTCGTTCGTGGGCACAATAATATATGTTAAATGGAGGGTGTTCCGGGGGTCAACGCCCCCGCGGTCCAGTCCATGACCAAGCCACGCTGAGGATCAGGACCTGGTCAACTAGGCTGTTACTGCTAGCCTAAATAAACTTAGGTAATGAAATGTGAAGTTTTATATAGGCATGCGAGGCGCTAGCAGTAACAACCTGGTTGATTGAAAGTCTGTAAGGTAGTTTATTGGGTTGTAGAAGTAGGTCTGTCAGATTCAGAGGACAGTCAGTGTGTTGGAGAGACAGTGACAAGGGAGAGACAGTGACAAGGGAGGGACAGTAACAAGAGAGTACTCACTTGACAGTGTCAGCAGTAGACAGCACTCACCTGACAGTGTCAACAGTAGACAGCACTCACCTGAGTGTCAGCAGTAGACAACACTCACCTGAGTGTCAGCAGTAGACAGCACTCACCTGACAGTGTCAGCAGTAGACAGCACTCACCTGAGTGTCAGCAGTAGACAGCACTCACCTGACAGTGTCAACAGTAGACAGCACTCGCCTGACAGTATCAGCAGTAGACAGCACTTAAATGCCAGTGTCAGCAATAGACAGCACTCACCTGAGTGTCAGCAGAAGACAGCAATCACCTGAGTGTCAACAGTAGACAGCACTCACCTGAGTGTCAGCAGTAGACAGCACTCACCTGACAGTGTCAGCAGTAGACAGCACTCACCTGAGTGTCAGCAGTAGACAGCACTCACCTGACAGTGTCAACAGTAGACAGCACTCACCTGAGTGTCAGCAGTAGACAGCACTCACCTGACAGTGTCAGCAGTAGACAGCACTCACCTGAGTGTCAGCAGTAGACAGCGCACTCACCTGACAGTGTCAACAGTAGACAGCACTCATCTGAGTGTCAGCAGCAGACAGCGCACTCACCTGACAGTGTCAACAGTAGACAGCACTCACCTGAGTGTCAGCAGTAGACAGCACTCACCTGAGTGTCAGCAGTAGACAGCGCACTCACCTGACAGTGTCAGCAGTAGACAGCACTCACCTGAGTGTCAGCAGTAGACAGCACTCACCTGAGTGTCAACAGTAGACAGCACTCACCTGAGTGTCAGCAGTAGACAGCACTCACCTGACAGCGTCAACAGTAGACAGCACTCACCTGACAGTGTCAACAGTAGACAGCACTCACCTGACAGTATCAGCAGTAGACATCACTCACCTGACTGTCAACACTAGATAGCATTCACCTGACATTGTCAACAGTAAACAGCACTCACCTGACAGTATCAGCAGTAGACATCACTCACCTGACAGTGTTAACAGTAGACAGCACTCACCTGACAGTGTCAACAGTAGTCAGCACTCACCTGACAGTGTCAACAGTAGACAGCATTCACCTGACAGTGTCAACAGTAGACAGCACTCACCTGACAGTGTCAACAGTAGACAGCACTCTCCTGACAGTGTCAACAGTAGACAGCACTCACCTGAGTGTCAACAGTAGACGACACTCACCTGACAGTGTCAACAGTAGACGGCACTCACCTGACAGTGTCAGCAGTAGACAGCGCACTCACCTGACAGTGTCAGCAGTAGACAGCACTCACCTGACAGTGTCAACAGTAGACAGCACTCACCTGACAGTGTCAACAGTAGACAGCACTCACCTGACAGTGTCAGCAGTAGACAGCGCACTCACCTGACAGTGTCAACAGTAGACAGCACTCACCTGAGTGTCAATAGTAGACGGCACTCACCTGACAGTGTCAGCAGTAGACAGCGCACTCACCTGACAGTGTCAGCAGTAGACAGCACTCACCTGACAGTGTCAACAGTAGACAGCACTCACCTGACAGTGTCAACAGTAGACAGCACTCACCTGACAGTGTCAACAGTAGACAGCACTCACCTGACAGTGTCAACAGTAGACAGCACTCACCTGACAGTGTCAACAGTAGACAGCACTCACCTGACAGTGTCAACAGTAGACAGCACTCACCTGACTGTCAACAGTAGACAGCACTCACCTGACAGTGTCAACAGTAAACAGCACTCACCTGACAGTGTCAACAGTAGACAGCACTCACCTGACAGTGTCAACAGTAGACAGCACTCACCTGACAGTGCCAACAGTAGACAGCACTCACCTGACAGTGTCAACAGTAGACAGCACTCACCTGACAGTGTCAGCAGTAGACAGCACTCACCTGACAGTGTCAACAGTAGACAGCACTCACCTGACAGTGTCAACAGTAGACAGCACTCACCTGACAGTGTCAGCAGTAGACAGCACTCACCTGACAGTGTCAACAGTAGACAGCACTCACCTGACAGTGTCAACAGTAGACAGCACTCACCTGACAGTGTCACAGTAGACAGCACTCACCTGACAGTGTCAATAGTAGACAGCACTCACCTGACAGTGTCAACAGTAGATAGCACTCACCTGACAGTGTCAACAGTAGACAGCACTCACCTGACAGTGTCAACAGTAGATAGCACTCACCTGACAGTGTCAACAGTAGACAGCACTCACCTGACAGTGTCAACAGTAGATAGCACTCACCTGACAGTGTCAACAGTAGACAGCACTCACCTGACAGTGTCAACAGTAGACAGCTTGTTGTTGATAACAGCAGCGTAGTGACCGAAGACAGCGTAGAAGACTTCCTTCTCATATTTCGTAAAGTTACGAGACCTAGACCTCTTCTGTAGGCCTACCCTCCTGTGCTCCTCCATCGCAGTCATCAACTCAGTGTAAAGTGAGTGAGGTTGAACGTAACCTCATCTCTGAGCCTCAAAATACGACTAAGGTTTATAGCTGTGCTAGTCGCAACTCTACTCCGTCAATACTCATTTACCCGTCGTAATATTTAGCGTTGCTGCTTCTGTCTCATGTCTAATTCATTTTTTCCATCTCACTCACTTCATTACTGTCTCTTGGATGTATGTTGTTATGCCTGGAGGGTAAATGTGCTATGGGTGATGTGGTTTAAAGGGTGGGAGCTTGTAACGCGAAATTTAGAACTGGTGAAGTTTGAGCTTGCTCGTAGGCATGACGTAAGCAGCGGCGTCAGGGAGTAGCGGCACTGATCGTACCTTTACTGTGTCGTAACTTGCAGCCTCCTGTCCAGACGTATGATATGAGGTGACCTCCTGGTCAGCCTCGCTACAACCTCCTGTCAAGACGTATGATGTGACCTGGTCAACCTCACTAGAACCTCTTGTCAAGATGTATGATATGAGGTGACATCCTGTCCAGACGTATGCCATGTTGTGACCTGTCCAGACGTATGACGTTGTGACCTTTCCAGACGTATGACATGAGGTGACCTCCTGGTCAACTTCGCTTCTATCTCCTGTCCACACACACACAGGTGCCCTCCACACACACAGGTGCCCTTCACGCACAGGTGCCCTCCATATACATAGGTACCCTCCACACAGGTGCTCTCCACACACAGGTACCCTCCACACAGGTGCCCTCCACACAGGTGCCCTCCACCCCTCCACAGATCAATACAGTTGTTGTAAATAAACTGACTATTTAGAATACAGCAACATTCAACTTTATGGTTTTGTGTAGTCCGAAAGGTGGTAAAGCTAGGGTGTTACAGTGGTCATAAAGCTGGGCTGTTACAGTGGTCGTAAAGCTGGGCTGTTACAGTGGTCGTAAAGCTGGGCTGTTACAGTGGTCGTAAAGCTAGGGTGTTACAGTGGTCGTAAAGCTGGGCTGTTACAGTGGTCGTAAAGCTAGGGTGTTACAGTGGTCGTAAAGCTGGGCTGTTACAGTGGTCGTAAAGCTAGGGTGTTACAGTGGTCATAAAGCTGGGATGTTACAGTGGTCGTAAAGCTGGGCTGTTACAGTGGTCGTAAAGCTAGGATGTTACAGTGGTCGTAAAGCTGGGCTGTTACAGTGGTCGTAAAGCTAGGGTGTTACAGTGGTCGTAAAGCTGGGCTGTTACAGTGGTCGTAAAGCTAGGGTGTTACAGTGGTCGTAAAGCTGGGCTGTTACAGTGGTCGTAAAGCTGGGCTGTTACAGTGGTCGTAAAGCTGGGCTGTTACAGTGGTCGTAAAGCTGGGCTGTTACAGTGGTCGTAAAGCTGGGCTGTTACAGTGGTCGTAAAGCTGGGCTGTTACAGTGGTCGTAAAGCTGGGGTGGTACAGCTGGGGACCGTAAACTTCAACGATCATTTCAACAGAAACATTGCTGGTGGTAAATATAAGACTGATGGTGCTAACGTATGTGTCAGGGTTACTGCTGTATCCTAGTGCTAACGTATGTGTCAGGGTTACTGCTGTATCCTAGTGCTAACGTTGTGTCAGGGTTACTGTTGTATCCTAGTGCTAACGTTGTGTCAGGGTTACTGCTGTATCCTAGTGCTAACGTTGTGTCAGGGTTACTGCTGTATCCTAGTGCTAACGTATGTGTCAGGGTTACTGCTGTATCCTAGTGCTAACGTATGTGTCAGGGTTACTGCTGTATCCTAGTGCTAACGTTGTGTCAGGGTTACTGTTGTATCCTAGTGCTAACGTTGTGTCAGGGTTACTGCTGTATCCTAGTGCTAACGTTGTGTCAGGGTTACTGCTGTATCCTAGTGCTAACGTATGTGTCAGGGTTACTGCTGTATCCTAGTGCTAACGTTGTGTCAGGGTTACTGTTGTATCCTAGTGCTAACGTTGTGTCAGGGTTACTGTTGTATCCTAGTGCTAACGTTGTGTCAGGGTTACTGCTGTATCCTAGTGCTAACGTATGTGTCAGGGTTACTGCTGTATCCTAGTGCTAACGTTGTGTCAGGGTTACTGCTGTATCCTAGTGCTAACTTTTGTGTCAGGGTTACTGCTGTATCCTAGTGCTAACGTTGTGTCAGGGTTACTGCTGTATCCTAGTGCTAACGTATGTGTCAGGGTTACTGTTGTATCCTAGTGCTAACGTTGTGTCAGGGTTACTGCTGTATCCTAGTGCTAACGTTGTGTCAGGGTTACTGTTGTATCCTAGTGCTAACGTTGTGTCAGGGTTACTGCTGTATCCTAGTGCTAACGTATGTGTCAGGGTTACTGCTGTATCCTAGTGCTAACGTTGTGTCAGGGTTACTGCTGTATCGTAGTACTAACGTATGTGTCAGGGTTACTGTTGTATCCTAGTGCTAACGTTGTGTCAGGGTTACTGTTGTATCCTAGTGCTAACGTTGTGTCAGGTTACTGCTGTATCCTAGTGCTAACGTATGTGTCAGGGTTACTGCTGTATCCTAGTGCTAACGTTGTGTCAGGGTTACTGCTGTATCCTAGTGCTAACGTTGTGTCAGGGTTACTGCTGTATCCTAGTGCTAATGTATGTGTCAGGGTTACTGCTGTATCCTAGTGCTAACGTTGTGTCAGGGTTACTGCTGTATCCTAGTGCTAACGTTGTGTCAGGGTTACTGTTGTATCCTAGTGCTAACGTTGTGTCAGGGTTACTGCTGTATCCTAGTGCTAACGTTGTGTCAGGGTTACTGCTGTATCCTAGTGCTAACGTTGTGTCAGGGTTACTGTTGTATCCTAGTTCTAACGTTGTGTCAGGGTTACTGCTGTATCCTAGTGCTAACGTTGTGTCAGGGTTACTGCTGTATCCTAGTGCTAACGTTGTGTCAGGGTTACTGCTGTATCCTAGTGCTAACGTTGTGTCAGGGTTACTGCTGTATCCTAGTGCTAACGTTGTGTCAGGGTTACTGCTGTATCCTAGTGCTAACGTATGTGTCAGGGTTACTGCTGTATCCTAGTGCTAACGTTGTGTCAGGGTTACTGCTGTATCCTAGTGCTAACGTTGTGTCAGGGTTACTGTTGTATCCTAATGCTAACGTTGTGTCAGGGTTACTGTTGTATCCTAGTGCTAACGTTGTGTCAGGGTTACTGTTGTATCCTAGTGCTAACGTTGTGTCAGGGTTACTGCTGTATCCTAGTGCTAACGTTGTGTCAGGGTTACTGTTGTATCCTAGTGCTAACTTTTGTGTCAGGGTTACTGTTGTATCCTAGTGCTAACGTTGTGTCAGGGTTACTGTTGTATCCTAGTGCTAACGTATGTGTCAGGGTTACTGCTGTATCCTAGTGCTAACGTATGTGTCAGGGTTACTGCTGTATCCTATTGCTAACATATGTGTCAGGGTTACTGCTGTATCCTTGTGCTAACGTATGTGTCAGGGTTACTGCTGTATCCTATTGCTAACATATGTGTCAGGGTTACTGCTGTATCCTTGTGCTAACGTATGTGTCAGGGTTACTGTTGTATCCTCTCCTGCCCTCTCCTCACCCTCTGCTGCCCTCTCTTTCCCTCTTACTACCACTGATCTACCAAAACAAAAGATGGCTGACGAGAAATGCAATTCCACTAAGACAATTGACAGGCTAAAAGGTAAATGGCGAGAAGCATCCTTGTGTCTAGCTCCACATGAACCATTCTCACCCACTTTCATCCACCCACCACCCTCATCCACCCTCTGGTCATAACGACAGTTTTGGTAGTGTATTTGTCAGGAAATAAGACAAATTTCTCCTGCCACGAGTCTTGTTTGAGTGACTCGTTACTAGCTAGCTATCTCTCAATGGTTCACCTGACCTGTTCGCACATATATACTGGATTCCAACAGAGAGATCAGTACTTTGCCCCTTCCATACGGCTGTAAACAGTGCATCGCTTGAACAAACTCCGACACTTCTTCGAGAGTGTCGGAGTATCCCGTAGCTCGATTGGTAGCGCACTCAGCTCACACATTGAGGTCTGTGGTTCGAACCCCGGCACGGGTGGAAACATTAAGAGGTGTTTCCTTAAGATACCTACTGTCTCTGTTCATCTAGCAGTAAGTAGGTACCTGGGTGATAGTTACATCTGTTGTCCTTCTTCACCTAACAGTAAGAGGTGCCTGGGTGTTAGTCGACTGGTGTAGGTCGCATCCTGGGGACAAAAGTTACCTGATATTATTGCCTGAAATGCTCTGCATAACAAGGGACTTTCTATATAAGTAATATGTCAGATATATATATACCTTGTACATGTACTTGTAGAAATAAAGATGATTATTATTATTATTATTATTAGGAGGCCGGGTGCTGGTAGGTGTTGTTCAGAGGACACTACACTATTTTCTTGCTGACACACACCACTTCTGCTTCAAGTATTGCCCTCCACTACACTGCACCCTAATGGCTTCTGAATTGTTCAGTTCTTTTCACTCCTTAATACTTATAGGCGTATATATTGGAAGCTTGGGGGGGGGGGGGGGGTCCCTGGTAAAATATACCTCAAGCACTGCGGCCCCTAACCTTAACATTAACACCAAAATCTAGCAATCAATTCTAATCTTATATAACAGTTTAAGTCATTTAACACAAGCCCTCAACTTAGAATAAGCAAGTTGTGTTTCCGATGCTTCAACTTACGAACGAGTTGTGTTCCTTATGTTTCAACTTATAAACGACTTGTGTTTCTGGTTTTTACCTTATAAGTTGTGTTGCTGATATTTCTCAACTTACAAACAAGCTGTGTTGCTAACATTTCTCAACTCACAAACAAGCTGTGTTCTGACATTTCTCAACTTACGAACAAGCTATATTGCTGTTATTTTTCAACTTACAAGCAAGCTGTTTGCTGATATTTCTCAACTTACAAACAAGTTGTGTTGCTGATATTTCTCAACTTACAAACAAGTTGTGTTACTGATATTTCTCAACGTACAAGTAAGTTGCATTGCTAATATTTCAACTTACGAACAAGTTCCCAATGTTTCAGCTTACGAACGAATTGTTTACAAGAGTTACAATCATAATGGTCTCAAAAAAAGTCATAACGGCCTTGAAC